ACTTGCATGCCGTTGAAACCTAACCAACATGTATCCAGATCATGGAATTGACATGGACGGCCCCCGCGCCTCCGATTTTCGCATTGTCAGGGTATTTCTGGCTGGAGGGTCAATACCGTTCTGACAAATGTATATAGCGTCAACAAGTCCCTTAAAGGGAAATGGGCGTCTCTCGCTTGCCACGAAACAGGATCACTCGTTGTCCAGGTGAGGATGTCGGTGCATGTCATATAACTTATTTCTCATGCTCTACAGCATGCATTTGAGAACCTTGAAGAGTCCGCTAAAGACGGCATCATCGATGAGCTGCTCAATCAAGGACCTACCGTGTTCGGTGAGATTGCAAAGAACCAGTGGGGTTCGTACTGCATTCAACACAGTAAGTGCTTCTACTATTACGGACCTCTTCCTGGTGTCTTACCGTTGCTTCTTTTATCTAGTTCTAGAGCACGGGTCTCCGAAACACCGTCAAATGTGCCTGGACCATATCATGTCTGACCTCCTGGATTATGCCACAAACGAACAGGGGTACAAGTCTGTTACGAAGGCTCTCAAGGAAACAGGACCCGAAACTCTAGACAGGATTGTTAAGCGGATGTGCGAACCTGCGAAGGGGTAAGAACTTTGTGATCGCTTTCTATTACGATACTGATCTCACAAAAGTGGCCGTCGAGCGATGATCGTGGACTTAGCGCTGTCGGTCACTGGTAGTCAACTGATTGCTAGCACGTTGCCTCAGGTACGCCGTGTTGCCGTTAGTGTCTACTGTCAGCCTCATGTTCTTTTGTAGGCGGACAAGGACCAGCGCACCACGCTCTATGACTGCATTCGCGGCCATATTGTGACCCTGCGCGGCTGTAAGACAGGGTCGAAGGTGATATGGCTCTTGTAAGCTTTATCTATGCGTTGCTTCCTTCTTTGTTGATGTGAATTCTGATCCGTCCGCAGTGATAGAATGGTTCGATCGTTCATTTCTACCTCTTTTTTTATTCTGACTCGTGTCTAGCGTGCCTATTATGGCTATTGAGAAGATTCCCTGTCCTGCATTCTCTCCACTGCAATATTCTCTTCCCATCTCGTCTCGTCTTCATCCACGGCGTCTTCGCTTCCTCGATTTGAAAATGTCTCTTATAACAGGCAATACTTCGGTCAATACCTGGCTGGCCCATCTCCACCATTAATCTCGGAAAAGTACCAGAAAAAGCTCATCTGTCTCGCATTGCAATAACAAAAGCAGTTCTAATCGCATCAACATCAATATCATCAAGTCTCAAGTCGCATTCGCAATTTCGCAACCGTAATCGTATACTACGCATCGCCGTCTTCATCTCAGCCTCACTTGCACGAACAATCTTCGCACTCAACTCTCTCGATATCGAATTTCACGCCTGCTTATTTGCGTCGCTATCAATTTCCTCGCTTCTTCTTTCCACCATATATACCGTGCACATCAACTTCCGTTGTCAAGCCTCCTGTTTCCCCGCTCGCTGCTGCTCTCAGCACGGAATGGAGAGCGGATCATGTGCGTTAATCAATCAAATTTTCGTCATTATGTCAAGCCCAGCTAGAATTCCTCGCATGATCCATCGAACAGCAGCTCAGCTCTATTGTAACAACTTCTTTTACTTTTACCAATCCAAACGCATCATCGCATCTGTAACCGTTCTACACCCACCTTCGTTTGTAGCATCACTTTGTCGTCACTGTTGTCACAATGTTATCAGTCGTTGTCCAGTTATGGACTCTAAAAATTCAGAGGGAACAGCTCGCAAACACGTCAAGGTCGTACAATATGATATATTATATGTCGAGCGAGATTGTGATCAGTTTGGGACGACGGTACCATCTATCAGATACAATACGCCGTTCTGTGCCTGTTGAGTATAAAATCAACAACGCAGAACGCAGTGCATAAAAGATGGCTAAACTGACCTCCTTCATCCCAATTATGCGCACTCCATCCTCCAAAGTCACCCGCATCCACTCTGGCGAGTCGGGCCTTGTGTTGGAAACAGGGTTGAAGGTAACGAGTTTCCCATCTTGCAGCGTTTCATACGAAACAGGGATATCAGATAAAGAGATACGAGACTTGACGGATGTATGAGGCAGGATTCGACAGGCGACAATAAATAACTTACAGGAATGATGTGGGCAGAGACCCATCGCTCTACATTTCTCTTAGAGCTTTCATCCAACTCTTGTTCTGATATCCCAATACGAGGCTCTACCGGCTCCGGACCTTGGTGTCTGCCAAGCCACACATTTAATCATGTCCGTATACACACGATTGTCATACTCACGGTTTATGTGCCAGTGCCATGACAGCCTTGTTCGTCGGTACGAGTATCGTAAACCAAACAGACTCAGAAGAGAATCTAGACGAAAACTCCGTTTCTCGAGCATACGAGTAATAAATGCTCGCTGAAGATTCGATAGTCAGCAGGTCTGCGAGCGTGGGCTGGGAGCTGGTGAACGGTGATGCGTTGGTTTGCGGCATTGGTGGGATTATGATTTGCTCCTGGAAAGAAGCGGATACTGCGAAGGGGAGGATGAATGCAAGGAGGAGTGATAGACGCATGGTGATGAGTTTGGTAACTGGAGCTCTGGAGCTTCAGCCGAGAGGGATCGAGGGTGATCGGAAATTGCCGTGGTATCCCAGAGTTGATGCCGGCCGTATGTGACGATCGAGCCGAGCGTAAACTATGGCCAAATTCATTTCAACTTCCATTCCATTCCATTCCTCTATGATCTGTCTATTCTGTCAGGGCAAAGCGCTTCGTAAGTACTAAGTACTAATATATTTCGGTGCTGCATGCTGAAAAGACATTAAGAACGCCCCCACTACGATTCGCGTAAGACAGTAAACAGATTTCACATGATCCGACACAGACAACATCATCTCATTCGATCGTTTCGTTACAAGATCGCGATAGGTCCGCCTTTAATCGCAAAGGCACAGAAATTTCCACCACTGCATGCTGATCCAGTTCGCCGTGCGTTGCACCCCTACTTCGCCACCGGTAGTCCAGTATCGAATTATCATGATTATCGGTGTCCAGAGTCCTGGATGCACGTCGCGACCCGCAGTGGACGACATGCCGCAAGTACGTTTCCATACTTTGTAAAGTCGCACTTTAAATGCATGGTCATCTGAGTACGGTTTGACGCCTTGAATGTAAGTAATTCTTACCAACAAAGCACCTGTACACATTAGGAGCGGTCGCCTTTGGCTCCGAATCAATGGGCTGGGAGATAAATCGAAGCCACGGCTAGGTCAATATCAGAGAGATATGCAGGCTCAAAGTCTGAGATATCGAAATTTATTTTCTAGCCAACAAGTTGCGCATAGCCACGGGTAGACGCTACACGCAAAGTGATTTAATAAATAAGGTGGGAGAACGCACGCAATTAATCATACGCCAACGCTGATGAGTACTATGCGCTGAGGAATGTCCTCATCAGAAGCCGATGACTGGACTACTTCGCCTCTATACAGACAAGGGTAGCTGTTCTGGGCGTGACCTGTAAGATGTTCGAACACGCGTCTTCGGCGCGTGAAGACCTCCAACACCAACGCATCTGGATCGTCGTCCTCCATTTTGGATTGAATTCTTCATGAAATGGCACTATTGATGATGGGATCTCACATGCCACTAGCACTCCAGCCCACACATGTGATCGAAAGTCCACCTGGTATCCGTGAATATGTCAGGACATTGCAAGGATCATGTCATGCATCGAGTGAGGTTACTTCCGTCAAAGATCAGATTGATCATCCCAGGGAAAAGAAGCATGCTATGTGTTAGTCTCGAGTCTCGACTACTACTATTCACACAGTTTTGTTGCTGGGTACACTGTGTTCGTTCATGGCGGAGAGCCATCGGTGGATGAGTACTTGTTGCCGTTGCACACTTGGCATTAGTGAGGATAAGGAACTGGAATCCATACTCTTGGGATGTGAAATAGTGGGAGGTCTCGACGGGAGCGTGGTAGCACTCTCTGTGGATGACTTACCGGTGCTTCGTGGAGTAGAGACGGCATAGGGCTATCGAACATCGCTGAGAGAGAACCAGGGTCGTGAAAGTTTCTCTATCTTCGATGATGGGGGAGATACCCTTGTTCGAATGCTTGAACGCTGTCTCCTGTGACTGAGATGGTCATGCATAGTCGTTGACCGATACGTTAACGTGCCGGTTGGTCCAGATTCAAGAGTTGAGTTGGTAATTGAAACGGAATGTTGCCAGAAAACTGCTTGTCGTCTGATGTGTGTTTTGCTTAGTACACAGAAGTCATGAGGCAGGTATTCAACGTTCGCGCTCCGAACACTGCCAAAAGATCGAATCGCCTTGGAGGAAAATCGTCTTCTTACGCGCCTCAGTCTATGTCGAGGCGCGGGTGTAGGGCTTGTATTGGGTACCTAAATAGCATAAGGTTGTTTTGAATTCCTCAGTAACACATTCTTATAGCTCACCGCACTATCCTTGAGTCAAAACGAATAGATATTCGTCAAAACTTGGACAGAGAGCAGGATATGCGTACCTGATGGGACTTCAGATGCACCTGAGAGTAATCATTTGATCGGACGCGACTCAAGAGCGGGAAACAATGATCAGCGAGAATATCATCAAATCTGAAATCTTGTTCGTCTCCAATGTTCAAGGAAGAAAATTGCATTAATGGCTATGCACGATTTAGTTGAAGACGAGTCTGGCGGAATTGTTTGTTGTCGTGAATGATGCCTCTTGACCGTGCGACTGTGATTTTCTGGTCGCCGAGCTGGGCGACTCGGATGTGGTCCCAAGGATGTTGGAGCATAGGAGTCGCGTTAGTGGAAAGTTGTTTATCTTTCAGTTGATCGTCACCAGGTAAAGCTTGAACAGGGGATCTGGAGGTGATGGTATTATCTCGAAGGACTAAGCACCGTGTCACAGTCACTACGACAACCACACCTGGCTTCCACAATCACGCATCACATTTGACAGTGTCACAGGCATTACTGTGACATAAATCAGATAACCGCAACCTCATCTACGATTCGACGCACAACTAGTATGCATCAGGCTCTACTTGTCCCCGAAGTTGTCTTACATATCTTCGCGCATGTGAATGAAATCGGGGAACCATCATATGCCGAGAGACCATTGTCTCGACAAACTCTTGCAGCGCTTGCAACTACATGCAAAACCTTCTACGAGCCTGCAATGGATTTTCTTTGGTCTGACATGAATAGGTTACTACCACTGCTGGGCTGTGTAACAAGGTTGCATCCAATGATATACCCTACAACACAGGTTAGTGCGGACGAGTCCACGCGAGATCAATGTCCTTTTTCGTCCATTCGCTCACTGAACATCTCAACACAGCAATCCTGGTCTCGGGGCATCGAGCCACTATCTGAGCTCGAGCGCAGTCAATTTCTCCGTCATTCCTGCCGTGTGCGCACCATGAGCGTGTCATCCGATGATGAATTTCACCTCCTTCGTTCGTTCCCCTACGACACATGCGTGTTTCCAAACCTGCTTTCATTGTCCTGGGTGATTATATTCACAAGATACTTGCGCTTCTTCCTGTCTCCTACGCTGCGTAGTTGTTATATCGCATTAGTTCAACCAGATTTAGCTCGGCATTCTATCGGGACCCGCTGCCCTGCTCTGGAGGGCTTGGATATCGTGACAATGGGGATCGTGGCACAGGCTCCACATCTGTGTGAAACCATCCGCTCATGCAAGGCGCTAGTACGTCTGCAATGTCCCCCGCTGAACTCGGTAGCATGGAAGCACCTCTCCACTATCCCTACCCTTCTTAATGTGTCGATATATCAAGAAAGCTTTTCGGGTTCCCTGTCCAGATTGGACACGCACAATCTCAGTTTTTCAACTTTCCTCAACGTTACAACTCTTCGGTTCTATTTTTCACCAATCACAGACGTCATCGCAGTCATACAACATTCAGAATTCCCCTCGCTAAAAGAATTTGAGTTGGTCGACCACATTTTACCTGGGGCAGAACTTCTACCGCTTTTACGAGCGCTGTCACAGTGCAAAGCATGCAATACCCTTGAAAACATTGCCATTTCCGACGATGATCCAGAAGTTGATGAGCCCTCGGCCGACTCTTTTGCAGTGACTAGGGAGCTTCTTTGTTTCACGCAGTTGCGATCCCTTCGGCTTTATGTTTGTTGCTCCATCAACCCTGATAACGTCTCTCTTTTCGAAGCCATGTCAAGTTGGCCTCAGATCTGCAGTTTGTCGTTGTCCGACCCGCATCGTCGACCACCTCAAGTTACCTTCCGCGGATTTTTCGCAGCGCTCAGTCAATGTCCCCACTTGCATGCCTTGCATGTAGAAATAGATGTCGCGAACATTGATATCAATCCTAAAACCGAGTCATTTCAACACACCTCTTTAGAAAGTATTGGCTATTACTCCTCTCCGGCAGTAAATGCTGAAGCTGTCGCTCGCATCATTTTCACCATGCTCCCTAACGTTCAGCTTGCGGACACTTGGGGCGACGTTAATACGCATCTCAAATCCCTCAGAGCTTCTTCCAGTTTGCAAGGTGCAGACGGTGGCTAACACGAGTGAAGAGGCATAAGAGTGGCAAATAAAGGCGATGGTATCGTTGATTCGGTTGACCGTGGTGAGGACTGTTCATGTAGTTCCGATGATGACCACAGCTTCAGTAAATAGGTTCGTTTCAGTTTGTTCTTGATGCAACTAATTTAGAATCATGTCTCAGATCTCGTTCCCATCGACAATCGATTTTCATCGTACGTATCACAACCTGTAGTCTCAAACACTCCCTTCATGAATCCCGACTTCAAATATCCACTGGCCCTTTGCGGTGCTCGATCATACGACGCAGATCGTCAGAAAAGCCCTGCATAGAGGATAACGTCGTGTCAACTCTCTTGCAATTTGGCCCGAACCCAAGAATCACCAGTGTATTCAAGGCATGGCCGTGCAAAGCGTAGATGATACCACTGTCAGTGCCTCAGAAGTATTTCAGCAATACAACGCCGATGTGTAGCGGTACCCTTCCCTCCTGGAGACCGATATTGGTCGAGGAAGCCTGGGTAATTTTTCCTTCCATCTCTTCAGGAATAGTGATTGTAGACAATTATCGTTCCTACGCGCCGACTATTCCAGAGTTCAAAAGTGATTATGAGTCGACCACTCCTGCATACATGCATGTGAATGATTGGAATGATTGGATCATGTTTGGTGACCACCTGGTGGTGTGCACGAGTGAGTGGTGACCAATAATAAGTTCCATCCTAAAGATACAGCATATAACGTACACATGAGTCACGATCGTATAGTTCCCAAATCATCCACACCCTGCGTGCCATTCGACATATCATTTCTCCGTACATTAGTATCTTGCAGTTCCCGATTATGCTCATCTTCAAGGGGATCAGCAGCCATCATCGCCTGCTCCTCATCCCTTGATGACCATTGGTAGGATGCAGGGTTGATGTCCCTCGTCAATCTTGCCCATCTGTTACCACTTGAGCGAACATTGTCTAACGCGGACTGGAAGAGCTCTATGCAAAAGTCCATGACTTCGAGCAGGTGAATTTTGGAAAGCCGGGCCAATTGATCAAAGCCGCGTTTTCCCAGGACAAACCGGTTGTACAGAGTGCTGAAAACAATGAGAAGCATCAGAAGGATCATCATGCTGAGAAAATTTTATTCAGCCCATCAATAAAATAAATGTTTTCGTCAATATGACGTACGTGATCACCAAGAACACAATTAATCCTGAGATAAGACCCCTTTCACCTGTGGGACAAGCAAACTACACAATAGGAAGCTGTCAATTAGGGAAGATGGATGTGCACACAAGTCCGCACATGTGTTTGCCACTCAACCGTGTATTGGCAGGCTTCGTTGTCGTCTTCCGGAAATTGGGATATCACCACCGGTTTGCCTGGATGAAACTTCAATCACTGCATCCCTCATTAAGAAATATAACAGCCCACCAGCTCCGTAGACAGATGGGTTACAAAGAAATCTGATGGAAGAGCTCCCATATAAGTTGTCTTCCCCAGGGCAGGGTGAACCATTGGAAAGATGCAACATTAGCCCCGTGTCCCTCATTTCCAGGGTCGTATTAACAAGTCTGCATCCTGTCGGTCAACTGTTGAGATGGTGTTAGAACTGCATATTACGTACCCTACGGCAAAGTCGTGGTGGTCTTTCCGCACTAGACCAGCAATGTCAACATTGTTGGGAACTCCAGTGCTCCAGGGCTCGGTGGTCACACGTCGACAGACATTCAGGTAGAAAGAATGTCCACCTAGAGTCTTGAACTCATAATCTTGACTGTCAGAACAGATAGCCTAAACATATGTAATGTCATGATTACACCTGGGGCATACCTAGCCTTCAACGAATTCAGGTTGTAGTAGTTGCCTTCATGGTGCAAAGTGCATGGAGCTTCATCTGCAAGCGCCATAAGGCCAGATCCAAGGAACATGGATATAGCCCACAACAGAGCACTCAGCCCATTGGCGTGAAACATGGTGCAGGTGCCAGCAAGACTAGTCCAGCACCACCATGTGGTTTGCGGGGAGACGTGTGAATATTGTGGAAATGACCCCTCGCATGGGGGTGTCTTATTCAGTTCACCGCACTAGCCGATTTACGCCGCGTTTCGTTGACGAACCTCATCACAATCTCCTTCCTGCGAGAAAGTCACCCTTCGTCTCCATCGACGACGGTTATGGCCAGTACACTCCTGCGGCGGCAACTTGCGCTGCCGAGGCGCTCCCTTTTGCGCTCATTCTCCTCCTCAGTCGCCCGTCGTCAGCCAGAGGTCGTACAACCCGATACCAATGGAACAAACAATTTGTATCAGACTCATACGGTAGAAGACTTACACGGCATGAGCGCGGCAGAAATTTTGAAAGAGACCGGGACAAGAGCAGACGCGAAGTTGCGGCACTTTACTGGTGAGCATTTCTTTTGAATGTTGTTTTGACCGAATCAAATAAACCCACCCGATCAGTGAACTTCGGGTAAGTGTCATTTATAATATTTGCGTTGCGTCCAAAATTTGATTGAATTCTTAGCCCCCAACATCCTGCTGCTCACGGGGTGCTGCGAATGATCTTGGAATTGAATGGAGAGGAAATTCTGCGTGCTGATCCGGTATGCATTTCAGTACAAGTGCCCGAACAGGATTGCTGATTCACTCCAGCATGTTGGTCTCCTCCACCGAGGAACTGAAAAGCTGATCGAGTACAAGACATATGTCCAAGCTCTTCCCTACTTCGATCGGCTCGACTATGTTTCCATGAGTGAGTGAGGTTTATGATAAGAGGCTTGCCCAGTGCTCAAGTGACCCCATTCTAGTGACCAACGAACTATGCTACTCGCTCGCAGTCGAAAAGCTCCTTAATATCGAGGTTCCCGAACGTGCGAAGTGGATTCGTACCATGTTTGGTGAAATCACGCGTATCCTTAGTCGTATGTCACAAACAGAATGCTCTATGAAGCTTGTGCTTAAAGTTGGTTTTAGACTTGATGGCTGTCTTATCCCATGCCATGGACGTTGGTGCTCTTACCCCCTTCTTGTGGGGCTTTGAAGAACGCGAAAAGCTCATGGAGTTCTATGAGCGTGTTTCTGGTGCTCGACTCCACGCCGCCTACGTCCGTCCCGGTGGTGTCGCCTTTGACATCCCGCACGGTCTCCTGGAGGATATACACATATGGGCAACGCAATTCTCTTCTCGTGTCGATGAAATCGAAGAAGTCGTGACCGGTAACAGAATATGGAAGCAACGAACTGTCGGAATTGGTGTAGTAACTGCCAAGGAAGCCCTGGAGTACGGTTTCACGGGTGTCATGCTACGAGGTAGTGGTATCCCTTGGGATTTAAGAAAAGTGCAGCCTTATGACAAATATGATGAGGTATGACTTTCGTGTTTTACAGCCACGTTTACTCACGTGTCACAGGTTGAATTCGATGTCCCGGTCGGAAAGAATGGTGATTGTTACGACCGGTACCTTTGCAGAGTCCAGGAGTTCCGCGAGTCACTGCGCATCATCCACCAGGTTCGTAGGTTCGGTCAATTAATCATTTTAGATTCAACCATTTTCATCTCCAGTGTTTGAACAAAATGCCGACAGGCGTCATCAAGGTAGACGACAACAAACTCGCTCCACCACCCCGTGCTTCGATGAAAGAAAGTATGGAGGCACTGATTCATCACTTCAAGGTAACTTCTTCTACACAACTACATCCGACTGCTGCTGATCATTTTCATAGCTTTTCAGCGAAGGCTACTCAGTACCACCAGGTGAGACTTACAACGCCATTGAGGCTCCTAAGGGAGAGATGGCTGTTTACCTGGTCTCGTGCGTAACATTTTAACGCTCTGTTTAAAAATCATTAATTGAGCGACATTCAGGGACGGTACCAATCGCCCATACCGATGCAAAATTCGTGCTCCCGGCTTTGCCCATCTCGCAGGTTCAGACTTCATGATGAGACGTATGTTATTCACACCTGATTCAAAACATTGACTGAGATACGATTTGTTTTCTAGATGTGAGAACAAATATGATCCTACCATTGAACCACTAACTGTTCCTCCTTCTATAGCACATGCTTGCTGACGCTGTCGCCATCATCGGTACTATGGTATGTACCCCGTGGTTTTGTTATTCCCGTCGCTTATCGCTGTTGCCGAACAGGACCTTGTGTTTGGGTGCGTTTCTGATCTTTCGTTCTACACGATGTACGCTAACGTATATCCATTTAGTGAGGTGGACCGATAGACACTGCCTGCCAATGTATACCACGGTTCTTTTAATATACAGTGATATCATGCGCTTGAACTGATGATTACCTCGGGTTATCGAAACAATTTGCGTGACCCTCGGTTTTCAAAAACGCACTTAATGTGCACTCACAAACTTGTCTCGCAATCTCAAGATGGCCTTCACTTTTGCCGTTCGGTACTCAACGCAAGCTTTTGACACGGTCCACGTACTTGCTGTTTGCTCAGATAAAGAAAATACAAAGTGGTAGCGGTTGGAACAAGCTATCTCAATTGACTTCTCGAAATCGCGTACATTTTCTAATCACATAGTACATTGATAAAAGCTAGACATGTCGGGCCCGTGACTTGATATCGAGGAAATTCAGACACAACGGCAACAGACCTGCCAGTGCGTCGTTTCGAACCATATAGCGCTGAAAATCGAGAGTTATCTGCAAGAGCTGTGCGAGTGTCAGGATCTTCCAAGTGAGCCGTTTCGGATCCAGGCCTCGGGTTTTCGCAACGATGAATTCTGCATGACAAGAAAGGAAGCGGCGGACCCAATTCTTGCCAGAGTAAACTTTCACCATCTCCAGTATTTGAGCAATGAGCACGGAGTTTTCGAGGATGTAGAGGGGTTGCTGAATCCGAGTTACGGTGGCACCAGTCCACTAGTACTTTTTCTTGGGATTCATTGAGGAACGAGCGTCGAGTATGGTGTTTGCCTGCCACGCGATCTCGCACAGTCTGTGGGGGCACCTGAAGGAAAATTGAGTTGTGGAGGAAATGCTTACATTGTGAGCTATGGCACCACTGCGAAAGCTGCCATGAACACCAGTCAAGATATCATGGATGGCAGCTTGAATGCGAGCCTCTTTGGTGGGATTTTGGGGACCTTTCCGCTTCCCACCGACTCGAGTGGGCGCCATCCGTGCGGCGAGTAGACGCGTCGAGACGCGCTGTTGAAACTCTGCTGCGGCAGCGGACGGCAGGTGACAATGGAAATGACAAAAGCCTTTGTCACAACCAAACAGAACGATGGGAATCTCGGCGATTTGCTGAAGATCTCCAGGAGAGGACTATAAGAGGAAACCGTTTAGAGACCGAGAATTAGCCAAGTAGCGCGTCTGACCTTGCTTCGGCGTTCTAGTCGTCTGTACACCTCTTAGTGCGAGCGCCTAATTTAGAAACGTTTATCACCAACCTTGCTCAGGCTCGCCATATGTTACGCCGGTGGCCTAGGTTGCTTTGCTGGTGTCCTGTCGTTGAAAGGGTATACGGATCATCGGAAAGATGCTATGTAAGGCGCGCTACTAGTACAACTAACGCCTTCCTAAACGGGATAATATCATAAGCTCCCATCCGAACTCAGAAACTGGTCGAAAAAGTCTGATTGGCAGCAGGCACTGCGCTCGGTCTCTCACATATTCGACGCATCACAACAGATATCGATCCTGGAGGCATGGAACAAGATCTAAGAGTAAGATTAATAGGAGAAAACGAAGATGACGAACGAATGGACAGTGGGGATGATGAAGAGATTGAGAGTGATGATGCGTTTGATGAGAGTGACGAGGAAAAGTATGGTCTTTATTTTCCCAGTAATGACCATGACGATGAAGAAGGCGCCGTATCAACATCAGAGGACGAAGCTTCGCCAGAAGCTCTCGAAGAACTTCAAGACTTTGTATCAAAATTGGACCATGCAGACGACAAAAAACGCAAATCGAACGATGTCTCTACACAGTCCGCTTCGAAAAAACGCCGCTTAATGCAGGAGCGCACTGAGGCTGGGGATGAGGGAGAATTTGGCGTCTCTGTTCGCGGTGAGTCCCACCCCAACGTTCCTATGCGACTTTGTGTTAAGCATGATGCGCACACGCAGGCTCTACAGCACTGAAACTAGACGACCTCCTTGCCCCGCTTGCATCTTCGAGCGCACTCACAACGCTCAAAAAATCGATCAAGGTTCTCACTTCTACATCAACCAAAACCAAAACTTTGTTGGCGCCGCTTCCTCAGCGAGCTCAAGAGCGTCTCGATCGCGAAGCCGCTTATGAGCAAACCAAGGAGGAAGTGGACAAATGGAGCGCTACGATGAAGCGCATCAAACAGGCAATGATTTATTCAGTTCATCGTGTCTATTTCGTTACTAACTCGCGATTGTAGGCAGAACATCTGAGCTTTCCGTTGCAGGCACAGCCAGAAGGTCGCGTCTCCAACTTGGAGCTTGCAGCAAAATTCAAGGTTAGTCCGACTTCTACTTCTTCAATTCACCTCAGTTGACTACTACATTATTGCCAGCCCTCGAATGAGCTCGAGTCGGCCGTTGACAATCTCTTAAAATCGGCTCAACTTCGCGATCAGGACATCGCCGGAACTGAAGCTCTGAAGATGGCCCATCTATCGGTCGAAGAGGTCGCAGCGCGGCGCGCAGAACTGCGCATGATGCGCGAACTTGCATTCCGGGCCGATAAGAAGGCGAAGCGAATAGCGAAAATTAAGAGCAAAGCGTACCGCCGCATTCGAAAGAAACAGAGGGAGCGGTTGGGTGGTGAAGAAGGAGATGCGGATGTGGATGTTGAGGATGCAGAAGCACAATTGAAAGCTGAGGTGGAGAGGGCAAGGGAGAGGGCAACTTTGAGACACAAGACCACTGGGAAGTGGGCAAAAGCCATGCAGGGACGCGAGGAGCTTGATGTGGATCAACGGCAGGCCATCGGAGAAATGCTGGAGCGTGGAGAGAAACTTCGCCGTCGCATACAAGGCGAGATGAGCGGTGACGAGTCTGAGGAAAACGAGAGCGACGACGAAGAACAAGACGTAGAGACCATCAAGCAAAGTGCATTCGAAGAGCTGGCCATGCTCAATGCTTCCGACGTTCTATCTGCAGACATCAAAAGTAAGAGTGTCTTCAATATGAAGTTCATGCGCGATGCCGCAGAAAGGCAAACCCGAGAAGCGGACGCGGCTGCGGATGACTTCTTGAAAGAGATGGGAGGAGTGGAGCAAGAAAGTGACGACGACGCTTGCGGTGACAGAACAGTGACAGAAGGCCCGTCAGTTCAGCGCGTGGGCGGGCGCGTGGTATACCATCCTGGCACAATTCCTTATACTAAACCAGTCGACTCGCACGCATCGGAGACCTCTAGTGTCACCCTCCAATCCGCCGACCTGGTGCAAGACAGTCCCAAAAGTTTGAACTCTATTTCTAGCCCAATAATCTCTTCTCCGACGCAGGAAAGCAATCCTTGGCTCGTCACATCATCGTCTTCAGGCCCATCCCGCAAGAGAAGCGAAGTTCTTGTGCAAAAGGGCTCTGACGCCCTTGCGAAGTCCACCAACAAACTTAAGAAGCGAATTGCCAAGGGAGGGGAAGAGAAAGAACGTATTCAGGATGATGCAGTGTTGGAGATCGATGCCGACAATGTTCTCACCGCTCTTGAGCCAGCCTCCACACCGGCTGTCATAAACACCAAGCATAAGCTAAAGGGAAAGGGAAAGGGAAAAGAGAAACCGAAGAATGACAGTGTCGTTGTGCGGATATCACCTGCCGATGCTGATGACTCTGATGGACATAGCGAGGTGGACGAACAGGAGCGTACTCTCGAGAGGAAGCGCAAAGGAGGCAAAGGCAAAGGAGTGACTGCATTCAAGCAACGAGAATTGGTCTCCCTTGCTTTTGCCGGCGATAACGTCGTTCAGGTATGAAAGCTGTTCGTTCTTCAGTTGGGTTCGCGCGGGTTACTGATATGTTCCAGGCATTCGAGGACCTCAAGCAGTCAGAGATCGAAGCAGACGCACCACGAGAAGTTGATACAACTCTCCCTGGTTGGGTAAGCTGAACGTGATCTTTTTAATTCGCCGAGCTCAACGCACGTTATATATAGGGCTCTTGGGGAGGTACAGGTACCAAGAAGTTTCCACCAAGACCAAATTTGATCAAAAAAATCGCTGGCGTCGAACCTTCGTCTCGAGCCGACTACAAAAAAGCACATGTCATCATCTCTGAGAAGCGGGACAAAAAAGCAGCCAAGTACCTCGTCAAGGAGTTGCCGTATCCGTATACCAGTCATGCCCAGTACGCCCGCAGTATGGACATACCTGTAGGTGCAGAGTGGAATACTAGAGTGGGGTTCCAGAGAGGAACTCTCCCTCGTGTTGTGAAGAAGGCGAGTCACTTTGACCCTATTCTTATATCCGGCTGGGTTGCTTATTTCTTGTTCTTTTAGATGGGTACTGTCATTGAACCCCTAGTAAAAGCATCTTAATGGCGATCTGTCGTTGATCGATGCAGTTTCTCAGTTGACAAGGAAATTGACCACAATGTGAATGTGTATCATGTAGTGCCTGTGAAACAGATGGAACGTGACTTCATAGCATTTGTTCCACCACTTGTAAGTTGCGACAGTAGTAATGTCAACTACGATCTTGAAGGTCCAGAACCTATCTCGCTTGATAACATCAATGCTGAGTTCGCTCGACTAGAAGGCAAAATTCGTAATCAGAAAGGTTAACGATGCATGGAGAATTTGTCTTGGACTGGACGGAAGTATTAGAGGGGACTGTCCACGTGTTGAAACGTTGACGAGCCGGCGGCAGTCCCCGGGACGGAACCGCAACGACTACTACTAGTAAGGACTTGGACCCGCTATCTAATACGTGTACGTATCACATCAGTGTAGCACGCTTCAGGTGCCATCCCAATTTTCCTTGGTTCCACTGGCAGAATATGGTTCTTCCAGCAGAACTCCCTCAAAGTACTAGTTCTGTCTACTAGTAGTTATCGAACTTATTTATATCTTGACACTGGACCGTGCGCTGACCAGTGATATATCATGTAAATGATGTACTAATTCATGATTCCGAATAGGGCGAGTGCCACTGGGATCACGCAAGACGTCAAGCAACTTTTTGAAGCTCCAACTAGTTCGGCACTCAATTTCGCAACAAGAAGACCTTCCTTTGACTCGTATTCAACAGGACATACAAGCTATCGGCTCGCCTGATGGATGGTCTTTCAGAGACGGAGCCTCTCCTGCGACCAGCGCAGGTCCAGCGGAAGGCGACCGACGATATCCCGGTGGAAGGGTATTTGTCTGTGCAAGACGACACTACACGTAGTAGGTGCTCGGGACTCATACATTGGACATCATCTTACTCACATCTCCGGTTTCTTCTGTGATACAGACGCATTTGATAATGTGCCTGATGCAAAGAAGCAGATCGGTAGGCATTAATGTCGCTTGTGTCGCCGGGGTATGAAGCTAACCCAACGTGCTTCAGGACTCGCTAGTGCAGTAATGCTTATATTCAACAGAGTGATTGGAACTGGGTTTGTCACAATGAAAGCATCCTTCGTGAGGGAGGGCTAATGTTCATGTCCAGCGCTTTTGCAGCGCCTAGCGTTATCTTGCGGTCATCAGGGAGTGTAGGAATGACTTTCGTTATGTGGATAATCGGTACACTTGTCGCATGCGCAGGTACTGCTGTTTTTGTAGAGTTTGGAACGGTCAGGGACTCGGATTGTCAGTTGCTATCCCTTCTCATTTCGTCGTGTTCTAGGGACTGCCGAAGAGTGGTGGGGAGAAGACCTACATGGAATTCATTTATCGCCGACCGAGGTTCTTGGCTACTTGCTTCTACGCGATATACGGGTTACTCATAGTAAGTCCTTATTCGTCCCGCGAATGCATTGATCATTATCATCATCCGTAAGGGTTGGTTGGCGGTAAATAGCGTTGTTTTCGGGGAATGTAAATTTCACTCCTTCTGTTACCAGACGACTCCTAACTGGTTCCCCTAGACACCTTAAATGCCCTCGCAATCCAGCCTACCACTGTTAATGTTCGAGTAGCCGGCTTTCTGTGCTCGACATTCTGTCTCATCGTACACGGTGCATTCTTAGACTATGGGCTGAAACTACAGGATGCACTGGGTTTCTTCAAATTATTTGTATTACTCATTATCGCTGTTGCTGGGCTCTTCAGCCTCGTCGGTGTCCCTGGATTCGCCGTACGTGGTGAATACGATATTCCACATAATTTCACGTGGTCGTCTTTTTGGGAGGGAAGTGGCATTAGCCTGAATGCATTCATCACTGGAATGTATAATGTTATCTGGTAGGTTCATCTGGTCGTGCACCCGCGGGCCGGTTGCTAACTTCTTCACAGGGCTTACAGCGGATACTCTAATGCCAACTATGCCTTATCTGAAGTGCAAGATCCTGTCCGTACTATCAGGCGCGCTGCACCCCTTGCCTTGATTCTTGTCGCGGTCGCGTTTTTGTCTGTGAATGTTGCGTACTTTGCTGTTGTATCCAAGCAAGACATATTGGAAGGTGGCACCATGGCGGCGTATGGCTCATTTATCACGAAAACATACATTCACGCTGATGTAAACTTTTTCAGAGCCCTATTTTTCAGGAACATATTCGGTCCTGCTACAGAACGGGTAAGTAATGGCAACTATGCTAGTCAGCGTATTTTCTTATGTAGCTTAAACCCAGATTTTGAGTGCTGTCATTGCACTGTCAGTACTAGGAAACCTTATGAGCATCCTGTTCTCGCAAGGCAGAGGTTATTTCACTTCACTTGTACACGAGGATATGCGCTTACCATGGCACAGTTGTCCAAGAGTTAGGTAGAGAGGGTGTTCTACCATTCTCATCTTTCTTCGCCAGCAACAAACCTTTCGGTGCACCCCTTGCTGGGCTTTTTACTCAATGGCTCGTTTCTATGATCATCATGATTGCTGCTCCTCCTGGAGATGCCTATCTCTTTGTCGTAAATTGTTCGTACCTCATGACTTGATCTTGGACCTATCTAACCACAATTTAGTCTCATTATACCCCGTGACGATGTTTAATCTGCTGATATCGGGCGGTCTTCTCCTTCTGTACACCCCCGCATTCAAATCTTACGAGTGGTGTCCTCCGTTCCGAGCGTGGAAGTCCGTCGTTGTATTCTTTTTCGTATCCCATGTCGTTCTTGCTATTTTACCCATGATCCCGCCGACTGCAGGATCCGAAACTTATGAACATCTCCCATATTGGGTACGTTTGCCGCTATCTTTTTGTATGCGTAACTGATGGTTTGTCATGCAGTCCCACGTCGTTATAGCGGTGGCAGTTGGTCTACTTGGTATTATATATTGGTTTGTTTGCTTCTACTGGTTACCCAAGAAGCGTGGATACCGTATCGTGCAGGAGACTGTCTTACAGGATGATGGGGTCCCGCGGAATGTTCTTCGGAAAATACCAAATAGATCAGATGACGAAGGACGTGCTTAAATGTAGATGCCCTTTCAACTTTACAGTTATTTTCATATCGTTAGACCAGATTCCTTTTCTTTCCCGTCTTGCCGCTTCTAGATTTATTTCCTTGTGGAACTTAAGCTTCACAAACAACAGGGTCCAACCTTTTACGATACTGTTCGGGCGGAACAAGGGCGCAATACCCCTGAAGGACTCGGGAGTTCGTTGCTTCCGATCTTTGGCTCGCGACTATCGCACATTTCTTGATATATTGTACAGTTTCGAAGTTGTACGAGGCCACAATCACAACAACTGTTTGCTGTGCACAAACCAGCCACTGGTATCATGGATATTCAAGGGTGTTTCGCCCGACCAACGCATCGTAATAAGCGCGGCCCTTTTGTTTGTCCAGCTCCACAAGTAATTAGAAGCGGTGATACGAAAAACAATAAAATCCGGACCATCGATATGAAAGTAGCTGTAAGTACATCACGAGCTTCTAGATACCATCACATATGGCTATATACGTACAAGCATAGGTATCTGGGCATGTGCTAGACAAGCTGTGGGATATCAGGAAAACGTATAATTACTATTCCACCGTTTGCCAGCCCAAGGACCATGCAATTGCCGAACGATGCCTGGGATCTCACAGGCGACATCGTTGGAAGCATCGTAAGGGCCGTACCAGTCCTCGAATCTACTACCCACTTTCGCTCCAGAGACAATGGCCCGACGATAGAATGATTGCTGGGATCGTCGGCCGGCGTAGCAATTAAATGCACTCCTGTCGTTGCATCCCATGCGAAGACGGCACCCTCGCGGTCTGCCGCCAAGATCCTAACATTATCTGCGGGTAGAGCAACGGAATGTACTGGTTGCTCGAGGTTCAGTGGACCCAGCAAACATTGGCCTGTTATGGGATCCCAGACCCGCACAGTACGATCGAGCGACCCCGAAACAATACGCTGGCCATCTTGCGAGAATGCGAGGTGCGAAACGAGACCCTTGTGCTTCCGAGTCACACCCATGCTTCCAACTGACTCGATATCCCAGATGCGGATGGTAGCATCTTTCGCGCCTGTTACCAGACGGAGACGCCCGTACTGCTTCCCAAATGCTACGCAACGCACAGGCATTTTGTGCCGGCGAACGAGGTGGCTTAACTCTTCCCCTGTCTCCAGACTCCAGAGGCGTACGGTGGTATCTTTTGACGCGGATGCGATGAGTCGCCCGTCAGGAGAGACGGCGACAGAGAACACGGTGCTGCGATGTCCGCGCAGCTTGATTGGCATGGACGCCTCCTCAGACCGAATATCCCATACACAGACATGTTTGTCATCTGTGCCTGATACTACCCTCGTGCTATCAAGAGTAAAGGCTATAGAGTATACGCTCCCAGAATGACCGTGAAGGGGTCCCAATACCATTCTCCCTGATGCTGCATCCCAAATTCGAATAGCACCATCACGCGAGCCCGAAGCATAGCGCATACCATCGGGCGAGAATGCAAGACATAGGATCGTCTTCGTGTGCGTCGCCGGGGGGTCCAGAATAATTGATGCTGTCTGAACATTCCACATGATGATAGTGCAATTTTGTCCGCCTGAGATCAAACGGGTTCCATCAGGGGAGAATGCAAGAGCATATATTGCTCCCTGATCACGTTTTAGTGGCTGACCTATCGTTTGCCCAGAGAAGGTGTCCCAGAGGACTATTGAACCACTGAATAAACATGACGCAGCTAGCTGACCACCAGGCGCGAAGACCGTCATCGCTATATCACCCTTCGGCCCTTGGATCAGCAGCTCTCCTGATATAACGTCCCACACATGGCACCAGCGGGCGACCGTTGAGATCAACTGGGACCCATCAGACGATAGTGAGAGTGATGTAACTTCTCCACCTGGTCTGGGAATGTCCATGAGCAAAGGCGACCATTCATCACGAAAGCCTCCAACTACGACTGGTATTGATATTTCATCCTTGAATAATTGATATAGGACAGAGTTGGTTGGAGAAAACGGCAATGCACTGCTGTATACGAGAAGTGGGTGCTGTTCAATGACGGGGGTGAAGGCTTGGCAAAAGCGCACTGCATCCGCTAGAAGGTCGCAAAGTTCTTGATGGCGACCTTGAATTGACTGTAGGCTTGCTTTCAGCAACGAGATAAATAGGATGGAACTTTGACTCACTCGGCTCCAATCTTCTAGTCGCATGAGTAACTTAATTGTATGTCTAGCCTTCTTCAACAAACTCATTGTTTCGATCCAGTGAAGCAGATGCTTCACGAGAAGATCATATACCACAATAGAGAGCGATTCCTCGGTTCCCTCTAACTTGCAGACGTGATCGATCCAGAAGATGCAGGAGTAGGTAACATCCTCTGGTAAGATCTTAACATCGACACCACTCCTCGTGAGGGTCAAGTCGCACATATTTCGTTTCAAATTTGCGCGAAGGGAGCTGATGCACTGGAGGGCAAGTCTCTGATGGGATAGATGTATATCAATGAACCATTCATCCCTTTTGCAGCGAGTTCGATCTGTTAGAAAATCCTCGAACGAGGGATGAATAACATGAATCGGCTCGTTGGTCGATCCTCGGAAAACACAACCAAGATGCTGAATAGTATGAAGACTTGGTCGCATTCTTGAGACTGAAGCAACCTCGTTGAGACGGTCGATAGTCGATGCCGTCAAAGGATTTTTGGCAGCTATCACAACGCCGAGAATGTCGCGGAAGTCGGCAGAAAACGCTGGATCTTCCCATCTCCCAGCGGATTCTAGGGCGGTGGTGTACATAAGGTCAAGGGCTGACTCGTAGTTCGAGCAAACATCAGTACGAAGCAGGTCCGCTAACCTGTCTTCTAGATCTTGACCATTTTCCACATAGCGACAGGCGGTATACGCCCATATAAAGAGTCCGTGCGCTCGAGCTGCCAGAGCATCAATTACGTCATGCCCAGGCCATTCCTGTGGGAGTGACAGATATTTGTTTTTAGAACGGATGTTTTGCAGACGATCGGATAGGTACAAGTGGATATCCTTATCATTTGCAGGAGAGTTGATGTCGATTGGAGTGCCACAGATATTCTTCTGTGCTTCCAATGCTTGCTGAATATCCAGCTCTGTCCGGCTTGTGACAACGATGCGTAATGTCGGCGGTAATTTTACGCTCTCCAGCGCTAGGATACTGAGAAGGTCTTCCCGGTCCCCGACGTGTCCGCACTCATCCAATGCATCGATAACAACGATCACAGGACCTTCTTGGCTCCAAACCGCCAATTCGGATTCGGACAGCGGTTGCACCAGTAGTTTGTGAAACTGCTGTCGTAGGGGTGATTGTCTGATGCTTGGAGTGCCTTTTATCACAGTCGAGATGGATGCTCCCAGTCGAGGGTCAAATTCGCCAAGCTGGAAGGCAAGAGTTCGTACAACGGCTGCTGGATCATTCCTTGCGGCCATGCGGCGGTCGAAAAATACAAACGCGCCGAGACGACCCAGATCTCGTGTAATGTTGGCAATCGTTGTAGCAACGGTGCTCTTTCCAGAGCCAGCAGGGCCGTGGAGCCAAAGCACATTCTGATTGCTGGAAGGATTCATTGCCCAAGACAATACACTGAAGAGCAAGTCGCTGCGAGTTTGGGGCAAGCAAGTTGGTCGGGATGGGTCATCCATATCTACCGGATGAAGCTTGGCAAGAGTTTGTGTTTGAGCTAGATACCAATGAGCGCTTGAAGCCCTGAGAATGTAACATGCATACAGACCTATCGACTGCACATCTTCGTACATGCGGTGAGCAATGAGAGCGATCTGGACCCCAACTCCGGTGTTGAGAGATGCCTTCAGCATCGTGAATGTCCGCGTAAAGCGTCGAATTTGCTCGCCTGCCCATTGTTGATTGAGCGCACGTCCTAAAATTCTGAATGAGAATAAGAGACAGGTTTAAGATAAAACACACGCACCACAAAATCCGTGGCCAGAGTACTCCTGAATGAATAGCATACATTCTATGGTTTGGGACATGATCTTCTTGATAGTCTCTTCCTGAGATGCCAGTCTACTCGGAAAACTTTTTATATCATCAACAAAGGTATACACGTCCTCCATCATCTCCGTCAGCTCTCCGATGCTTTTGTCCCGGTCCAGTTGGTCTCTGGCAATCTATACCATTCATCAGAACCTCAGAGTCTCGTGTGTTGATGCTCACCGTGTAAAGTGATGATACAACCTGCCATGCCAAATTCACAAATGGATGTATCTGCATTTTTCAAATATTAGCTTGTCATGCTGAGTGGGCCTAAAGCCACTGACCTGCGATGCTACGCCCACAATCTGGATAAACGTATCTAGCTGCGAAATGAGTACAGAAAACGATTTCCCCACTGATATAGGCTCTGATATAGGCTCTTCAGGTCTGTATAGACGGACTAAGATGTAGCCTCGTTGTGAGGCGTCATAGTGTAGTACGTCGTCCGAAGGGAAATTCAGCCGAATTTCCTGTGCTAATGATATGTGCAAGAGCGTTGTGTTGACGTCACGACGCTGTCGATTTAAAAAAAGACCACTTACACACTGCGACAACAGGTTGCCTAAGTATTGTGGCCACATCTAATCCGACTTTGGCGAGAGAACGGGAGCCAGGTTTGAAAATCGAATTGTGTTTGCTTTTGATCTCAAGTTGTGCTTCCATGTCTACGGGTCTAACAGCGTACGTAGTACTTGTCAACCGTTTCTCTTCATGTATGAACTACTGAACACTCACAACATGAAGCGTTTGTTCCATACAGCCCTGCCATCAAGTTCTCTAGCCACTTCATTGGTCTTCAGCGGTGGATGCCCTTCTACGAGGATTTTGACATAATATACAGATGATTTGGTGGAATCTTTCTTCGGGATCAAGGCTTCGATGACTGTATATCATATTTGGAATTGTGGGGTTTACCAAGATGTACTGAAGACCCACTGTCTGCTTTGTAGTACGTCCTGCTGTCCATAAAGATGCCGCTGGTGAGAGTGAGAGTTTTAAAGACAGCCCAGTGGCTGGCCAACCCGTTTAGACTGAGTTTACATAAATAATAGCTGATGAAGTATATACGGGGTGTTTCAAGTTAGTGCTTATGGAATAGCTATAAGCGAAATTTGAAATGAGGACTATTTCTCGTGATCTGCTGACTCCACACGTAAATGATGAATCGATGGACCTTGATGAAGTTCCACCAGGTTCCACCGTTGACGTTGAGACCCGATGTAATAAGATCGGGGAAACCATGTGGCTGCACGATATAATTCGGAGGATGTATACTAGTATATACTCTCGACCTATCCTGTAAGCCTACCAACCAACTTGAAACCACAGATATAGAATAGCATCGGCGGTGCAAGAGTAAGGAAGCATAGTGGCACACTCCGGATGTGTGCATCGTTACGCAACTCGATCGCTGGTTCTGTCAATAGACATCTGGTCCAATTCTGGGTGTCTTGAGCCACGCAGGTATTGGACGACGCGCTCTGGCTGACGGGGCAAGGACTTCGCAAAATTCAGTAGCCGTCCCACACGAGTGTTCATCGTAGGCCACAGCGTGAATATCGTAGGCCATAACGTGAGTATCAAGACTATTATCCATCCAGGGATCATCGTCGCGAGCGTTACAACGTCGTCGGTATCGAAAATGAAGATAGACAATGCGAGTCCGAAGAATACCATCCTGACGAGATACAAGGTCAGAACTCTGGGATTGATACACGGGGCAATTAGGACATACGCCCATACAAGGAGTGCATACGGCAAGCTATGCATCAATGCCAAGTTTTCAATTCCAGGAATTCCGTTGGTCATCAGGGACATGTATAAAGCCTGCATGTGTGATCAAGGAGGTTCGTTGAACTAAAAAAAGATCGCATACCCCGTCCTCGGCAGTCTGATAGTCTTTGCTTTGGTCGACAAGTAACACAGCAACCACTAGCGAACCTGCAGAACAAAGAGATGACATGTATACCGCGATAACGGGCGATGTCTGTAAGGAGGGACCGATGATGCCAGGCACCGCAAGGAAACTGACATCAACAGCCAACATAACAGTGGACTCCAGCAACGTTAAGTCTTCAATTGCACTCAATATGTATCGAGCACTTACATAGAGCGTGAACCCCAGCCACTCGTTATCTAGTTGGTTGATAAAGTCTTTCCAGCGTGGGGCATTGATGATCTCGTCCACCCATACTCTCTGTACACGCTTATAGTGTTTACGTGGCCCATACCAGAGTATTAGGTTGAGGAGCCTGAAGATGAGTGTTTCGCGTTCGTGGCCCTCTTTGTAATAGATGGACCTGTCGGCGTCAACGCGCACGCCAGGTTGTCCGCAGAAGTTTGTGTATTTGACTTTGGCTGGGCTTTGTCAGTATTTTTCGCGAATCGAAGGATATATCCGTACTGAACAATCTCATGAACCGAGCTGTAAAGAGTAGATCAATATACTGTTGTCATTCATGAAAAAAAAACTTGCCTACAACACACACAGAATAAGCATGCATTTTATTGATGCTGCCTGATTCAGCATTTAGTTTGGGTCGAAAACACACGGAGCAAGTCTAACCCTCAACACGGTCCATTAGATCCAGCATCTTGGCTAGTTCATTGCCATCAAAAGGGGCAAGTGATGTATCCGAGGTGATGGTTTCTATGATGATCGTAAGATTCCGTTCTTCATCAAGTTGCAATCACATAGCCTGCCTGCGTTTGCATGAACAATAATTTCCCTCAGCTCTTCAAAGATTTGTCTCGAAAGGTATCGGTTGTGAGGATAAAGCTCGCAGTGATACCTAGAAGACTGTCAGCGTCGCCAACAAGCTATTGCGTACGAGTCAGTAAAATTGATCGAAAATATTTGTTCACGGAGCGTACCGATCCCTTGGAGAGTACTGGCCAGTATTGCGATTCCAATGAATACTCTAAAAGCAGGTGTTTAAGGGTCATCCAAATAGTAGTGAACCACCCACTTATATGACTGAGTCTCTTGGCTGCCTTGACGTTGAACAGAATCTCACCATGTGGTTCGCAAGTATATGAATGCGCCCAAAATATCACCCTCTTCACGTGATCGACAAAATAGTAGCCACAAGAATTGATGATGTTAGTACGACCTTTTTCGGTGTTAAGCTCGAGCACCAATTCTGTTCCATCACCGATCCTGGCCTGTACGTCTGACTGATTCTTTGCATAAGCCTTGAGGGCTTTAGCCATCCCCAGGAGCATCTTCGAATCCACCTTGCCTATGCGCATGTCTGCATCCGTGAAAACTCTCTATAAAGTGTATGAGCATTTTGGAAAATCAATCTAGGGACACATGCTAACTGTCTCATGGTGATAATAAACTCTGGGACCTTCCGGGTGCACAAAGTCGCGCCACCCACATTGCACCTCCCTAGATACATGTATTATGGGATACAGAAACTGTCGGTGAACGTGTACATACTCCTCATACTTGTTGTCTTTCGGAGTGATGACGAAGCAATTCGGTTCAGCCCATTTCCTTCCATGGCAGTGTCGCTACGTCAACATCGCTCTAAGAATGAGTGACCGTCTTACATTTTGATGTTTCTATCATAGCGTTTGACGTCGGTCGGTATGATTGGTACTAGTTTGATGCGCTCGAGTGGCGCGGCGGCATGCCGCGAGAAGATAAATTGCGGTTCGTCTGTTGTGTTCATTTCTAGGAAGATTTGAGGTAGTCCACTGTCAAAGCTGGTATTTGACACTGGAATATCATCTATAGTCCCTATGCTGAAGTCGTCTCTGGAATTGGGGTGCGGAGGTGGCGTCAGGTACAATGGATGCTGCGGAGATGCAATGTCCACTGGTACTGCGAGCGTAATATGTGGTCGGTCACCAGGCTGGTTCATATCTGTCGGGAGTGTATGGATCGTAGGCAAGCCGCTCGAACATATTGCAGGGCGCAACTCTTCTTGAAGTCTTCTAGTTGAGGAAGTATCATGGCCGAGGCGAATACACATGTGTCCTAGCCTACGGAGTAAGGCATAGAAAATTCGCAACGTATAGCATGCTCGACGAAGTGAAGATTTCAACAAGAGTGCAACGAATCTAGCAAATTTGCGCGAGATGTCCGATGAGAAGGTGGCCATGAAGATGAAATCATAAAAGCAGTCCACCGTTTGAGAACTGAAGCTTAGGTGTGAAATGTTGAAACCGCAGTAAGTACTGGTAGTTAGTCTAGTGGCAGTGGTGAATCTGTTAACCCGTGCCAGGCTGCTAGCCAGCTGGCAGTTTCAAAAAGTTCGAATAGCTTAAGCGCTTATTAGTCATCAGAGAAGCCACAACTTGTCACTACCAAGTGATTTGACCTACCACTTGCGTTAACTGCCGCTGCATCGCACCCCCTAGAACACGATGTCTGGGCAAGAAGAGCAGCTCACAGAGTTGCTTCTAACGCTCAAGGTCAGTGCTAACAACTACTACACCCATCAACTCATCACGCGACTTCCAGAAAACAACTCCAGAGCAAGCACGCGCTATCCTCGCATCCACGCCACAAATCGCGTATGCCCTCATCGGTCTGATGGTGAAAATGAATGCTGTAGATGTCCAAGTCCTGCAGGTATGCTGTACTCGCCCTTACCGCCTGGAAACCATCAGATTGATGAACCGGCGATTCCAGAAAACACTGACGGCCTATTCGGCATCGATCCAGCAACAGCAACAACAGAACGCAGGTCCGTCGACGGCGCCTGCCATCCAGCCTGCTTCTGCAATCCCACCCCACCTCCAGCAGTACCGTACACCAACGCCACAGTCACAAACGCCGCCGCACGTGCCATCACATACACCCACCCCTCCTCATTATCCCAATGGTCATGGGCAGGCTCCACAGCAAAATTTCGGTTATGGGGCGCCCTCCCAATATGGTGTACAAGGAGGATATAGCGCGCCGCAACAAACTCCCATAGGTGGTGGCATGATTCCAGATGCCCTGGCATCGATTCCCGAGGAACAGAAGGTGCGAGCAACCCAATTTTACCATATTGCATATTTTGACGGGCAAAAAAAACAGGCCATGATAATGCGCGTCATAGCTATGACATCAGACCAAATCAACATGCTGCCACCGACAGAACGCGCGAGTATTATTCAGCTGGTAAAAATATTTCTTCGATCTCGTTTGAGCCTATTGTGCTGATTAAAATCAACCCTGTCTCCCCAACTTTCCTTGCAGCGTGCAACGCTAGGGCTGCCGTCATAAGGGTCTACGCTAGCCACTCATATCTGAATACGACATAGATAACCCGCATCGGGATGATACACCAGGGCGTTCCTCGAGAACGTAAGTGATTTTCTTTTGGCCCGCGGTGTATCGACCAAGGCAGGCGCGAGTTTAACCCATTGGAGATGGTGACCAGAAAATTAACCGAATTGATCTTGACGAGCGACACTTGATAGAATTCTAATTTACGATTCAATTACTCCGTTGTCTGAATAATGGACTGATGATGCAAATGCGATTCCGAGGCTTACAACAAATCTTTAGTAAATGTTGATCAGCATCTGCCCAAGTTGGTATTCCATGTGCAATATAAGACCCTGGATGACTACTAGCGTATCGACTGTCATGTGTTTGTGTTAGGTCAGACTGGTAGGGTCCAAGGTCACTCATTACCGAGGAGATCGTAGTACTCGTGGCTCGCAATATTAATATGAATCTCGTACATGATGTCAATCCTCAAGATACATTGCCTCTGTCTGAAAATTCTATCGAATGATTCAACTTGTACGACATCACTGAACCAATCGCTCCGAGTCGGAACTGTCATGGTATTGACCCACGCTTCTCATGAAAACCTTACACCTTCTGGATAATGGCCTTTACACCAGATGCACCCAAGCCCTCCAAATCGGAATAGCCTGGAAGAAAAATTAGATGAAATCAGCTTTCACGCAATACAAACCAAAAATATAACCATACCACCAATCAACTTCTTGTCTTTTGCAAGATCACGACATCAGCATCACCGACAAGCTAAATGATTCGTAACTCACTAGCAAAAACCCGAGGGAATGTGGCTGAAGAACCTGGGAGGCCGCCAAGGTAGCTGATAATAGCATGCTGCTCGCCGGTTTCACTAAGGCTGTGCGTAGTACTTGTCAAAATGGCGGGCGTCCCGATCAAGGGTGTCACCTACTCGATTGATTTACCATTGAGATCTGGATTTTCTCGCAGGAAGCGGAGAGCTTGCTGGCAGTAGTAGCAAGGCGGCGAAGTCCGGATGAAGACAACGAGGCCGTTGTCTTTGAGACCGTTCTGTGAAGGTATGACATCAGTGAAAGGTGGCAATGACCTGGAGGCCAGCAGCGTCGATTACTTCAACAAATTCTTGGATTTCCTTCGGATTCATTCTGGATTCCCTTGATGTATGAACAGAACTAGAAATGGAGGGAAGTCTAGATGATACAGCTCTGTAGATTTGAGAGAACATGTCCATCCTCCGGCAATCCGCGTGTCCTCAGGTGACAGCAGTAATAACAACTTCAAACCCCGGTAGTCAGAAGGTTGCCGTTTATCATATCCACACGCACCAATCCCCTGACACCCAATCTCAAGTCGGCCGATCTCTACTATTTGCTACAGCTAGGACTTGTATTGATCGCCGTACGAACTTTTGTCGCAAATCCCCTTGGCATGCTGTATAGGTTGCTATGTGTGCAGGCCACTGTGCTGTATTTTCAAACCAATTACCGTCACTTCGTGCAGTTATTTGACCGCTAGTGCACTATCGTATTTATATACAGCTCTGCACCATTTTATGTTCCCTCAGCCACTCAAACTCAAGAATATCGAGAAAATAGTGCGAGCCAGATACGTTGGGGGCCTAGGGCAAGCCATAGTATACATCACTCAAAAAATGCGTGAGCTCATATGCATAGCCCGACACGAAGCACGTGCACGAATGCGGACAACCACCCCTTGGTGCGGGAGCAATTATTCAACGCGGGATTGGCTACTCGACGGCCCATGGACAGAAAGCGTGTGCAACTGTTCCGAGCTATTCAGCTAACAGTGACATCCATGGAATCGGGAGAACATTGAACCGTATAAGGCGCAGATGGAGGACGGCACAACGTTTTTGCAATACCAGTACAGATGATATTCACAAAATGTGCACACAACAGAGGAAACAAGCAGCGCCCACACACAGTGAAACACTGAGAGTGATTTAGAATGTCCAGAGAAGCGGCTGACATAGCCGAATTCGGAGCATGCCCTAGAAAAGTATGTAGGATTTATTGGCCCTGGGTCCACGTATGGCTTTGGACCCGAGCGCCAACACACTGGTAAAGCACAGCAGAGGTGATGGTTGTTGCCATAGTAGAGCCACACCAGATACTGATCCAACATCGAATATGACATAGCCAGCTTGAATAAAGATAGCTTTGACCAGGTGCAAAACGATTTGTAAGTTTCAAAGTGACAGGTGTGATATTGGAACTAATAAGAGCATCGTGGTAGACAGGGCAAGCAGTGATATCGCGAGGAACAAGGTCAGGAGGACAGAAGTGTTCGACAGGCGCCCGGGGAGTGCGGAACGGAAGCTTTACCACAAATACGGCCTGTAGAATGGTGAGCCAGCTTGTAATAGACAATGCGACAGATTTGAGACCGACTTTCGAACAAGGCCAGAGATATACCAAGCACAACACCGCATACAACGAGGACTCGTTTAGATAACGAAAGACAGACTAGAGTCTAGAGGGAGGCACGGAAGGATGAACAGAATGTGTGAAAGCAAAGGAATTCCAGCTGAACTAATAAGTTCGCACGCACGCAAAGCTCCCGTGGGAGACGGGGATCACACAACGGCAATAATCTGCAAGAATGTCTATCGTAGTGAAAAGCGTGTGCAAGGCGTTGGAACGAATTGCACCGCTCCGGCTCGCTGAATCATGGGATAAAGTTTGTACCATTCACCAGCAACGTCGTCTGATACGGTGATCTGAAACATCTGATTGGCAGGTAGGCCTCATCATAGGTAAATACCCCATCATGATGCATCAAAGCTCGGTATCACTTATCCAGTGTCACAGAATCTCCCGTCCCAAGGTTCGACGCAAAGCGCGTAGTGTTGACGATCGAGTAAGTGGAATACATCAGCAAGGATTGCTTCGCAATCAACATGCAATCTGTAGTGACAAGGGTCCTCTAGTTTGACCACTGCTGTCCTCGAGGAGACATTAAAAGTGCCTACAGCGCTGGTGATAACCTACCACCCACCCCTCTTTCAACCCATTACTTCTCTCACATTAGCAAACCCACTGCAAGCATCCCTGCTCAAGCTCTCTGCCGCAGGGACGTCAGTCTTCTGCCCTCACTCAAGCCTCGATGCGACTTGGGGTGGTATCAACGACTGGCTTGCAGAAGGCATCATGGGTCCCCAAAAGGCTACTGGAAAAGTCGACATCCTGGGAGAAGTCAAGGGAGAAGCAGGTGGTGCCGGCCGGATCGTGACGCTTGATGAACCGATTCCTATCGAGGAACTTGTCCAGAGAGTAAAGAAGCATCTTCTTTTGTCACAAGGTCTACCGCGCATCTCCCGTGCCTGTCATGAATGTCTGATTATAATGAACGTACAGTTGACGTAGGACGGCCGCTTGTTCAAAAATCAATTAAATCGGTCGCAATTTGTGCTGGTGCCGGGGGATCGTTACTTTCAGGAGTTGACGCCGATGTGTATTTCACGGGAGAAATGCAACATGTATGGTTAGATTCCTCTTTCGTTCTTACGTTTCTAACGATGATTGCAGCACGAGGTCCTTGGAGCAGTCGCAAGGGGTCGGTACGTCATACTATGTGAGTTGACTTACGCGTGACGGAAGTCTCGTCATTGAACGTATGATATCAAGGTGGACATACAAACACCGAGCGTGGGTACCTCCCTATTCTCGCAAAGAAGCTTTTGGATGCACTCTCCGAACTTGTGCGGGACGAGTCGCCCGATGGATTATCGCTAGAAGAAAGAATTGAGATCGGGAAGTACCAGCTGGATATTCACATCAGCGAAGCAGACAGACACCCTCTTGATCGCATGTAAACAAACGCGGTGTACACGGGAAGGTTTGGGTATTTGATTATACAAGTGCTATATATAATATTGGTCGACCCTTCTTTGACGAGGCAGTATAGTCAGATCTGTCACCTGCCGGAAGCTCGAATTGGCTGTGTCAAATGCAGAGACAAGAACTAGACAAAATGCACACGGTATCCTTATCCTACAAGCTCTTGGCTGTCTATGCCACTCGACCCTGCGTTTAGCTTCCCCTAAGTTTGCTATGTTTCTTAGAGTTCGGTTGCTAACCCAGGGGGTTAACTTTACAGACTAGCGGACCGAGGACGAGCCGTTCGAACTCACGACGGGCCTGCACGTTGATTTCAGACGATTCTGAGTGTTGACACCACTTGGACTCAATCAGGCGAATATCGAACTATTTTTGAATCGAGAGCAAGCTCATGACTGGGGTCAAATTTCATTCTCGGTGCCTGGATGGAGCAAGTGACCATACGATGTACAACCTGCCAGCGTCAAACTCCTTCACCGATTCCCCTTCGAGTCACATTACCCACAGATAGAAGGGGTCGTGCGAGGGTACCGGTGAAAGTCAAGCGAAGTTATAAAGGAGGATAAAGCCTTGACAAATGTACCACACTTGGAAAAGAGCACGGTTCCGGAAAGAAGATAGCCTAGTGATCGTCATTGTATTCAGTCAGCGACATCGGCGGACCAAGATTGACCCGCGAGCATTTTACCCGAAGAGGTGACAGGATGGTAGGCATTTGAATTGTATTGCGGGGTAAGATACGTTCGTAGAGAAAGGAAGGTGAAAGAAGTTGCTGGCGCGTGCGAACCACGACGCGGTGATATCGCATATTAGAAACAGAAGTCTCGAAGAGGTGATGGAACGGCGAAGTCGGGAACACTTATCGAGAGCGTGAATACTCATCGCTCAGCAGACATATGGTTGAAATGTGGGAATGTCGTGGCATGGTGCGGGGAAAGGTGGGAAATGTGCATAAATGGACGTAAGGATATGATATCGATTCAGCATCCAATCTCGACAGGATAAGGGCTCGGGGGAAGGAAGATTCAAGGCGAGATGTAAACGTTGGCATTAAGTTGTGGTTACTCACTGGATACACGCCAAGACAACGTCTAGAAATAAAAGAGTGTCAAGCACTGCCAGAAAGTTGGTTAGGCCCGTTGGGAATTCTAAGCCTCGACGTGTTCATGGAGTGGGAAACCATCGTGGTAATGTTCGACATATAAAAAAGATTGAGTTACAGATTTGGAGCGTTTTGACGTATGCTAAGACCTGAGACGGTTTTGAACGGGCTATGAAAGCAAGAGCATGATCCTCCCGGGGACAGGCAGTGCTTGTTAGATATAGGTTAGATGGCGTCATAATAATGTGAGAACACCGGTAAGAGCTGTAAGGCTGAAAAAAGACAAATGAGGATGTCACGGTTGGGCTGGAAAGTTTGACTTTTTTGATAAGAAATTCACTAGGATGGCTGGAATGTCAGAGCAGGGAGGCCGTTGTATGTATACCCCAAATAGTATTGATGCGGGAGATTTTGCTTGATTGAAGCAAACCTGCAGGAGCGTTTGCATTTGACACCAATTAGGTATATCCGTGACGGTCTGTCACTCTCGCTGTTATTGTGGCTGTCACAGTCGCGTCAAATCAAGTGCACGTGTTGTTGACGCGTCAGAAATAATTCACACGCCCTCTCCTTCTCTCCGACGTAGCAAGTTGGAATTGTTGAACACTCCTCCAAGTCTGCACATACCATGCCGCCAACAGCCAACACAGACCAAAGAATAAGACACCTACCAGACCTCTTGGATACATCTGTCTCTTTCCAGATCCCCGCCGATTCGTCATCCGCGGAGTTTCTGCTTGCAGATGACAGCAGTGATCTTGATTTTTTGCGCGGAGCTGGCGGTGCTAGTTTCGCCACCATTGCTCCTACTCCAGCCCGCGGAAAATTGAAGCTTGGTAATGCTACACCGAAAGCCACATCGCAACCGTTATCGCTATCAAGATCACCTAGTCCAAGTCTGTCGGCACCCCAGAAGATTGACTACAGACCTGTACGGTCCCGATGTCAGAACCCTGCCAAGGCGAACAAAATGACGCGCCCTCCATCTAGACGTAAGGAAATAGTACTAGACGGGCCCGCCGTTTCCGAGGAGCGCCTGGACTCCTTACGCGCAGAAGTGGGGACCCTCAATGATGATTATAATATCTCAATGCACGTGCAGCCACCAGCGGTTGCACGATCTTCTGTTTTTCCTGTGCTAAATGTTACGGCAGCACCAATTTCAAAGTTAAAGCCGAGGACAACTATCAATTCTGTAAGCTAACTCCCATTCGCAATCAGTATGAACTCATCATCCTGTGGTAGGCGGTAGAAGGCGGCCGTAACACCAAGCTAGCAACGCACAGCAAGATCCCTATGTCTACCGCTGACAAACTTGGTCCAACTTCGATTGCCGAACCGACTGTGCAGTCGTCTTCTATGGGGATGTCTGAGTCAGAAAACGTGGCCATAGATGCCGAATTCCAAGTTCCACCCGCAGGTATGAGTGGTGATAATCACATGGTCTCAAACGCCAGCCAAGGCGTGACCGGAAGGGTGGCTGAACGCCTCGTGTCTTACAGTCAAAAATTAATGTCATCGATTAGGTATGTCTGCTGATACGCATTTCACTGCATTTGCACCGGAACTGATCAGTTGTACCTCGCGCGTGCTCTTTTCTCCTTCTTTCTCTCCTTCTATATAATTGTGGTCGCAATCGGGAATTATGGTTCGATCTGACATGATCTCCGGTCACCTTTCTTGGAAATGCCATCACCTGGATTCCCCAGCATCTATAATCCCAGGACCGAAAATTCCTTCATGGCAGGTACGGGTACTAGTGTTGCTAGAACGGAAGATTACATCGAAACTCAACCTTCACCTGCGGTCGACATTCTGCATGCCCCATGTTCACCGGACGCTTCAAGTCGTAACGATTACTTATTGAGGCTTTCAGAAATTTCACCGCAGAAGTATTACCCACGAGCTAGCGCCTCCCCCGGTCATTTATCCACAGGAAGGCAGGAGCTATCGCCCATGAGACCGGCGAGGAAGCGCCCGGCCACTGAGGAACATTCCACTTCCCAACAGCCAAGTGGCAGCAAGAAGTTCAAGGTGAAACCGTTGGTGTCAAGCGCCGAGGCCAAGGGTGGCCTGACTATCTCGGCAAGGTCATCTAGTCAAGTTCTTCGGCCATCTATTCAGAAGAACCATGCACATGCCAGCGCAATGCTTATCAGTCGGAATTCGCGGTGTCCGACGTCAAGTTTTCCAAGCGCGCGAACCAAGTATAAACCCAGACAGAACTTCCAACGCCAGGTGCGGTCTACGTCGATTGCATCATCGTGCCTGCGCAACCAGACGATCTGCAAGGGACAAGACAAAAATATTCAGGGACAGGAGGGAGTTTCTAGTCGCGCGCTCATGTCACAGTGCCGAACGTCGGGTAGTTCCCGGGTCCACTTTGATGCGGGACATGCGCTCAGTAAGAAAGATGCGGCAGTTACGGGGCTCGAGCAGTTGGGTCCATCTAGACCTGGCCTTGTGTCACCCCTCGAGCAGTTAGGATCATCTAGACCTGGCCGTGTGTCACCTCTTGAGAAGGCGGTACGTGATTAATTAACGGAATCCCTATCTTATGTGCGCTCATACGATATTATTTTTGCATGGCTGATTGTTGGCTGTGATATTCGGAAGCACAGAGCATGTCGTTGCCACCTGCCAACATCACAAAGCCTATTGCGTTTACGTTCCATCTGGACGCGCGCATTGAAGCCCGTAAAGTTGAGTTTGAGAAGCTTGCGGCTAGCGAGCAAGGTTATATGGAGAAGGGGCACCGACAAAGGCATGCTGTGCCCGATTTCAAGGTACTACACGAGGCCCACCAAGCATCACTTGCATGGCGTAAGGAACACATCGTCCCGATAGTACCCGCAGCACCGATAGCCCTTAGCACCGAAATTCGCGCCAGAGAGAGGGAGAAATTTGACCGAATGGTGCGAATAAAGGAAGAGGAGATTCAACGAGCAAAAGAGGAGCGCCGAAGACAACGAGATGCGGAAGAAGAAAGGGAGATCAAAGAACTTCGCAAGCGAGCAATTCCCAAGGCGAATGAGATTCCAGAGTGGTATGCTGAGATGCCGAAGAAAGGTGGTGTAGGAGGATCAGGATAGTGGAGGGCGTCATGCGATAGTTGTCAAGTGATGGGGATCGAGAACGTTTGTAAAATGTACGCAATATTTTTCGTTATCGGTGCAGCATGCCTTTTTACATCATGCCGCCCAAGTCACATCCCCCTTGGCTATCATATCTATCGCTCATAGTACAATGCCGGTGGTACAATCAAGTTATTCTGGGATGTTTGAACGGGGTTGAAGAGGAAGTCTGGGAAGACCTCGCGTTTAACGCATTATAGCCGGTGCAAAGTGCCTTTCAAGGCCTGAGAAGGCTTGATGGCATGATGACCGATCGCCCCGGAACCTTGTTTTGCCTTCTGTTTCGATAAGTAGTATGTTTACATGTGTCATTCCTCCTGGGTAACCTGCACTGCGGGTCTAAAATTCACCCGGCTGTGTAGAGAGGCAAGTTTGATGATACATGCCACTAGTGGTAGTGCGGTGCCAAGTTTGTTGTTGGTCGTTTCAAGTTGTCTGATGGACAGATTGAGGAGTGATATCTCCAAAAAGTTGCGCTGGCATTTGGAATATGGAATATTATATGGGAACTATGATCCATTTGCTTGGAAACCAACATGAGGTGGTTGTCTGTGGGTGCCTTGGGCGAACTGACGCGCTAACCAAATCTACTGAATTAGACTTTGGTATGCGGGCATGATAATACTTTCCGATTCATTCATTCATAAGTGCGCATAGCCCCATTCAACCTAGCCACCCACGCGGTGGGGGAATAACTGATCTTGTAGGATTATTCGGTTTCTAGAAGTCCGATGCAATGAAAGTTTGGGGCCTACGGCATTGCCAACGAAAAATTCTTAGGAATGCTTGGTACGTGAAAAAAAAATTCCTGATCTGATGAAGTCATACCTGTGAAGTTCGATAATACAGGCTTCAAGAACTGACAGTTGAGTTCTGTCTTTACGATCGGTCAAATAATAACGAGATTGCCAATATAACGCTATGCAGGAACGGTCACATCATGTTCCTGTCTTCATCCCCCACGCGATCGGGATTGAGTATGTTGCCTGGTATAGCATTGGTGTTCCGGCTGTGAAACGTCTTAAACGTAGTTGAACAGGTCGTGGAATGCGGTGCCGTGGGGACACGTTGAAAACAAGGTGGTTGGTTCCTCGATTAGCGGGGGATGTTGTGAACGGGTGCCGGATCGTGTGAGCGTCGTGCGTATTCTCGAGGACATGGCTTTGTAGATTGAAATGTGAATTGACAATCAAATTATGCGTATGTACATGCCACAGACACTGCCAGATCTCGGGGCCATTGCTGTGTGACTTGAGCAAGCAACATGTCCAAGTTGAGTTAGATATAGATGGACTTCCAGTACTTAGTACGTTATCGTGTCAAAAAGACAGGTTGGACCCGAAAGCAAGGATCCGGTGCAACATGGCCTCGAAAGGTTATCGTGGTGGATGGGATGCCCTGGCTGTGAGCGCTCAAGGAAATTGATGTACGAAAATGCTTGATTGGGGCACTGGTTGATTTCTTCGAGGGGTCATGGGCTTGGTCTTCTCCAAGGTTCCCGATTTCCTTTTTTGTTCTACGCTGATTACAGATTTGGTTCATCAGTGACGCCACAACCCGCAAGTATACTCTGCCCATCGGATGCGTTTTGTCTATGTCTACCAGCCGATAACGGAAGTATGACCGGCTGCCACAATGAAAACGCATAAAAGGTGGAGCAAATTTCTTTCTTTTAAATCATTCAACCTACCAACCAACCTCTCCTCTACTACACAATGCACGCTTCTAGCTCTACTCTTGACATGTCTTCCAAGACTGCATCATCATTCGAACACGAGTCATCATCATCATCCAACTCGCATCACTGCACGCGCCACTCTCATACCACTCCCGTATCAATGCGCATCTCATCAGATGATGACTCCTGCTTCAACTTCAATGCACCTCAGTGCTGCCACTGTGGCTGGCGTGGATCCCACTCCCCAAGCTGTCCATTCCGCTGAGCACACAATAATCACGCTTTTTTGACTATATTTATTCCCTTTGCTTGTAAGTCATCTTTCTTATTGTTTCACATTGTCAAGTGACTCAAATGTCTCATCCTAGGCACTTGTTCTCATCATCCACCCATCATCCATCCATGACGTCTTCGATACCATCTGTTGTATCACCATACATCTATACTCCGTGCATAAGCACTTTAGTCGTCGAGGTCTCACCGCAGTTGTAGGATCAGGGAGGGAGGGAGGAGGAGGTTGTGTATGCGGATTCCTCGGGGCGGCAGGATAATTTAGGCTCACAATTTTGCCGTATCCCTTGTATGTATGACTTATTACTGCAACAACCCATCATTATTTGTCGGACCGTAAACCGTGCTGAAACGTCAGTAACACGTCTCAAATGGATAGTGTACATTCATTGTAACATGGCGTGCATACTGATGGCCGAACAACAAGCTACATCGGAAATGAAGTCACTCCCTCGGTTCCACCTCCTCCAAGTCCCACGTGGATACCCATGATGCTTCGTTGCTTATGGAAATTTGCACGAGGAACACGTGTCGTTCGGGCTCTGATGGTTGTTCCGCTGACGGGTGTGGGGAAGAAGGGAGAAAGTGTCTTAGATTTGGACAAGATTTAGAGAAGAATACTATTGATCGCGGAATCTGATCCAAGGGACGGCTCTAAAAAACGTGTCCTGTCTGTTCTCTATCATCTTCGCCGAACTATCCGCAAGTATGACGATTTAGAAGCTTATCGTGAAGCGAGATGGAACAAGGGTTTGACGAACGTTGACGTTGAAGACGTGACGACGCCCTACGCCCATCATTTCAAGACTCGGCCGTCCGAGTCCGACTCGACCTTCTCCGTCGTACTTGTCGGCGTAATATCACAATTCCATGTGACCTGAAATATTATCGTACATACAGTTATTTCTGGTACCAGCTCTCGAATTTCGGGTTGAATTCGGGTGGGATTTCTTGGCTTCAAATGTTTAAGCGCCCTCTATCTTTCCCATCCCGGCCCATCCGGCAGCCGACAATCCGACTCCATCCGTGTCTATCGCCAAATCCTGTGCAGTGACGGTCCCCTTGTACCACAAACGGTTTTCATATCATGTCTTCCGACTGGGACCCGCTAGCCTTCCACCCGCCTTCTCATTCGGAGGAACTCAAAGTGTCTTTCCCTCAAGAACATGTCATGCTTATGACACTCAACCGTCCGAGGCACCTCAACGCCATGACACCTCAGCTTACCGCCAGCATAGCTACCATTTTAAATTGGTTTGATGAGGAGCCTTCTCTGTGGTGAGTGCCGTCATTCAGCTTATCGGTAATCTCATTCAACCTCGTACTCCAAGGGTGGTAATCGTAACGGGCGAAGGCCGTGCTTTCTGTGCAGGAGCCGACTTGAAGGCGTAAGTACCAGAATGCTTTACCATCCTTATTCCCTCGACCCTTCATTTTTCACACCCAGCTGGCTTCATAATCAGTCAAGTGGCACGGCAAATGAACGAGAAAGTGTGGCTTCTTCCGTGCACGGATTTGCATCTATCTCGCGTCGGCATACTTCGTGCAAGCCTATGATCGCCGCAGTGAACGGGTCGGCTTACGGTGGCGGTGTCGAAATGATATTAAACTGCGATATGGTCATCGCAAGCGAAGACGCCGTGTTCGCACTTCCCGAAGTCAAGCGTGGCGTCCTAGCGTCACAAGGAGGTGAGCAAATGCCGCATCAGTCATTCCATTTTCTATTTCCATTTCCAGCCTTGCCCTCGTCGATTATTTTGGAAAACCGAAGCGGGGGGCGGGCTTGTTTATAAACTTTTACTGATCGGTGATTCGTTTTTCTTGCAGTTATTCCCAGGTTAGGGAGAGTTGCGGGACATCAGGTATCGCTTCGGCGTGAATAAACTCACAGGGTATCTCCGCTCACTGAGAAAATCTCGGGGCGTAGCTTGCTTCTGAGATGTTGCTCTTGGGAAATACCATCACTGCCATTCAAGCTAGAGACAGATTTCGTTTGTAAGTCAAGCCTACAATCGCCGCCAGTCACAGAGACGGCTTCTTGACACTCATGCGTATACTTCCGGACCGCAGTGTCAACCTCGTCGTCGAAAAGTCGGCCGTTGTACCTACTGCTCTGGACATCGCGCGACAGATCACCATGAACTCCCCCGACTCCGTACAGAGTTCAAAGGAAGGTCTTGTGCTTGCGCAGAAACACCATTTCGAACAAGCTGTGCAAACTCACTCAATGAGTCTCGTGAGTAAACGCCTGTACCACGGCGCGAATATCAGGGTACGTCACGTCACGTCATACTTGTCTTATGGAGTATACAGTATTCATCCTTCTTCCTTTCTGACGTTAATCCAGGAGGGCCTGGCGGCTTTCTCGGAGGTATATGGCACAGGTTTTGACATTTAAATCAAATTGACGTGTTCTTTCCGTTCGCTCTTCCGCAGAGACGCAAACCTAGGTGGTCGAATCCCGCGAAACTATGACATGGTTGATTGTTGATCCAGGATATTTAAAAGGTTATAGTGTATACAAATGTGTTATCTCTGGTAACATAAACACCTGTGTGATCGCTTGATGACCCTCGAGACCTGAGTTGTTCGAGAATTTTGCGATGCCAAAGATGGATGTGCCTGGTACCCCTGGATGACCCGAAGAAGTGGGAAAATTAGCACGCCCAGCGAGAACGACGTTGAAGAAAAAGTTATTTCCGCTTATCACATTCTCAACTACAAACTGGCGTGCCATCCGCGAACAAGAGCAGGAAACCTACCTCGGTTGTACCATAAGAATCCGTACCAGCACCCCAGCCAACCACTCCAAACTCAAAATAGACTATTCTAAAGCCGAACGTGGGCAACATCGAGCGCACGCTTGATGCGGCCTTCTGACAACGTTATCGCAAGCTTGTTGCATGCCACGTAGTTAGTTGCCTTACACCTGTGAAAGCCCGCACAGTACCCCAAGGGATCGACCTTTTTGCCTTTCAAGCTGAATTGCAAACCAGGCGTCCATGATCTAGAACAAGAACCTGAGAAGCACGCAGAACGTGGGATCCAGAATTCTGTTTCTAGCACCAATGCGAGCGCTAGACACGTCGGTCCAGTGAAAACGTGAATCGGTATTATAAAACTGCCAAGTGGTAGTAGGTCCGAGGATTATGATCAGCTTACCAGATAATGACATCGGCCTATGTTTAGCTGAAATCGGTATAGAACAGGAGCAAGTGGCGCATGATCCAAGGAAGCCACGCTGGCGGCCCAAAAGCTTCCAGTAGTCGCACATGTGAGGCTTGATGGACACAGTGCGCCAAGGTCAGACATGTCCGAGTATCTCTTCAACCTTGTTAGCAATTCCAGTCAAACGGTCTTCAGCTGACTTGCCGACCCACAGCATATCATATTCACCTACATATATCGCCTTCAAGTTTGCAATAATTTATCCAAGTTGAGTTTGAAAAGATGTATTGTGAGGGAGAAATAGTCTTGATAAGTCCATTGGGTTCGTGAGGTGCCATAGTCGCGGGGTGAGTAACGAGCTGTCACGCCGTGAAGTTAGCTGTAAATACATAAAGTCAGGGTAGTATGAAGTCCGTGAAACGGGGGAATTTATTATCTGGGCAGACCCAAGTAGCGGAAGCAGTCGCCGCGGCAACGGCCGTAATAATACACAATCCCAGAGGTCGGGTCGGGTACCATTACGTATTAGATAATGGAGTGGATCAGGGTGGATCCTGGGGAGGAGAGTAGGAAGGGTCGTGATTGAAGAACACGCCAAAAAGACAAATCGTCAACTGCGCAAATAAGTACGCGGCGATATTACTGCTGGTTATTGCGGGGAAAATGCGCTCATTAATAATATTATTATACATGATACCATCTTGACTTGACGTACCATGTAATCGGAAACAAGGCATTCCGTATGAACGCAGACTCGGTTGTAAAGTGGACATGGTTGAACCAGGGAAACCTCCAGTCACTTGCAGATCCAGTCAGCAGGCCAGAGAGATGTCAACAAAAGAAAAGTTCACCGGCAACAAGGGAAAATGTGTCGTTGACAAGAAGTACTCAGTGAGAGACTAGATGGCATTTAGTAAGCGTCAAGTTGACATTCATATTGAGAACAAGTTCTCTTTATCCGCTCACGGGTCTTGAGCTGAGCACGAGATCACCTTCTTGATGATAATTTAAGCACTATAAGGGTTGTAGAGGTTTGAGGAAGACGCCGATCATGAAAAGTAGAAGCTGCCACTGGTGTGGCAGTAGTTGATAAGCGAGAGAGTTTGCATGGTGGAGCCTGACTCCGCGCCCTACGCGCCAACTGCCACCGAACATGGTTTAGGCTCAGAGCATCATCCACTTCCATTTCGGGCCACGGGACTCCTAAGATACCATAAATTACCTCAGCACATATTTTCATTTTAAGCCCGACGCCCCCCCCTACTGCTAGCAACCATGTATATAATAAACTGGGGAAACGGCAGACATCACAACAGTCTGCATTAATATTATGAATATCATATTTGTCCATGTCCTATGCCTGTCGTTATGATCATGTCGGTGTTTTGCGCAAGGTCCAGTGTTTGTTCGTACGTGGTTGAGACGTGCGCCGCCATGCACTGAAAATCGGCCATAGATTCATAACTATTTTCATAATCGATTCAATAGCTGTCGCGATCTGCCGCTCAGAGCTTCTATTATTATTTGTTGCCGGAGAGTGAGCAGAGCCGGGGGTTTCTAAATGCATATAATATTCTGTAATGTCCACTGCTCAACGGGCCCCGGGGTGCGATACCAGGGTTGCTGGGAAGCATCCCCAATCCTGCATGTGATATTGAAGTTGAGCACATTCGTCAGGAAGATCACGGCCTCACCGGTAACATACATGGCCGATGGCCCAACTCGTTCCGTTTCTCTGCTGTGGCCAAGAGATTGGCAAAATCAGGTAGCGTGATGTGGGCGTAGACAGGACGCGTGCGCCACTGGCATTTTGACAGATGTCTCCCAAGGGCAGGTTACTGTTCGTTCCCGGTTCCACAATTGCACAAGCAAACAGAGGCGCTGGATGGCGTAATATTTAATCCGGTCTATAGAAATGAAAATAAGTTTTCATGCGGCATGCGGATGCGATGTAGAAGTGACAAAACGTGCTTATCTGATATCTTTCGGAACAGGCACGACAGGAGTGCGCAGTTGCTGATGGATACTGACAGGCATTCATGATTACACCATGAAATAGCACCGCGATCCCTATTCAGAATCGAGATGAAATCAAAGACACCCGTGTTCGAGATTGCTTTGTAGATCGTTCATTTACACTCGGCTTCTTGATTGCCTTGCATGTCACAAAAGTTGATACACCCAGGTAAGCCTAGTAAAAGGGATCATCAAGTGTCGTCCCACATTGGCCAAACGGTGAACATGGCTACAAAACCCACAGAATGCCACTAGATATGAGCGTTGCAACTGATGTAGATCAGAAAAACAGTGCTCAGCTTCTGATGTTGCAAGAATAATGCGCTAATTTCCGAGAACTGGAGATCCCGGGCCCCTATGGCTCATATTGACCAGCCGGTGAGAAAGCCCCCGCCCAATGCCAGATATGTCTAATGAACACAGTGACGACACTGGATATGGGCGTCGCAGCTGATGTGGGTCTAGAAATATTGTGAGAGAATGCGGCGACGAAAAATACTACCTACTAGCCTGACATCAACTTGTGAATTACAAATTATCAAATACCCTCACGAACCCCGTCATCAACGAGCGAGGTGCGTTTTTAATAGTTCCATTCTGAACGTTGACTGTGTCGTTCGAGCCACGAATACAACCCAATCAAAATCCGCACCCCACAGTGAGTAACGGCAGTTTTGAATAAACTTCGCGCAGTAATTGCGATTCTGTTCGGCCAGGACCGAGACTATCGACACTCCGGTTGCGAATAGAGTAGATAAGGACGTGGCGATTCGTGACTGCCAAGTGAGCGCCGGTAAAGAAGCTACAAGTATTACATACGGTCGACTCACTTAGTGCGTACTCCGAACACGCAAAAAACACTCACATAATTGAAACTATTCAATTCAGCTCACCACACAAAAACCCATCCGTCTTGCTGTAGCGGGTTCCAGGTTCAGCCTCAGAGAGGGTTATGGCCTGTGGAGTGCCAGGGGTCGGAGTGTCCAGAGTCATAGTGTCGAGATAGATAACAGCAAGCTCCAAGACTCTTCTCTTCAGAGTGAATTTTGTATCAGGAATTCCGCGGTTTCATCGAGCCGACCTTCGTATGCAGTCGTGTGCGCTGCTAGCGGGCCGAAAAGGATAGGGTATGCGGAACGGATCCGATGGGGCTCAGAAGCCATGGTTTTCATAAATGGCCTGGTCCGCATTAGGGGTTCACCTTGTTGGCGCAAAACGTCGAAGAATTTAACTATCATTGACCAATGAGAATGATGGCATGGGAAAAGGAACTGAGTTGTCATGAGTAACAGCACCATGAAATTTCTGGATCTATGCTAGAAATAGTGGGGAAGCTGGCATCCACCACGAACACCACCATTCAGCTGAATTCAAAGATCAATGTATACTCTGAACGGATAAAACCACCCAGCTTTCATAGACTAGCTATACCGCTGGCAGGCCGAAACAGAAGGGGGCCACGGAACGGATCCAACAAGGCTCAGAAGCCTTCTCGTGAATGGACTAGGTACTCACCTCGTTGGTTGCAAATGTTGAACGATTTCACTCTCACTGACCAATTTGAGCGAACGGACATCGTCACAGGGATCAGAGAGATTTAAATAGTTGCTCAAGTCTCTGGAAAAGTGACTATACTGCGGATTTCCTGGAACAGCGAGAAAGTTGAGATCCACCGCGAGCAGAACAGCTAACTGAATACGAAAATCAACACATATTTCAAACGGTTCAAAAACCCACACGATTGATGAAGTCTGTCCGCTCAGCATGCAATGCACTCAGAAAAAGATTGGAAGTCCACGCGCTAATCGACCCAGGCCCTCGTAGATCACCCATGTGCAATGCTGGCGAAACGAAAAAGATAGGACCCACGCCTTGGATCCGAGGGGGCTTAGAAGCATCGTTCTGAAAAACGGAGGCAACAGTTCAACAATTTCACGTTCACTAACCGATGTGAGCGCTTGCAGATTGTCACATGGATTAGACCGAACAGTCGCAAAATTCTCTCTGGAAAAATTGTCAGCGATGACCGCACTGGGAATTTCCTGGATCTGTGCCAGAAAAGTGAGAAGGCTGTCATTTGCTAGTCGGTCGACTGGGTACAAAAGTTAACACATTTTGAACAGACAAAAATACCCACATGAGTTGTGAAACCTATCTAATAAACATGCAACTCGTCGCCAAACAAAATAGGAAGTCCACGATTTAATCGACCCAGGCCCCTGTAGGCCAGCCATGTGTACCGCTGGCGAGCCGAAAAAGATAGAACTCACAGCGTGGATCTGAGGGTGCTCAGAAGCATCGTTCTCATAAATGGACTGATCCGCATTAGTCGCTCGCCTCGTTGGCGCAAAAAGTTGAGCAATTTCACTTTCACTGACAGATGTGAGCAAGCGCAGATCTTGGCATGGGAAAGGAAAAGAATTGGACAAACTATCGAATGAGGCTTGCTGGAACATCAGTGGGTATCTAAGGCACCTGTTCCGCATGGTGTTCTTACCGAGGACGCACGTAGAATGGGGGTAGCATCGGCAATATTTCCTGGATATCAAAAATGAGTAAGATGCGCCCTACAAGAACAGTCAAATTACCTTAAATCATATCAGAGATTCTGCCATCTCTTCGCTTACAAACGGTGTTAAGGGGAGATCGGAAGTGATATTCCTACTAGTCATTCGAATCAAGCTAGGTCACGCAATGTGAATGACTACACGAGGCCGTCTGCGCTAGCATGTAGAGTTATCTCTTTAATAAGCCTTTTGTTTTAATTTGGAAGTGCATCATCCTAGAGGGGTGTAGTAAGGCGCGTTCATGAGCACGAGTCTGTTATCACGGTAAATTTTAAAATTAAAGGAGAACGTGGGCATACCTAACCGAAATGCGCACACAACCGAATTAATATCCTGTGATCGATCAGCCTTAGTAGTAGGATGCTAAAGCGAAGAGACGAACAAAAATGGCTTGGCTTCATAACCCCTTCACATTCATAACGATCTGCTGCGTAAATTACTCTTGATGTAACCAAAACAAGAGAGAACGCTTGCTGCGGTCCCGGGTCAAGTAAGTAGCCGCAAAATTCCCGGCCTATAGCTGCATTCATGCCGAACTGAGCAGTCCAATAACACCGGTGAGGGCCAGACCTCAGGTACGAGCAAGTTCGAAAACTGTTTCAACGTGGCCACCACATGCAGAAGCGAGGAATGGTCGCCAGTGGCGCCTGTCATTGTGACCCAGAAGGAGATGGTATCGCTGCGGTGACATCCCAGGCATTTTCGTCTTCGGAAATTTATGTTCAGCATGGCATGGCAAGTGGCAACCTCGGGGACGAATGTGTATAACTGGTCGCAAAACTTAGGTGGTACAGAACGCGTACACAATGAGACAAATAGATGCAGCAGTGGCCAGGATTTGCTTCAGGAAATTTCTGCAGAAAGTTGAACAATAAGTCTTATAAATGAAGGAGTAGTTAAACTTGACGAATCTGCAGATCACCATGACCATGTTGAATTTGAGGTCAAGAATAAAACAACTGTGTATGCAAAAGCACCCAGAGAGACGCAAGTAATTTCCTGTCAAGAGGTTGTTCTAGAGCAGACGCTTGTTTGTCGGACTGCAGGATTGCGAGCAAGTTGCTCTATGTCACTGTCGTGACTCTATATGTTCTGACCCCTCGAAAATTCTAAATGCAGTGATAAGTGGGGGTCGCTTTCCTTCTGACACGTTCGAGGAAGTATTGCTACCAGCAAGATCAGAAACTGCAGGCTTGTGCAGGCAAGGGTTTTTATCGCCATAACCCTTCAAGATGGTGAGCATCAAGCATTCCGGACAAGACATGTAAACAGGATCTAACAAATTTTGCAGGTTGTTCTAGCAGCATCAATATGCACTAAAGGTGGTAAAGGTAAGTCCACCTACCAGCTCTCAAAACTAATCTCCTGACACACTTCCAGCGGTGCTCTCGCGCCAATTTCACCCAATGACACGCACCCATATCGAATCCCTACTTGCATCCTTCCCAAAGCTCATCCCGACAAACTCTCAACACACTTCCGTAGAAACCGCTCAAGTCCGCTACGTTTACCAGCCCTTGGAAGATCTCTACATCCTTCTCATTACGAATAAAGCTTCCAATATCCTTCAGGATATCGATACCCTCCACCTCTTTGCGCGCGTCGTGTCTGATATGTGCCGCACTGCAGATGAGCGTGAAATTCAGAAACAGAGTTTTGAACTGCTTGGCGCTTTTGATGAGATCGTGAGCATGGGTTACCGAGAACAGGTCAATCTCATGCAGGTAAGGAGCATATTGGAGATGGAGAGTCACGAGGAAAAGATACAAGATATCATCGCAAGGGTCAGTGCACACCAGTCAGACTACCCGACCTCTCCCACTCATTTAATGACAGAACAAAGAAGCAGAGGCAAAAGAAGAGCTCAAGCGCCGTGCACGCCAACTCGAGCTCCAGCGCCGGGAGCAGCAGAAGCGTGCTGCAGTATCCGGCAGTGGGGGCAGCTCATATCTCGGTGGAGGCATGTCTGGATACTCTCCTGTTCCTCAACGCTTCGACGCTCCAGAAGTGCCGGCTGCGCGCACTGCATCACCTGCACCTACATCCAGTGCGCGCACCCCTCCGTTCAAGGGCAGTGGCATGAAACTCGGCAGCAAAAAGACTAGGCAAGCTGAGCTTCTAGATGCTCTCGGCGGCGAGCTAGTCTCCGAGGAGCTCTCAGCACCATCCACGCCTCCTATCCCTGATCCATCCCCAGCGCCAACTAACACAAGAGGTAGCCTGCCCTCTATCACAGCTGAAAGGTAAGTCCTTGCCCTCCCCAATTTCAAGCCTCGCCAACACTTGTCTATAGCGTACATATCGTAATCAAGGAAAAGATCGATGTATCTCTTATGCGCGAAGGCGGTGTACAATCAATGGAGGTCAAGGGTGACATGAACCTCCAAGTCTCCGATCCCGCTTTAGCGCATATCAAACTCGCACTCCCGTCCCCCACCACCGACTTTGGGTCTGATCTTCAATTCAAGCAACACCCGAATGTTGCCAAGTTCGCCCCCGGCCAGAACCGTATCGTCGCGCTCAAAGATCCCTCTCGTGCTTTCCCGGTGGGCCAAGCCCTTGGCGTACTCAAGTGGCGCTATGCAGGGCGCGATGAGTCCTTAGTGCCATTGTCCAGTAAGCTCTCCATTCGTATATATCATTTTCACCCTCACTAACTCAAGCCCCTGCCCCCCAAAGTCAACTGCTGGCCCTCTCCCTCAAATGACGGTACCTGTGAGGTCAACATTGAGTACGAGCTTGAAAACGAAAACGTCACCCTGCACGACGTCGTTATCTCCATCCCCCTCCCGTAAGTTCCTCTTCGTTCCCACTCCAATTTTTTGCCCACTCACTGACATACCTCTAGCACTGGCTCCTACCCCATCATCACCACCACGCAATGCGACTACAGCATCAATCCCGCTACTCACTCACTCGACTGGTCCATCCCACTCGTTTCCACCGTAGAGCGCAGCGGCACGCTCGAGTTCACTGTCGGCGGCGACGACGCGAGCATCTTCTTCCCCGTGCGCGTGTCATTCGTGGGTCGGGGGAGTATCGCTGGCATTGGGGTGGATGCTGTTTCGAGAGTGGATGGTGGTGAGGACCCCGTTTTTTCTGTGGATGCTGTCGTCACTACGGGTGATTATCTTGTTGTTTGAGTGTCTTGATGTGTACTGGGAAATGCATGATCATATATCATGAATTAGCAAGACAGACTTTTACTGCATATGATATCTTACATGATCTAGAAGGTCAAGCTATGAACTGCAACGAATGACCACTGCAGACTTCTCTCCATTGAGGCTAGACTTAGCGCTTACTTTTGGACTTTACTCGATCAAACTATCCTGAGTGGCTGTCAGGGTTATTCCAGGGAATCAGTTTAAGGCACGTATCGATATATCAAGAATTAGGCTGAGCGGACGAATGTCAAAGGAGCTCACACTCTCAGATCCAGCCTTTCCGATCTCTGCAGTTATATGTCGTGATTGTGAAGGAGACGCCAACCTTCTTATTGCAACAGTGCGGATACTCAACACTGTATGAGAGGTTCTCGCACCGCGAAGGATTGCTGTACACACTTCCGTGATCTGCGACAACTTCGAGTCAACCATCGAGGACTATGTGTTGGTAGTAATACAATCTCAAGCACTTTGGGGGTGTAGACGGTCTAGCCACCATGGGATCAATGAAAGCTGTTGATAGGAATTCGCGTGCAATGAGCAACAACTACAGTAACGAGATATAGGGGGAACAAGTTTGAATTAGTTTACAAGCAGAAACACACCCGCCACATCTATGGGCTGCGTCCGCCAAAGAAGGATTGGATGCAACTCATCGTGCATGTTACTGCTGGCCTGAAATAGTGTGATCGAGTGCTCGCCAATTTGCTTGAAATGAACTAAGCAGTGAACTGGCATGATAACGACGACAGAACTGCACAGAGAATCCTAATAACGATGACGCACAGTCGACAGCTATAATACACAATTCGCAACCGTAACAACTTACAAGGTGATTTACTGCGGGTAATGATCCTAGAGGCATGGTTTGGATAGTGGTGTTTCGTTCCCTCTCTAGCAGTGATCGCTCTCATACGCCACAGGATAATTCTGCATTATCCGCCTGAGCTCTGTTTCCGGAATCCTCGTCTTGAAGTCGATGGTGCACGGCCGGTATGTAAACGGCCGGTGGGCTTTCTCTGTGTTCATGAATCCCATGTCATCCAGCGGCTGTGTAGGATCCAGAGTGAGCTGGAAGGCCCAAAGAATCAAGACCGCGCTTATGAACACCGTTCTGTACCAATCGAAGTGAACCCGAAAAATCATGTCTGTAGAATGGCAGGCTTACCTGTTCGCGACATGTTGACCGGGGCACACACTGCAAGAAATTTCATGCAACGAACGAGTAATAGGAAGACGGTGCTTACCGCCGACCAAACCCGTAGAGAAAATTGGTTAGGTCGTCTCTCAGGAGACCTTGGTCGTCAATCCAGCGTTGAGGCTTGAACACTTCAGGCTCGGGAAAGACTTCTGGATCTCGACAGATGGACCTAAAGCAGCGACTGTTAGGCCTTTCGGGTTAACCTCGTAACTCGAAGCTTACCAATGGTTACCGAATACTGTGGTCCCAGCTGGAATACAGTGGTTTTCCTGATGCCAGATCATCAGTCGCACACATAAGTTGTTCAAATATCACTTACCCAAATTACGTCTTTGGTTGTTCGGTGGGGAAATCCTGCAGTGACCGTCAGAAACTGTAGGTATAAAACCACAAGGATTAGCCTAACCATTAGGAGCAACCGGTCTCCATCTCACAGCCTCAGAGATGAAGGCCTGCAGGCGAGTAAGGGATTGTTGGTCGGCGAATGTCGGCGCTTGAGTGCAGAAATCGTTGAATATACTGAACTACAATGAAAAACAAAGTTACCTTGATGCCTCCCGATAACCGCATCCAGTTCAGCTTGAACTTTAACTTGCTCATCGGGGAAACATGCGGCTGCCATGAGCACCGTGCATATTACTGAGGTGGTCTGACCCCCTAATTTCAGCCACATGCTAGTTTTTGGACAATAAAAACACCTCACTGTGTTGGTTCCAGCTCTAAACAAGGAACCACCAAGAAAAGCCGTCTCGTCCTCTGTCAAGCCATGGTGATCGCCATTTTCTAGCATATATCTCGTGAACGAAGGGCCGATGTCCACATCGCTTTGCTGTGAATGACTTCGATATTTCATGTGAAATCGTCAAGGCGAAGCATACCATTTGTTCTTTCACTCGGTTCAGCTGACCTATGTTAAGCCGCTTGCTCCTCCCAAACCCCCGTTTTAATTCTCGGCCATACCAGGGAATGTGTTTGAGCCACGGGATCGAGTCTACAAGGTAGAAAGCATCGGGGCGCAGGGCTCTGTCGATCAACTTCCTAAGCTGGCGCATCTCAATGACTTGGGGATCAGCTGCAGACGTGGGTGCATTGCTACCGTAGGTAACTTTCGTAATTACTGTCGCACCATAACTTCAAAATGCCTATAAGCAGTGTACAATCGTAACCACAGGCGCATACCTCATCACATGGTTCTGAAAGTTGCATGGATCATCAAGGATGTCGAAAATCAGATTCTTCGCGTTCGACATCTGCAGGGGCTGATAAGCCCCAGCTGCTGTAGGCTGGAAATGCGTATGAAGGGCTCTGCAAAAGTTAAAAGGTAAATTGGTAGACATATTGCGAATTGCTAACCTACGCATCCGACGGAATCTGTCTCCAAATGGCGTGTAGGCAATGCTCAGCCCGCCACCAAATAATTCTCCAGCAGCGATCATGCGAGGACGGTCAGCGAGAGTTCCGCCCTGATTCTCCATAATATCCATGGCGGCCTGCAACAGAATGGTGAACTTGGATATGCCAACTCTGCGTCGAGAGACTGACTTTGTAACGACCAATAATCACGACTTTTCCGAGCCCTGACCGAAGAGTGATCAGAGGGCCGTACTGGTTGATCCAACCTGCTATGGTGAGAAATGACCTAATCAGCGAAAATACTGTTAGTACTAACAGACAACGTGTTCCATGCGAAAATTTACTTGTGAGACGGCAGGAAGTGCCCCCAAGGCCTTAAAGTGAAAGGGTAAGGTGGGAGAGGAGGGCCATTCTTCGATTGAGGAAGAACAAATGCTCCTATTACGCTAAGACAAGTCACAGCACCAGCAATGAGCCACGCGTTATCCGAAATGAACAGGTCAGGCAGTTGTAACATGGCTGATGGGAGGAGCGCAAAGAAGGATTGGAGGCAATTCATGGCAAGTAGCTTCTTAACTCGAGGGTTAGTAAGGCGATATTAACTATGCTGATAGGCCAACCTTCAATCCAATATACTTCAAAATCCATATTCTGATCCATTACTGCCACGTATCCACGGACCGTTAGTCCTTGCAGCGTCATCAAGGAAATTCTGCTGGCAAAGAATTACCACCTCCGCAACTTAGCTCGAAGATAACCTTTCTCTGGTTTAGGAAGGTAAACAGTTGACACTGCTGTCATACCAGAACAGTGTGCAGCAGCGAAAAACGATGTCAGAAACGCGCAGGTCGGGCAATCGTAATACAGCTGATGGGAAGAGCTCGAAGGATTGGATGTAACTTGTCGTATGTCAGTGCTGGCCTGCAATAGTTCGCTCGCCCAGTAACACTTGGCAATTGAAAGAAGCCAATGGAAAGCACGAATACAACCTTTTGGCGAGCATACTAGTCCAAATTTCTCGCTGTCTCGTCGGTTTCATGTTCGGCAGAACTCCGTGACTCGAGTCTCGTAGGGTAATTAGAGGCATTTTTGGACCGTGATTCTTCCGGAAGAATCGGCAAAAATGGCGGCATGACCTATTCTGGATTTGGATACAGCAGGTAGTGGATGTTTTGTTGTCCGCTCCAGCAGCACAGCTGGGATCATGACTAGGGAATGAGTTGGAAAGTCCATATGTGGCTGGCATAAAGACCACGTCTTTGCATGATCAGATTAAATGCAGATAAGATAGGAGAGGTGTCATGACAGGTGAGATCATGGTCGATGGAGGCGATAGAGTGACCTTGAATTCATTGCCGTAAAAACGTCGCAGATGAGCCCTATGAGAAGAAGTGTGGCACAACTGAAGCCTTCACGATGATTTTCGTCGCGCACTGGTGCAGAAAGTCGTTCCATACATGGGACGGGCGGCAGAAGAGCTCGAAAACTGCATGTAACCTCGGCTCTCCGCACGGAGAGACCCAGGATAAAGATTGAGATCTTGAAAATTGCGCATCAACGGACAAGACATGAGGTTCCAAAACACAGTGATATCCGAGAATTTGTTTGATTCCTTAGTTGATGTGTTGGTAAAGGACAATGTATCACTACCAGTAGTATGGGTTGCAGCCAGGATGAAGATTCTGCCGCGTTACGATCTTGTCGTAGTGTAATTCATGCAGGATAAATGGATGCCATAGGTTAGGACATTGCAGGACGAACCGGAAGAGCAAACCAATAGCTCACACTTGTCTGTATCCGCGAATTTCAGGTCCCAGTCCTAAAGGGCCTGACTCCTTGTACCTGCCAGTGGGCTACGATTTTGTAGTAACTCGGTACACTCGAACTGTCACAGTTTGCTGTGTGCTGAATGCGTTATGAATGGGAAAGAATAATAGATGTATTTCGTAAATAGCTGCCGCCAGTTAGAGGAACCATTTGTGACATGGGACACATCGAAGTTCATGTGAAGCGGAATTTGAAAGATCAATTAAGTGAGTGCATGCACGCGTGCGCCGTGTTTGGCACGTGCACAGCTCTGACCTAGCATACATGCGTGCAAAATGTGTCTCAGATGTTGATAGCACTCATCTACATCTCAGATTCTCTCAGATTCCAAAGTCAAAGGTAATTAGCATACATGTATGCTAAATTCATTGCCTTGCATTCTGATTATCATTATCTAGGATATGTTGCAAGGGCTCAGCTGGGCTGCAGAGATGGAATCTCCTTGACATTATCATAAGCTTAGACAGGAAAAAAAAAGTTCGTAGCTGGGGTCAACGAGGCACCATAGAGTGATTATAAGACCTGGCTCAACGAGGGCACCGTGGATGGAATCGTTCTTCATCATCGGGAAGATAGCTTTATTCTTGATTCTTGTACCGTATAAATGAGCAGCATCATTGTGCCGCACGAGACGTTGATGTCTAAAGATTAATCTTGTGGTGAGACGGTTGGGAAATGTGGTGCGCCTGTAACTCACCGGAGGAAATTGGTCGAAGAGAAACCTGATACTTATAAGAACCACGAAACAAAAAGTAAGGTTCTGGTCACTACAAAAGCTTCAAGCGTGTCTGGATAAAGACGTGCACTCAGATCATAAAAGAAAAAAATTCAGAGCAGAGTGTGCAGCTGAAGGTTAGCCTCGGCGGTCAGGATCTCCGCAAGTGCAAGATCTATCACGTATTGGACATTATGCATCGCATTACATCTCTTTGCAGCTCTTCATGCTATGTCTGCATGCTGAGTGTAGTTATTAGCTTGCCAAGGCGTGCCAATTGTCAAAAGTGTGTAAAAGTTCAAGTTGAAGTGGTCGATTTGTGACACGTCACATGCGTCGCACGAGTCATCTGGTCAACCGCGGCTTGTGGTCACTGGTAACCGTGGTTTCACCGCTAGCGCTTATGTTCAAGCTGTTTCAGCTGGGTTCCAGCAGAATTTCATTCAATTACCCTTGAGACGAGACATAATTGAATTATGTTTGTCAAATGACTCCGGTGCCACCACGCTTTTCGGTGCTACCACGCTTTTCGGTGCTGCGGTTTGTCTTGAGTAATTTCTCGGACTTACCTTCCTTAAGCCAACTTGAAGTACTCCAACGCTACCGCGACGACGTGGCAGTAATGGCATGGATTTCAGAATTTGAAGTACGTTGACCAACTGTTACATTGAGGATTTGAAAAACCAGTTATAACTTTACGCTGAATTCTCTCTGACCATTCCTTGCGCCCTTTTCATCAGCCATGTTACAATTGTCTGACCTGTCCATTCCTGACAACGCACGGCTCATTGTCGGCGCTGTGACTTGTCTTGGTGTGATAGGAGTAATTGCTCAGGCTTACCTTCCTCAATTGACGAACGGCCTTCATCTCCCACCTTCCCCTTCCACTTGGAGGCTTCGGGGACACTTTCTGCCGCATCGCAAGTAAAGTTTCGCATTCAACACATAGTCTTCAACGCTCATGGTCTGGCACTGATTAGGTCATTTCTTACCATAGCGGGTTGGGTTGACGAGCATGGTCCTCTGATTACTCTTCGGTCTGGACTCAGAAAATTCGTGGTTATTGGCCGGTACAAAGTCAGTTCCTCGACGCCAAGTTGTCATGTCCAAGCTCATTGGATTTATTCTGTTGCAGGCCGCCATGGATATCATGGAGAATCAGGGCGCAGCGCTAGCTGACCGTCCTCGCATGATTGCTGCTGGAGAGATATTTAGCGGCGGACAGGGTCTCACCTCTACACCCTTTGGAGAAAAGTTCCGTCAGAAGCGTAGGTTCGCAGACTGCAACACTTTCTGTTAAGTTGTTTTTCAACGTGTCGCAGAGCACTTCATACGCACCTCCAGCCTAAAGCAGCCGAGGCTTATCAGCCCCTGCTGATGTCCCACGCGAAGAACCTGGTCCTCGAGATTCTTGATGATCCACGCAACTTTCAGGACCACGTGATAACGTATGCGTTTTCTGGCATGACCGCAAATTGCTTACAGGTATTATCAAAAGTTTTTCTTCGACAACAATGATGAAAGTCGCATATGGTACTACTACGCCTACTTCTGCGACTGATCCCCTAGTCAAGGAGATGTACCAACTCATGAAGGTGGTAAGTAAACTCCTGCGCCCTGATGCCTACTACCTGGTGGACTCGATCCCATGGCTCAAACACATTCCTTGGTATGGCCGAGAATTGAAACGGGGGTTTGAGAGGAGCAAGCGGCTCCACACTGGTCAGCTGAATCGAGTAAAAGAGCAAATGGTATGCCTCGCCTCACCAATCTTCGCACAAAGTGTTCAAGCTATTCTGCAGCAAAGCGATGTGGATATTGGTCCTTCGTTCACGAGATTTATGTTAGAAAATAGCAGCCACTATGGTTTGACAGAGGTCGAGACAGCTTTCCTCAGTGCTGCCTTCTTTGGAGCTGGCTCTGATACGGTGAGGTGTTTTCGTTGTGTCCGAAGATAAGTACGTGGCTGAAAACAAGGTTCAGACTACTTTGGCCTTGTGCAACGTGCTCCTGGCAGCCGCATGTTTCCCCGAGGAGCAAGGTAAAGTTCAAGCCGAGCTCGATGCGGTCATCGGAAGGCACCAAGGTAATTTGATTCCCTATCGCAGTTCTGTAGAATTCAATGATCTTTGCACTCAAGCGCCAACTTTTGCCGACCAACAATCCCTTACTCGTCTGCGTGCCTTCATCTCTGAGGCTTCGAGATGGAGACCTGTTGCTCCCAATGGTGGGTATCGTCTTTGTGGCTTGTACCCGCGGTTTTCGACGACTATACTGCAGGAGTTCCTCACCGAACAACCAAAGATGTGATTTGGGCAAGTGATCTTAGAACAACTTACTTGCGCGACTGATGATATGGCATCAGGAAAACTACTACATTCCAGCCGGCACTACAGTATTCGGCAACACTTGGTAAGTATCGAACTTCTGAATACAAGCATGAAGACCTGACTGTTACTGCATTAGGGCCATCTGTCGAGATCCAGAAGTCTTTCCCGAGCCTAACGCATTCAAGCCTCAACGCTGGATTGACGACCAAGGTCGCCTGAGAGATGATTTAAATAATTTTCTTTTTGGGTTTGGTCGGCGGTAAGCACGGCCTTTGGACTATTAGTTCTTTCAATGGCAATAATATTATTTACAGTATTTGCCCTGGTCAACATGTCGCAAACAGGTTAAGCTATATTTCTACATACATGGCAATTCTTCCAGGCTCACTTCAATTGGTACAGATCGGTATTCATAGGCGTGGTCCTGATCCTTTGGGCCTTCCGGCTCACCCTCGATCCTACACAGCCGTTGGATGACACGGGGTTCCTGAATTCGGAGAAAACATACCGGCCGTGCTCTATCAAATTCAAGTTGAGGATTCCAGAAGCAGAGCTCAGGCGCAAGATGAAGAGTTATCCTGAGGTCGTGTCAGTGGATGAGACTGATCATCGCTAGAGAGAGAATGAAGAACCTGTTCGGAATGAATCAGTGACAAGTATCGGAACTATGCCACTAAGACATGTACTCGCAACAAATCACGTAATTTGTTTCCATGTAACTTATAACTATTGATTATGTTTCGTCGTTAACAATCGAGTTTCACCGTGTAGTTCATTCCATGCAGATCGGCGAATACTCGACTGGAGGACACCAAGATGTTCGACAGATCTACCAAACAGGAAGGTACTGACGATGATGCGGAATGTCAATGAAGTCCCAGCCCAGTGTACGGCTGAAGCTGTAATGATGTGAGTTACAAGGTGAAATGTCTTAAGCATGAGACTGAATTTATGCATCACGAAGACCTTTTTTAAATTATGAGCCGCCCAGGCTCACGAACTCTCCAGTCATGATTCCGGCGGGCGGCTGATGCATAGTGCAGCGAACACTCAATAGCACACATCAGCCGCCCGAATCTAATACCAAGGTAACAGTTGGATCCTAATCACTGTACTCGTGCTGAAGAGTATCTCCGTATGGTTGTTATCAGCATAGACGTTGAATGATAATCAAATGAAAGTCGATCGCGCTCGACCTGGCAATAGAAAGCACGTTAACACTCAAGTACGCAACGCGCAAATAAGACGCAAAATGAATTGAAAGGCTCAAGTAACATGAAGCTTGAGATAAATAACTAGTCGAAATTAAGTATCTCGATGCTCTGGCTCACAGGTTCATTCTCGACAATATGCGGGTCATCCGGTAGCGTCGGGCTCTTAAGTCTGCCCACGAAATCGAAGGATAGCACCATCACCTTGTTTCCTTCCACTATTAACTCGGATCCAAGGAACTCCTCTTCAGTGATAGTCTCGATATACGGAAGTCCAGATCCAAGTGGCTCGAGGAACATATCCGCACTTGAATCCAATAAGTTGCCCTCGATGAGTTGTTGATTCCATCTAATGCCATTCCCAGCCTTGAAGTCCGCTACTCGATGAGGGTTGAAATCGCGGATACACAGTGGTCGCGGCAAAGGATGCATTATCTGGGAGCCGAGAAAAGATACAGCCCGTAAACCAAAGACGACATTTTTGCAAGAATCGAGCAAGTCTCCTCTGAAGAATCGAGTATGTTTTAGCCCCCATTCAGACCAAGGCAAACTAGGGGAACTGTCGCTTGCTTTTCCATATCGGCGCGTGTAGGCTGACTGGAGTTCTAACAGGGTGTTGCGCTCAACATACAGTGCGACACAACTTGAAGCGACGCTGTGGCGGTCCCCAACAATCTTCATGTTGATATTGATGATATGATCATGCATGCGGGAATGGGACGAGATGGAGTCCTTGATACGGATTGTTTCATATTCAAAGGGTGTCCGCAAGGCAGGGAGCGAGAATTTGGCAGTAAGATGGAGAGCATTGGGGAAATCAACGAGGGAATATAACAGTAGTTCCTCGCTGTTGACGACGAGAATTGTTTCGTTTGTTAGAAAACTGAAATGCAGAATTTCATGAGCCGGCTTGAGGCACTACAAGTCCAGGTAAGTCACGAGTCACAACACTGAGTCAGGAGATTCACTGACCAGAGAAACGTCCTTTGACTTCCAGTTCCAAATTTGCAAAATTTCGACCGGGTCACTATCTGCGTTGAGAACCTCACTGAACAAAATACCACAATAATTCCCGAAAATGGAGAATGACACAGTGGAGGGGTCCAATGATTCGAAGTCGACCTCTTTGTCGATGGTTTTCACCACAGCGGATCCAGCTTCAGGATGGACTTCATCAGGCTCTGAAAGCGACCTGAAAATAATATCACAGGCATGACTTTCCCTTTATTTATGTTAATACAATCTGACTGAGTCACTAAGATGCAACTTGAAGGAACTACTGACCCTGGGGATGCTTCGACAAGGCAAACCAAAAGGTTTTGTGTGGGTGAAAAATCGCAGAGTGGGAATTCGCCATCGAATTGGTAGTCCCATTCACGTAAGCTTGTGCTATTGGAATGATCAGGGTCTGTCACTTGCGGCTGCAAAAATCTTAGTCGATTTTCATTCTGCACATCGAGTGCCAGAATACCGCAAGACCACATGAACACGTCATGGGTGATATACGCATGCGGTATGGAGACGGGATTACTTTTGAAATATTCGGCTTTCTGCCATGCAGATTCGCTTTGTCGAAGTGATTTGTGAAGCGATGAGACGGTGTGATCTGGGCCAGGTGAAGGGACTGGAATCGAGTTGAAATACTTGAGGTCAATCGGATATAACAACTCCGAGGAAGAGTCGATCGTGTGTCGAATATCGTGGCATACCTGGAGAGACCGAGTTAATAATTTGGAAATAGAAAACTTTGTCCTTACTTGACGTGCTCGCGCTAGTTCGTAGCCATCCAGATGGCTGAGTATGTATACGAGGATTTCGACGGGCAGATCTAACAGTTCTAGGGTGGCATGACGAACTTGGTTCATGACTGATGGGCACTGCTAGTGACTCGGAGGTGAGATTTATTTGCAAGATTTAGAAGACATCAGCACGAACCTTGCTAGCCTGCAACTTTCAGAGAAAAAAATGATGATAATGTGGAGTTAAGAATGTAGGTGGGCAATGATGCGGCGACAACTACGAAAGATTTATTGTGGCAGCCACAGAATTCGAGCGAGGCTCCATTTTATGCACTGCGACATGGCCATCGATGATGGTCAATGTGTCGGGTAACCGTCATTGTCGATCGGTTTCGTACAATCGGAAGTGGTCAAAACTACAGGTGTTAATAACACGTGAGCAAGAGGACAATAGCCTGAGGAACTGACTGGTTCCCAGTGAAATTCATAATTGAGCTCCAGGAAGCCTTATCACGTAGTGATACAGAATATACAACTGTTCAAAGTAAGCGATCAACGTCGGTTGCTCAAGCGCGTATAGTGCAACGCAACTGCAATTCCTTGGTCTCAGCTATGACCATGTATTGTGCATCTACGTCTTCCAATTCCTGGAGTCCTTTGCAATTTCAAAAGGGTCCAACAGCCAAAAAAAAAAGATCGGTCAGTCCAATTGTTCTTGGTGCACAAACCAGGTATGCCTTGTTATGATCTCAGCCATCGAATCGCCGCAGGTTCAAGATCCTTGTGTCAGAGTCAGTGACATTCTGGATCGTATTTCATGGCCACACGGAACAGCACAAGACTGAAAGACTCCAGGTTGCATTCAAATTCTGCGGAGCCACCTTCCATCACGGCCATGGGAGGAATCATCAGGAAATCGAGTTCTGCAATCAAGCCATCATTTATAGAATGACAAAAGGACTACGCCACTATTTACGCGAAGGAAATTCAATCATACCGTGATTGGTTGATTCCAACGATGACAAGGATGAATATCCAATGATAACCTCCATCTGCATAAAGGCATACAGATGGTCAGAAAACTGCACGACATGATCGTGTTTGACAGTGGAGTCCATTGGAATGATGAACGAACGGGGGTTGTGCCAGCAAATCGCCCTCCCCGCACTGTTTGGACTGTAAACTTACTGATTCAAGCGGAGTTTAGTTGACAAGGGTTTAACTCGCTTACCTGAGAGTCATACTAGGGCAGACCTTGAAGCTTGAAGGCTTGATGTATGAAATAGTAAGCTAGTAGTCTCGACGCCGTGTTGGATACACATGTGCTTGACCACGTCACGTCATATTATGTAATATTACTGGCCAAGCAATAGTCAAGACTGTCGTCCCTTAACCGTTACGCAGTGATAAACAAAGCACTTTGTTTATCGCGGACAGTATTTATGTTGATTATGGGAACTCAAGTAAGCAACGAGCTTACAGCAACCTTTGATTGAAACTAGGACCTACTATTGACTTGAAGTCATGACCGTCACCTATCACACGACCGCGCGGTTGGCCCTGGCAACATAGACAAACCCAAGATGACTCCAATAACCATCGAAGCCAGCCAAAAGCATAGTAAACACATGAAAATACACCTTCGAATTGTTCCACGATAGTTGGACACAAGCAACTTGAACACATTCTCCAGTCATCATATCAAGATCCAAGCCGTCGACATGTGGCCCAAGGCGCCCAAGACAGTCTTGAGCTTCAGAAGAAGCGTGTCCCTGCGGTTGTGAAGTCCAACCTCAAGTTTCAGTTTGAAGCTCAATCATGACATATGTACTGTCTTGCTCACGCGTTATTAGCACCTGTAGTCTTGGCCACTTCCGATTGTACGAAACCGATCGACAATGATGGTTCCCCGACACATCGACCATCATCAATGGCCATGTCGCAGTGTATAAAACGGAGCCTCGCTCGAATTCTGTGGCTGCCACAATAAATCCATCATTGCCCACCTACATTCTTAACTCCGCATTATTCTCTGAAAGGTGCAAGGCTAGCAAGGCTCGTGCTGATATCTTCTAAATCTTGCAAATAAATCTCACCTCCGAGTCACTGGCAGTGCCCATAGTCATGAACCAAGTTCGTCATGCCACCCTAGAACTGTTAGATCTGCCCGTCGAAATCCTCGTATACATACTCAGCCATCTGGATGGCTACGAACTAGCGCGAGCACGTCGAGTAAGGACTAAGCTTTCTATTTCCAAATTATTAACTCAGTCTTTCTCCAGGTATGCCACGATATTCGACACATGATCGACTCTTCCTCGGAGTTTTTATATTCGATTGACCTCAAGTATTTCAACTTGATTCCAGTCCCTTCACCTGGCCCAGATCACACCGTCTCATCGCTTCGCAAATCACTTCGACAAAGCGAATTTGCATGGCAGAAAGCCGAATATTTCAAAAGTAATCCCATCTCTATACCGCACATTCCCCGTGACTTCATGTGGTCTTGCGGTATTCTGGCATTCAAAGTGCAGAATGAAAATCGACTAAGGTTTTTGCAGCCGCAAGTGACAGACCCTGATCATTCCGATAGCACGAGCTTGCGTGAATGGAACTGCCGACTCGATAGCGAATTCCAACTCTGCGGTTTTTCACCCATACAAGACCTTTTGGTTTGCCTTGTCAAAGCATCCCCAGGGTCAGTAGTTCCTTCAAGTTGCATCTTAGTGACTTGGTCAGATTGTATTAACGTAAGTAAAGGGAAAGTCACGCCCATGATCTTATTTTCAGATCACTTTCAGAGCCTGATAAAGTCCACCCTGAAGCTGGATCCGCTGTGGTAAAAACCCTCAACAAAGAGGTCGGCTGCGAATTACTCGACCCCCCCGATATGTCATTCTCCATTTTCGGGCATTATTGTGGCATTTTGTTCATCGATGTTCTCATAGCACATGGTGAACCGGCCGACATTTTGCAAATTTGGAACTGGAAGTCAAAGGACGTTTCTCTGGTCAGTGAATCTCCTGACTCATTGTTGTAACCCGTGACTTACCTGGACTTGTAGTGCCTCAAGCCGGCTCATAGAATTCTAGATTTCAAATTCCTAACAAACGAAACAATTCTCGTCGTCAACAGCGAGGAACTACTGTTGTATTCCCTCGTTGATTTCCCCGATGCTCTCCATCTTACTGCCAAATTCTCGCTCCCTACCTTGCGGGCACCCTTTGAATGTCAAATAATCTGTATCAACTCCGACTCGTCCCATTCCCGCATGCATAATGATATCATCACTATCAGCATGACGATTGTTGAGGAGAGCCACACTTGTGTCACACTGTATGTCGAGCGCAACACCCTGTTGGAACTCCAGTCCGCCTATACGCGCCGATATGGAAAAGCAAGCGACAGTTTGCCTAGTTTGCCCTGGTCTAAATGGGGACTAAAATATACTCGATCCTTCAAGGGAGACTCGCACGATTCTTGCAAACATGTCATCGATGGTTTACGGGCTGTATCTTTGCACGGCTCCCAGATAATGGATCCTGACCCGCGACCACTGTGTATCCGCGATTTCAACCCTCATCGAGTAGCGGACTTCAAGGCTGGGAATGGCATTAGATGGAATCAACGACTTATCGAGGGCAAAACATTCAGTTCAGGCGCGGATCTGTTCCTCGAGCCACTTGGATCTGGACTTCCGTATATCGAGACTATCACTGCAGAGAAGTTCTTTGGACTCAATTTAATAGTGGAAGGAAACAAGGTGATGTTGCGAACCTTCGATTTCGTGGGCAGACTTTGGAGCTCGGCACAACGGGGTGGACTGGATTTTGTCGCGAATGAAGTTGTGGACCAGAGCATCGAGATACTTAGTTTCGAGTAGTTATTTATCTCAAGCTTCATGTTATCTGAGCCTTTCAAGTCTTATTTGCGCGTTGCGTACTTGAGTGTTAACGTGCTTTCTATGGCTAGGTCGAGCGCGATTGACTTTCATTCCTTGTGCCGATGTCTACACTGATAACAACCTTACTACGGAGATACTCTTAAGCACGAGCGCAGTGATTAAGTAGTCAGTCTCGTCCACTGACGCGACCTCAGGCTTTTCATCTTGCGCATGAGCTCTGCTTCGGGTATCCTCATTAATTCGAATTTGATAGAGCACGGCCGGTATTTTTTCTCCGAATTCACGAGCCCCGTGTCATCCAGTGGCTGTGTAGGATCGAGGGTGAGCCGGATTCATAGGGTGCGGTGAAAAATTCAATAATTTTTAACAGCGGTTAATTAACCGAGTTATTAACCGGGTTATTAACTGTAAATAATTCAAGGCTGGAGGGACACCGGTCAAGAACTGTAAATAATGTACCATGTTGTAGTTATCTGTAGTTTAGAGTAGATGTTTTAGAGTAGAATATTTGATAAAAAGGCTGAATTCATTGTAACTACTTCGTACAATATATATACTGTTAAACGGTTAATACTATGCGTCCGATCCGAAACATATGAAAACGGACTTGTCTGTTCTCCGTGCTGTGCTTACTAATCGACACCGCTCCGGCTATTCCCGGGTAAGTCGGTGTTCCCTACATTATTCATCTATGTATGTATTACTAATCCTTTTACTCCTGTGCTCGTACAGTCATCATGTACGACTGAGTCCAACACTCCCCCTCGAGCACAGTCCACCTTCATCTTCCCTCTCAATTCCCTAAACCGTGGTGCCGGCAGTGCTTTCGTAAAAGCGTCCGCAACGTTTTCGAGCGTCGGACAATATTGGAGTTGGATGGTGCCGTTTTCGACAAGGTCGCGGATGTAATGATACCTTATGTCAATATGCTTGGTGCGTGCGCGGAATTTGTTGTTTGATGCTAACGCTATTGCTCCTTGGTTGTCGCAGTAGGTGGGGATACATTCATCCATCGGCTCGTATAGCTCACTGATGAGACTTTTTAGATATAGGATTTCGCGCGCTACCGACGTCAGCGCAATATATTCCGCTTCGGCGGTTGATAAAGCAACTAGCGACTGCTTTCGCGCGCTCCACGCTACTGGAGATCCGTGCAACAGGACGATATAGCCCGATATTGAGTGTCGATGGGGCTGACTCGCCCAATCAGCGTCTACAAACGCTTCTAAACCTTGATTTGTGGTTCCTAGGGTAAGTTTTGAATTCTTTGTCCCCTTTAGATAGCGTATGACTCGTTTAGCAGCTTCCCAGTGCGCACTAGCTGGCTCTCGCATGAACTGCGAGAGTATCGAAACAGCGAAGGCTATATCCGGACGTGTGCTCGTCGCAGCATACATTAGCGATCCAATGGCCTGTTGATACGGTACGTGTTGTTCGGGTATTTCAGGTTTGGTGTCTGGTGAATGGTCTGATGACTCTTTCGTTAGAACTACTCCAGTTTCCATTGGTGTTTGCGACGTTGTCGCATCCTTCATCCTGAATCTCTCGACTATAGTGTCGATGTATGCTTCTTGCGACAACATTATGGTCCGCGCCTTTCGGTCCCTTTCAACCTTTAGTCCTAGGAGCCAGGTAAGCTCTCCTAGGTCCGAAATCTCAAAACGTTTACGAAGCTGATCTTTGAACTTTTGGATGTGCTTTAGGTGTTTTGATGTGATGGCCATGTCGTCGACGGAAACGGTGATAATGGTATGTTCTTCTTCGGCTTGTCGATAGTATACGGCTTGGTCGACTTGAGAGCGCGTGAAGTCGTTACTGAGGAAAAATTCTTCTAGCTCCTCGGACCATTCAAAACCGGCCTGCTTTAGGCCATATAAGCTATGCAATAGCTTTAATACCTTTCCTTCGTCTCCTTCGTTCAAGTATCCTGGCGGCGCGCGCATATATATGTTGTCGTTGAGCTTGGCATTGAGGTAAGCACTTTTAACATCGACTTGATGTATTTCCCAGTTGTGCTTAGCTGCCATCGTTAGGACAGTACGAATTGTCGTCATACTTGAGGTAGGTGCGAACGTTTCTTGATAGTCTACGCCATACTCTTGGCGCTGACCATTTGCGACAAGTCTCGCACGCAGCTTTACCTTCTCGCCATTTGGTCCACGCTTTGTCGCTAGGACAAAATGGCAAGGTATTATATTCGCGCCTTTAGGTGGGTCCACAATTTCCCATGTCTTGAGTTTCTCTAATTGACCAATCTCATAGTCTATGGCTTGTTGCCATTCCTCTGCGTCTGGTCCATTTAACACTTCTCTAAGTGTCGGTTCCTTCTCTGCGGCTGCCATGGCCATATATGGAAAAGAATTCGATTGAGTGTTGTCCGGTGAGTTTTCCATTGCTATGGTTGCTCTTTCTCCTTCATTTAACGCTTTGTAGTATCCTGCAGGGGGTCGTACTCTCGTGGTTCTGGGCGTTATTGGGTCTGGAAGTTGCTGTGTACTCTGGGGTGGCGTTTTGGGAGGTTGGCTTGGTGTTTGTGGGACTTGGGATGTTGCGACGGGCTGGACGATATTCGGTATGTTGATCTGTTCTTCCTGGTTATACTCCCCCTCGTCCAGTATGTCGTTACGAACGATGATGTCCGGCGGGACAAAGCTAACATTGCGTTCGACAGATACTCTTCTCTTCTTCGGCCAGTATACTCGGTAAGCTTTACTTTCCTCGTCTATTCCCACAAATTGACCTTCTTCTGCTCTAGCTTCGAGCTTTCCTCCATCTGGTGAGTGCACATAGAGTCGTGCGCCGAATTCCCGTGCGTTTACTAAACTTGGTTTTGCTTTGTGTAGCAATTCATAGGACGTGTATCCTGGGATCGCCCTCGAAGGTAGGCGATTTTTGAGCCATGTTGTGTAATTGACGGCTTCGGCCCATAAAAACTTTGGTAGGTCCTTTGCGAGTAGCATGGCTCGCGCGTGTTCGACTAATGTTCGATTTAGTCTTTCGGCTACACCATTCTGCTGTGGGGAATCGTGCATGGTGAGTTGTCTCTTTATTCCTTTTTCCTTCAGATATTCATCAAACTCCTTGCTTAGGTACTCTCCTCCTCGATCCGACCGTACTTTGCGCAGACGCGCATTATATTGTCGGCTTACATAAGCCTCGTATTCCTTGAATGCGGTAAGTGCGTCGCTCTTTCTCTTCAGGAATGTTACCCTCATTTCCCGACTAAAATCATCTGTAAAGGTGATATAATACAGGCATCCGTTTATCGTTTCGGTTTGTGCCGGACCCCATAGATCTGTATGGACGAGGTCCCCATATGCGGATGATCTGGTCTTTGACTCGTTTGGAAATGGTTGTCGAGTGGCTTTGGCCTTTGCGCACATTTCGCAAAAGGTAGGGTTTGAACTTTCATCTAACGTTATACCTCTGATCATGCCCTTCTTTATAGCATTTGTGATCGCTTCGTGGGATACATGTCCCAATGCTCGGTGTAATTCATCGATGGTATGTTTCGTTATTGCTGAGTTTGCGCTATGGGTCACTGATGCTGCGATTCGATATAGTCCTTCTATTTGAGGAATTTCGGCTATGGGTCTTCGCTCTGGTGCTGGGGTCAATATCCTGCACATGTTATCTTCGAGGTGTAATGCGAAACCGGCGGTAGCGATTCTGTTGGCCGATATTAACGTGAATGCCATCTTTGGCGTATATAGGGTGTCTTTGAGAGTCACAGTGGTCTTCTTTGTTCCCAAAGGTAGGTCTATCTTTATATCCCCTTTTCCTATGGCGCTGATGGTAGAACCGTCTGCAGTGTGCACATCTTGTGCTTCGATGGAGGTGAATGTTATGAACTTCGAGCGGTCGGGGCAGAAATGGGACGTTGCGCCCGAATCAATAATGGCTCCTTGTCTCTCGGCAGGTATGTTGATCCTTTTTGCCACATTTGCTAGATCTGATGTGACAAAAGCATAATCATTTGCTCTTTCGATCTTGTCTGCCGCATTAGCCGTTTGTCTTGGCGCCTTTCCACCTTGCCTTGGTCCCTGACCTTCTTTCCCTCCTCCAGGTCTCCAACAATCGGTTTTGTAATGACCCTTCCTCTCGCAGTTGAAACACGTAACATCCTTGCTTGCGGTGCTTGTACAATTCCTTTTCGTACTGTCCTTGGCCGAGAATGCGCTGTTGCCTCCTTTCTTTGAGGTCTTTGGGTTTGCTAGTTGTCTGTGCTCGTACTCTTCAGAGACGACACTGACTAGCTCGTATGGGGTGAGTGGTTGCTTTGTGATTCGGGCTGTCGCATTGATTGACGATAACAGGGGTCTGTAAGATTCTGGCAGAGATCCCATTATAATTGCGTAGAAGTCCTTTTCTTCTATGCTCGCCCCCATGCCTGCTAGCGTTTCGCGGATGCGAAACATGTCCCCAAAGTGAGTCTTCACATCACCTCCTTCCTCACATCTTGATTCTTGCAACTTCCGGCGCAGATCTATTTGAACTAATTCTGTCTTGCCTTCGTGTATTGTCCGAATTTCGGACCATATCTTCGAGGCGTTGCCAAGGTGCTGGACGCGCAACAATAGCTGATCCGAGATCGTGCTAAATAAGTGTTGCTTTGCGAGTGAGTCCTTCTGTAGATATTCATCTATCTTCTCTTCAAGTTCTTCTACTTCTGTTTCAGTTGCTACCGTGCCATCAGCCTTTTCGTACTTTCCAGCCGAGTTGGTCTTGTATGGGGTAGGTTCTTTGATTCGACCATCAAGGTATCGCATCAATCCTCGTGCGCGGATCACTGTTAACGCTCTTTCCTTGTAGGTTATCCAATTCGAGCCATCGTCGGCAAGTTTGGGGATGGTGTACAATGAGGAGCTGCTGTGGTGCGTGTTATCCATGATTGTTGGAGCAGGGCTCATAACCTGTAGTTATCTGTAGTTTAGAGTAGATGTTTTAGAGTAGAATATTTGATAAAAAGGCTGAATTCATTGTAACTACTTCGTACAATATATATACTGTTAAACGGTTAATACTATGCGTCCGATCCGAAACATATGAAAACGGACTTGTCTGTTCTCCGTGCTGTGCTTACTAATCGACACCGCTCCGGCTATTCCCGGGTAAGTCGGTGTTCCCTACATTATTCATCTATGTATGTATTACTAATCCTTTTACTCCTGTGCTCGTACAGTCATCATGTACGACTGAGTCCAACACATGTCCTACCATGGCATCCTAGGCATGCCGTTATATCAAATTCGTCCTGATTTGCCTCATGTTGGGTGGATAAAGGCTCGTAGAATCTCATACTGACATATTTGTGTCATTCTAGCCATTGGGTTGCACCTGAATCATACTAATATGTCAGGAACATTTTTCGGAGTGTCAGACGACGGAGTGATTGGGATATAATAGATATGTCAATCAAAATTCTACTGATCTAACTTTTTGCTTGTATCACAGACCTCCTTACAGATTTGACGGCTATGAGTGGTTCAGTTCTTGGCACCTCAGTTCCATCCGAAACAGTTCACGATGGCCTTATTCCGAGTTCTGCAGCAGCCGATTTTCGCCTTTTACTGGCAAAGCTCCCCTTGGAAGGCAATGTGCACCTGTTTTTGACCAGTTAATAACAGTTAATAGCTTGGACGAAAAAATCACGTGCCGACTGTCAATATGTGTTAAAAAATGTCGGTTAATAATTAACTGCCATCTCCTGGGTTTTTTTTTTTTTTTTTGATTCCAATTTCTGTCCATTGGGGTAATGTACCCTATGTCAGACAATCCTAACTAGTCTACAGGGCCCCTGCCCTATCTACATCTCTGGACTCGCGAATGCCCTGATGTGAGGATGTCCTCCATCAGTCCGCCGTTCCCGCCGGCCGTTTTAGACGCGCAGTCCATTCGAAGATGAGTTTGACTGCTCTCTTCCTATCGTAAGTATGTGTGTCTGTGTCTGGTGCGTGGTACTTGTGAACTGAAGCGCGTACTTGACTGTCCCTGGGGACAGTCTGTACATGAAGCTAAAAGAGAGTTGCGTAAGTGACATAGAATGGTGTTTGTTCCCTCTTCTCGTCTCCCGTCTGATCCTCTCGTGGCCTTCCTTTCTCTGGGCCTGTGTCTTCATGTGGGTAAGTTTTGATTTAATTATGGGCGTTTGGTGAACGTTGGTGATGTCGTAGAGTCGTGGAGTCGTAGAGTCGTGAGGTCGTGAGGTCATGAGGTGGTGTGTCGTGAGGCATGTGGGTGGATTCAACTGTACTAGTGGTTCGTTCTGCGTGGGTGATGTCATTATCTGTCAGGTGGAGGGGGGAGATTCACGTCACCGAAGGTGGGCTTCAGTCGGCCTGTACTGTTCACATATCTGAGAAAGTGTTCCATCGCTGTTGAGTCTGTGAGCAGGAAGGGGAGGGAGGTAGATTTGCGGCCCAATTTCTGGTGGAGGATAAAGCGTTCTCGGTCGTATTGAGGACATTCGAAGAGGAAGTGGTGTATCGACTCTTCTGTGTGTAGGCATATGGGGCAGTTGGGGGTAGCGCTTCGGTTGATGCGATGGAGGTGCAGGTTCAGAGCGATGTGTCTGGTGCAGAAATACATATAAAGGCCAATGAGACGCTTGGGAAGGTTTGCAACAAGTTTGATGAATGAGCGTGAAAGGAGGTGGGGGTCTAGTGTCTTCATGCGTGCGTATCGTGGTGATTTGCTCCAGGCGCGTTCCCATCTCTGCCTAGTGTCTTTCTTGAGGGCCTGCTTAATGGCCGAGAGGCTGCTAGGGAGGTGTCCGATTGATAGGTATCGAGGTAGTTCATCGGCCGTGCTATTGTTTTGCCAACTCTCTGCTGCTATCTTTGCTTCCTGGTCCGCGAGTTCATTGCCTTTGACCTTGCTGTGTTCTGCTATCCACCTGACCGTCACTGAGTACTCTCGCCCGCGATGGGCTTTCTTGAGTCCTGTCATCATGCGTCTGAAATGCTCGACTAAGTAATGCCCTGCTTTCGGTGCCGTGCGCTCACCGAATTTTAGTACCGCTTGGTTGTCTGCTAGGATGGAGGATGGGAAAGTCAGATGGCGTTCTGTGGCTAGCAAGTGGGCGGCCAAGGTCAGTCCTACTGCCTCAGCCTCGTAGACCGTGTGCTCCTCTTCGGTGCCTAGATAGAATCGGAGGACACGAGGTTCTTGTCCCTCACGTGTCAGTACAGCTGCTGCGCCTATTCGGCCGTTGTGTCCCGAGCCATCACTGAAGACCTGGATGTCGTCGTTGAGTAGGGCTTGCTCGGTGATGGATGCTTCTTTGGAGTCAGCGATATGCACTGAATATGGGCTGCTATATGATGGGTGTTGGATGGCACCCGTGAGTGTTTCTATTTCCTTGGGGTCAATGTCGAAGGAGCGGGTCAGTCGATGAAGCGAGGTGCGGTGTCATTGGACATAACGTTTTGCGGTTCTTCTGACGTGTTCGTAGAGGGGGTGGGTTGGGGGGTGAGCGGCCAGACGGACTATGGCACGATGGCAGGTATTCTGTAGGAGAAGGGGAATGGGTAGAAGGTTAGCGTGAGTCTCGAGTGTGTCAGTTGCCGTGGTCCTCATGGCTCCCGTTATTGTGATTGCTGCTATCCGTTGCACTGTTGACATCTTGCCCGCTACTCCCAGGGATCCTCTTTGACTTACGTTCGATCCAGTGCGATATACTGGTGTGAACCACACGTCAGCGGCATATAGCATCTTCGGAATTATGGTGGATCTTTGGTGACGGTTCGATTTGCCGTCATGCCGCATACATTTTTCATAGTCCGCTGTTCATATTGTTGTATATCCAGAGTATTAATTGCAATCTGTCACAGTCGAGTGACGCACAAACGTACTGCAACTGTAGTCCCGATCGACTGATTGCACTTCCTTAACTGGGCTGCCAGTGGATCCTCATTGATGCATCTGTGGTGCGTTGTTCACGGAACATACTATGGAGTTGAGGTGAGTGCATTGCCTGCCAAAGGGACACTGGTCTTGGCCGAGGACTCATCCAAACCCTCGGACAGAGTCTCGCGTGCTTTCAAAAGGTGGATAAAACTCTTCTCTTATCATATTCAAGTTGCTTTCACGCTTCAGACAGATGCCGAATACGTTTGGACACAATGGTCGAGTTCCTGCTCGTGAGTAGCACATATGTGCTAGTACTTCATGTGAAACTGATATCTCTCATTCAACAGCTCCTGATGCCCTCATCAGACCGATAATTGAGGATTTTGTTGCAAAAGGGTACAATAACCCCGAGATTGTAACTCGGCTTCGTAGGTATTATGATACTGATGCATATAATGTTTCGTGAGTTGTTTACTTTCTTCCAGTCGAAAGCACACCTTACATATCTTCTCCGTTTATAGGATTGACCTCCTGAAAAAGCGGCGCTCTCAGTGGGGACTGAAATCTGCGCGTGGACAAGCCCACACCATTACAAGCATAGGTCCGGCTATTGAGCGTGTACGAGCACGCTTCCCAAAGCAAGGTTCGCATGACATGAGACAGACTCTCATACATGAAGAGAAGATCATTGTTTCGAGGTGCGCAGTCTTTTTGGTCATATCTCTGCATTATGATGTGGAGGTTTTGCCAACAGAAAGTTAATTCTTCGCTACATGAATCTTTATCATCCGGAAGATATTCAAGCTCGCAAGAGTCGGCGCCTGAAGAGAAGTATATACTGGACAGCGGGTGTTAACGATATTTGGGTATTCGATCAGCACGACAAGTGGCGACGCTTTCAGCTATATCTTCATGTTGCAATCGAGCCGTTTTCAGGACGTGTACTCTGGCTCAAGATTTGGTGGACGAACCGTAACCCCCGCCTTATTTGTGGGTGGTATTGTGATACTGTAGAAACTCTTGGCGGTGAGCATGGCCCTCTCACTGTATATATGACTTGTAAACTGTGACCTGGTTTCTCTAGCTATGCCCCTCGTAACGCAGAGTGACCCTGGAAGTGAAAACAACGGCATTGCCAATGGTCATACCTTACTTCGTCACATGCAAGATCCAACACTGGCCCGTACGTTGCAGCACAAATTCAAGGGTCAACATCGCAACATCAAGCCTGAGATATTTTGGAGTCAGCTCCGACGACGCTGGACCCCAGGATTTGAAGATATTCTTGATTATGGTATTAATAATGGAATCTATAATCCTGATGATGCCTTGGAAAGGTAGCAGTACCCCATTGACTACTTCTCTTCTTGCTGAGTGCTGAACACATCTGAAAGGCTTGTTTTTCATTACGTCTTCATTCCGTGGCTACAGCACGAACTTGACCTCTTTGCCGAAAAGTTTAATAATGTCAAACCTCGTCACAATATTCACAAGATCCTCCCACATGGCCGTCCAAACGACATCTTCTATCACGCCGAAGATTTTGAGTCTTGTGACTTCTCGGTGAGTATTGGCTATTGTGGATCTCGTCAATTTGTAATACTCAAAGACATCATCCTTCTACTAGGTGAAAGTTGACCGCACTATGCTTGATGCTGTACGACAGACATATGCTGTCCCTGACCATCCTGTCTTTTGTTTGGTACTGCACGACTTTTCTCAGCAGGCTTCTGCTTTCATGGTGGAGCTGGGCACACGTCCAGTGACTCGGGACAACGTCTGGAACATCTATGCTGATCTACTGATGTGTTTCCGTTTGATCGAGGAGGAGGAACAGATTCGCGAGCTTCTCGCTGCGCAACCTCCACTTCCTTGTGACGGTGATAAGATGCTCGGGAGCGAGGACTTGCCTATTGTAGATTTGCCACCATTTGTCGAAGGCAGCGGCCCTGGTGGCGAGAATAACTCAGATGCTGAGGAGGAGCAGTCAGATGATGCGTCGTCTGATTTCTATGAGTTTGACTGGACGGACGATGAACCTTGATATAATTTTGTATGTTACTATGACTATATGTGTATAAACTATCATAGCCAGCGGTTGCAAATACTATTTGTGTCATGAAGGACTTTTCACCGTGACTTTGAACGCCGTGATTGATGATTGACTCCGGATCCAATGATTTGACGTGCACTTCGATGGAACATTGCAATCCTTCAATTCATTGGCTGATCTGCAAGTGCCAACTGGCAGTATATAGAGCCAGAAAAATGATGTTCCATTATCACCGAGTCCAAGGCTCTGCTGCTCCAAAGTCTTTTCCACTGCTCCAAAGTCTTTTCTGCTGCTCCGAAGTCTTAACATGGACTTCACCCCAGTCAACGAATATGGTCCAAGGTTGTGTCAACGTTGTAATGTCCAATTTGATGTGTCAGTGACTTTTGAATATATTCGTGGCAAAGACGGTTCAGGTCGAGCATGCTGTCCTCCCTGTGCAAAACATTATATTGATCGCAAAGCTGCGGAGCTGGCGCAAAACAATGCTGTGCATGGTATGGGTAATAACCAGCACTCAGGCATAGGTAAGAATTTCAACTTCGCTTCCTAGTATTGGCAGCCCTTATCAGCTTCACCATTTATCTCAGATTTTACAAGTATGGGAGCATCGAGGGAGGCCCTCGTTAAAGCTACGTCAGCGGCACAACGGGGCGGTGAGTAGCATTGATAGTCTCTGTTTGTTAAATCCGCACTGACATGATTGCAGAACGATTGTTTCCAAGCCAGCGCTTCAGTTCTGAGTCACCACAGATGCTCGGCAATCCAGGACAAATGCTTCCACCTCCTGCTCCAGTTTCGTCCTGTAAGTGTACTTATGACTCCAAATTGATTGTTGCATTTCTGATGCGTACCAAGATAACTCACTAGGTCATTCAAATGGCTATACAGCCAACCATCAATTCCACCACCAACACCGTAGCAAGATGCTTCGTGCAGCATCATCCAGTCGTGTCCAAATCGTCACAATCCGAGCTGCCCTTCATCACTTAAAGCCAGAAGGCAAGTCAGGCACTTTGCTCGTTGGGGTAGGTCTTGGCTTGTAATATGATGCACTTGTTGCTTTTACTGATTCAACATGAAGAACATCGAACGAGACATGCGTGTATCGTTGTCTACCACACGAACAGAACTTCGCTTGGATATAATCCGGCATCTCCAGTCACCATGGACAGAATGGTCACGCAAACATTCTCTCACCCTTGAGAGTCTCGAGATGCATAAATCACCCATGATGCTTCTCTTTGACCCGAGGCAGCCATTGTATGATCCTGATGCAGTGGTACTTCATGATTTCTTCCTTCGCTCTACGACCAAAGATTTGGTCCCAAAATTCTATGCCAGCACAAAGGTTGCTATTCTTCTCATTATGACGCACGCACAGTATGAAAGTGTCCAACTCTGGAGGGAGCAAATTGATGAGTTGGTGGGTCTTCGTCATTAATACTTACGTCTTGCTAAATGCAGTGATTTTAGCGCCGCGATGATGCCACTGAGATGAAGGACATACAGACAAATTTGCACACACTGGCATCACCACCTGGGCCTGTCTATGCAACTGATGAGGCAAGCAACACTACGCACTCTGAGTTACCAGTCCGTCCATTCCTACTATGATGTTGCACCAAATTAACTAACAAGGATTGAAGAGTCGACACTTGAAGAAGCCACGCAGCCCCAGTCACACTACTAGTAGCCCGACTAGCAGCCGAGCCCATAAACGTGTTAAGGAGGTATGTTCACCGTACTCCTGCATTGAACACGTATTTATTTTGTTAATTTGAAAAGAATGATCATAGTACTACTTACCAAACACAGGGCATTGAGATTAATGACTCAGAGCAGGATCCAGAACAGTCTACCACCTCTCAATCTCTGTTGTCAATGTCGATGTCGGCGGTAGAGACACATCTCCCCAGTCGCATCAGTAGCCTGTTACCTGCAACTCCACGGCTTTTCCTACCCAGTCAACGACAACTTGAGGCTGCCATGAAAGCTCAGGGAAGCATCCGAAAACAAGCTTCAGCTGTTTGTATGGTTTTGCAGCATTTCAACGTGGTATTTCACTAATACATGATTTATTCAGGCAAGTACAACTCAAACACGTTCTGAGTGTACCAAATTCGCTCCGTCAAGTTTCAAGACATTATCACAACTCCACTCGACGTCATGTCCTCCCCTTTCGACCTTGTCTCAATCTCCATAGACTCCGATGCAAAGTCAATGATAGGTACTGCCGGAAGCTTCAAAACATGCCATCCAGCTCTTTTGCATACTACTACTTCATTGAGCGCTACACCTGGGCCATCAACTTCGCAATCTTCCATTTTCACAGCAACGCATGTCGTAGCCAAGCGTGTCTTTTTCCGAAAACGTGACGGGAACTCCAAGCGTCAAAGGTTTTCCAAAGAAGATGAACTTGGGAGGACGCTCGATGAGGCCAACTGCCTATACTGGGCTACCTGTTTGATGTCCCTCGTCTATATTTTTGTTGACGAAATGCTTCAGACGCAGACTGTAAAGCAGACCGTTGCAAACGAGGTCCCTCGCCTCCGACTCGTCTATGCTGCAGTTGCTATCCCTGAAGACGTTTCGGACTGCGCTGGAGCAGCATACCTATTAGAAGAAAGAATCGAGGGCAAGTTTATCAAGTATATTAACAACAATTCCGCAGCTCCTGCTCATCATCTACAGGGCGAAGAGGAAAAAATAGGGTTGTTTCTATGCTTCGCCCAGCATGTACAATATCAGCTCACAAATGAAGTCGTGTATCTGTCTGATTTCCAAGGTAATCTTCCTGCGCACTCGCATTCATCATATTCTAACCAACTATTCAGGTTCTGGAGACCTCCTTACCGACTGCCAAGTTATGACAGGACCATTCATTGTATTTCCTTCGTCTTTGAGTAATGCTAAGTTGGTTGCAGTGACTACATGAGTAACTTCGGTGAAGGAAATTGCACCGAGGCATTTCGCGCATTCAAAACGACTCATAAATGCAATGTCTTTTGTCAAGCATTTGGTTTGCAGCCCTTCATCATAGCCAAGCAAGGTTCATACAATTTCCTATTTATTCATCGGTTACTGATATCTCGCTGCAGACTAGGCTCCAGGCAGCATGATATTTGTATATATACCACGATTTTGCACGTGTATCCTTGAAGTAAATATGTCTTGTTCACTCCAATAAGTTGGTGCTGCCTCGGACAACAACAATAATGTGTACTGGTAGGGCACAGGAAGGAGCATGGGCTTGTCAATTTAGGCAGGAAGTGAGCGAGAATGGCAGTGAATCACGATTGGTCGCTAAGTTCCAACCATGTTGTCTACAAAAAATAAACGAGTCACGCAGAAGCTGGAGAGTAAGGACTTACGAATAGGAATAAGAACCAGACAGTCACGGTAGACTCAATCTGCATTTGCCACAAGATGACACTGAAGTGTGTGGGCGACATCGAAGTGCAATCAGTAGATAGCAGTAGATCAACGTTTCAACACGTACCCATGACAGAGAATTGTGTTTGTGCACGTGATTTGACTGTGACACTGCAATTGATACTCTGGATATAAGAAGATTGCGAGACGATGAGCTCGACCTATTTGCAAACAAATAAACAGGACATAAGTATCATAGAACATTGAAAAAACAACGAGACCAATTGGTCAAATACCGCAGTAGTCGAGCTCCCTGTTGCTCACAGCGAGCACGAAGGTTTCGGCAACGTGCGTGATCAACTCAGACAAACCTGGACACCCACTGTGACACATGATTCATATTATTGTTGTGTGCGGTCTGGTATATACAACGATAAATACAGCGGACTATGAAACATGTATGCGGCATGACGGCAAATCGAACCGTCACCAAAGATCCACCATACGGAATTGCTACTGCCTGGTATAGCTGGCGTGTTAGTTTCATGGGCATTCCGGTGGCGGTTGAGGAGAGGCGACGTAATTGCAGTGCGTAAGCGGTTCCTTTGGCGATTGCATAGGCGACATGTTCTTTCCAGCGTAGTTCCTGGTCTAGGATCACGCCTAGGAACTTGTGAGTGGCAGTTGGGCGGATAGTGCTGCCTCTGATGATCATGGGTGGTCGTGGCTTGGTTCTGTTCATAGAAAAATCGATTAGTGCGAATTTGGTCGTTTCAAACTTGGAGTTGTGGTCTCTTGACCACTCATAGCCTCCACCTGTCCTTTCGAGCATGCTTTTCAGGATGCGGTGCGTCTCGTAGAAAGATGCGCCGATGGCGATGAACGCTGTGTCGTCGACGAATGCGAGAGTGGACTCCTGTTTACCTCTGTGCTTGGCCACGTCTACTAGGTCAGCGTTGTATATAATGTACAGAATCATTGAAAGAGGGTCTCCTTGACCTATACCGTTCGTGACTGGGAACCATTCGGACTTGAAGTCGTCGAATTGCAGGCGAGTTTGACGTCCCGTGAGTACTTGTTGCGTGAAGTCGACCATTGCCTTTGGGAGGCGGCGGGTTCTCATGTTATGCAGTAGGCGATCTGTGACTGCGTTCGGGAATGCTCCTTCAATGTCGAGAAAGAGCACTGATGCTACTTTCTTGGTCCGCCAGGCGTTCTTGATGGTCTCTTCCAGGAGATGAAGGGAGTCCGTGGTTGATCTGCCGGGTCTCCCGCCAAAGTGAGTTGCTGATAGGAGCTGGTGACGTTCGAGGTAGAAGGTCATTTGGTCTGCTATGACGGCCGTTAGTAACTTGCAAGTGGTGTTGAGAAGAGCGATGGGATGATATGCTTTAGTTACGGTGTAGTCTGGCTTGCCTGGCTTACGTAGTACCACTGTTGTGAATTGGCGCCAAGGTTGGTAGTAGGTGCGGAGGTTAATGGAGGCGTTGAAGAGCGGGAGGAGGAAGGGGATGAGCAGGTTTGCACATTGCTTGAAGATCACGTTGCAGATGCCGTCGGGTCCAGGGGCCTTGTAGGGGCTTAGTTTCTTGATGTTGCGTGAGATTTCGTCGGTCGTGATTGGGACCATGGAGGCGACGGGATCGGGGTATTCATAGTTTTCTGGAACAGAGGAGATGTTAGGGCATTGCGGGAAGAACGACTTAGCTAGTTCGACACTCTTTTCGGCGTTACTGGTAGCTTCGAGCATGGAGCCGTCCGCCTGTCGGATGGAGAGAGTGGGGATGCGGGTTTTGCTGCCGTCAGTTGGGTCGGAGGAGATATACTTATTTGCAATCCATATGTCGTTTCCTGAAATTTCTTCCAGCCAGTCAACCCAGTGTTGTTTTTTAGTTTTGAAAATTTCATTGGCATAGTGGTTGCGGAGGCGTTTGAATTCGGCATGACATGGATGTAGGGGGAGGGCTCTCATTTTGAAGGCGGTGTGAGTGGCTTTGTTGACCTGACGACGCAGGAGGGTGAGTTCGTGAGTCCACCACCTCTTCGAGTGAGGGCTGGGCTTCGAAAGAGGGACTACTTCAGAGACGACCTCGTCGAGTGTTAGTGCTAAGTTGCGTGCGGCATTCTGGAAGTCAGTGTCGTTGAGGAGGGGTGCGGGGGCCGGCCTGGTATCTAGACGTGCAGACAGGACTTCCTTGAAGTTGTCCCAATCGGTTGCTCGGTAGTTGCGTGTGTGATCTTGAGTGATTCTAGGGATGGTCAGTTCGAGAATGGTTAGGATAGGCACGTGGTCAGTTTTTGGTCCCCGTAATGCCGGGTTAGTTCCGCATGATACAAATACCTCCATAGAATGGTCCGTGCAGAGTACATTGTCCGGTCTCGTCCAATTTCCAGTGCTTGATGATTGGAGGGTAGGTTGTCCCTTGGGCAAGGGTTGATTCATGCCGTAGTCAGCTATAATATCAATGAGGGGCTGTGACATATTGTAGTCGATTAGATGCTCGTTCCGGTCTTCTTCCCAGAGCGGATGGTGGCGGTTGAAGTCTCCGAGCCATATCATATGGTCGCTGTTTGACGATCGGATTTTAGCAATGTTGGCAGTGAGGTAGTCATCTAGGGCGTGGATGGTGTCCTGTCGTTTTCCATCGTTATAAATATTAAAGATTGTGCATTTGCCGAATGGTCCCGATAGTTGGACGACCACGACATCAGATGAGGGGAAAGAGATTTGTTGCCAGTCGTTGGTGTTGAGTGAGGTGCTGATGAGCATGACGGCCCGCGTTTTCTGCTCGGGGTGGGTATAGTGCTGTGTTGGGTATAGGGTGTGCCACTGTCGGTTAGATTTCGTGTTGCGAAGGCGGTCCTCGCAGGCCTCTTGAAATGCAAGGATATCCCAGTTTTTTGCTATCGGGCCGTTGAGGATGGACTCCTGTGCTGCTCGGGAGTTATTAAGGTTTTGTTGCCAGATTCGTAGTCGGACGGGTATTGGTTCTGGGTGTTCAGACATGGTCTACGGTTAAGGTTGCTGGGGTTGCGGTCGATGGAGATGGAGGCAGTGACTGGGATGACGAGGGGAACCACAGAGGCGGTGATCCTGGGGTTGAGGTCTGTGAGGCCGAGGTTGGGCTGGAGGCTGAGCTGGATGGTGGGAGCGGAGACATTATTATCGTTAGTCCATTGTTGATGTTGTCGCTGTCGTTCTCGTTATCATTATCGTTTTCGTTATCATTACCTATGGGGAGCTGGGCGTATCTGTTAGTAGGTGGCGGGGTCGTTAAGTGGAGTCCTTGGGTGGGGTTAGGCTTCGTTGACTGTCTGGGGAGTGTTGTTTTTGCGTTGATGATGGAGGGGGTGAGGATGGTTTGGCGTAACCAAGGTGGTGCTTTCTCATTGCTTGAGGTTGGAGTTGTCTTTTTGTATGGTGTTGCTCTTGGAGGGGTTAGTGCGTGAGTCCAAACTTCGCAGGTTGGGAAGTAAGGTAGAGAGTTTTCTGGGTGTTTGATGTTGAGTTCTGTGCACTTGCGAGCAAATTCCGGACAGTTTCTACTCCAACTGGCATGGTTGTCGCTGCGACAGCTGACACATCGTAGGGTCTTGTACGCATTGCATTCGGTAGTCCGGTGGTTGTCTGCGCATGTTCCACATACATCTCTACTTACATTGCAGTTACGAGCTATGTGGCCATAACGTTGGCATTTGGCACAGCGAATGGGTTCCTTTCGATCCTTCTTGACTCGTATCAGGTGGTGATCGATGTAAAGGCCTTGCTTGATTAGCTGGTTGGCCGTCTCCGCGTTGTTGATCTGTAGCAGCGCAAATGCCATCATTTGCCCTAGGGATCAGCAGGGGTATGGGTAACCCCTGGGGGTCAGGGGTAAGGGTACTTGAGGGTAGGGGTATGGGTTTGGATTTGGAGACCCCTGTACCCCTGGACAATTGGTAGTACCCCTGGGCCTAGGCATAATACATCCCCAAATTGATTACCATAGGAGTGATTGATAAGTATAAAATTTTGAAGTTCTCAACAATATAATGGTTATTGGGCTTATTGTGATCTTATGTTGTGAGTTAGCTCTTATTTGAGTATGATATAAGTAAAATACAATCAAAGGAAACATTTAAGTTAGTTTAGATGGTTCATAATGTATAAGATTTACTTGCCCATGGTTTGAGTCTCATCTACACACTTGGCTAGGACTCAAGAAGCATAAATTAAAGTCAGCCTACTATATCTTCTAGCCTAGATGGTGATAATACCCCTGTACCCTTGTGATACCCTTGTACCCTTATAATACCCCTGGGTTACCCCTGACCCTTGGTCTGAGGGGTAAGACCCTCCAGGGGTAGGGGTGTGGGTTGGGCTTATGATACCCAGGGGTTTACCCCTGCTGATCCCTAATTTGCCCAGGGGGCCTTTTGTGTGGGGGCTTGATCCACCGCATGGACGCTAGCGAGTTATCATCTAGGTGATTCTTGCCTTCTACTAGTCGAAGGAGTCCTGGTCGTTCGATGAGTAAGTTAGTTGGGACGTATTGGGCTACTAAGGTGTAGGTTCTGTCTTTAAATGTGACCGAGTAGTCTAATGCGTGAAGGAATTTCTTTCGGGTGGCGTTATCCCGTAGTCTGAGCGCTGTTTCTTCGTTGTCTAGTTCAACGATGATTCCTCCGTTGCGCAGCTGTAGAAGGGCCTTGACATTGTCGTTGCGGCCGTTGGGGGCCAGGGCTGCCTTGATGGCGGTATGAATCTTATCCAGAGCTTCGTTGTGATTGATTTCGGGCGGGAATACTGGGTTGCCGATTATAGGGTCTAGCAGGATCTGTCTTGCTCGAATAGCGGACCGGGCCAGGGCTTCGTCGATCGGAGGTACCTGGTGCTGTGTGTTGCTGTTGCGTGGACTTTGTGACGGGTGTGGTTGTGGTGCAAAAGCTTGGACGTTCGGAGGGGAGCCACGTGAGGTGTGTAGGCGAGTTGGTCCTGACGGCCAGGCTGTCGTTATGCTGCTGAATGGTGCAGGTTTCGGAGCTTCAAGTTGGGGAGTGGGGGGAGAGTGAGCGTCTTGTAGGTCTAGGAGTTTCAAGGAGAGAAGGTGGATTTGGTCCTGTGTCGTTTCTAACGAGGGAGAGAGACGGTTGATGGAGCTGTGGCAGTCCTCAATAGCGCTGTGAACCGTGTCTGTAGCATTGGTGATCCTATCCGCTGCTGCATTGATGTCTCGGTCTAGGTCCATACATTCTCCTAGTATCTGATGAATTTTCGAGGTGTTTTCTAGTGAGGTGGAAAGCGAGTCCGACGTTGATGTGAGCTGTTCGATCTGAGGGTTAATGGCTGTCATGATATGGTCTATGATTTGGGGCGTTAGTTCGGTTAGTTGTTTTGTTTTTTCTACTTCTGTGTCTGGGTAGTCTGGGAGCGTTTTGTGTTGTTTAGTTTTTTGTATAGAGTTTTCAAGGGATTCGGAGGCTGATAGTATCCGGGCTACTTGCGGGGCAATTGCGGCTATCACATGGTCCACCAGTTTCGCAGTGATGGTGTCCGTGACTTGTTGTGCTACTGTCGTCGTGATTTGTCGAGCCGCTGCATCCGTGATTTCGTCTACTACATGTTGCTTGTGTAGAAAGACAACCGATCTGATGGCGGTGATGACCGGCAGGGGCGTGGACCCGGATATCTGCGTGATCTGTAAAAGGACCGAGATTATATGGTTTAAGGTATAAGGTTCAGTCGCGTGGCAGAGGCTCTTTTTTTTGAGGTATGAGTGCGCGCTGGCAGCGTCTGTGACGGTGCTAGGTTGTGCTTCTATTTCTGGTGCGGTCAGTGTGATATTCGAGGATCTGGTTGTTCTTTTCGTAGGGGGTCCTCCCGGCATCGTGGGGGAGGGGTTTCTGGAGACTGGTGTTTTGGAGCCGAAGCTCATGCTGCGCAGTTTTCCAGTGGCCATTTTCTAGTTTTTTAGTATTAGACGATATGTATTGGGGACTCAGGTTCTTTTGATAAAGTTTTGATTTTGGCTTCGCCGTTGGGCGCTGTGTTGATAGGAAACTTTTCGGGGTCCTATACGGGGTGCCACTTGGTGTGGGACCAAGAAGCGCCATCTCCTGGGTTAATAACCCAGTTAATAACTGGCTGGATAATTTTTCACCGCACCCTAAGCCGGAAGGCCCAAAGAATCAGGACCGTGCATATGAAATGCATGCCCTAACTAGTACGTCACGTACTAAGACTTGTCGTACTCAATCGCTTGAACGAGCCCTGCAAGCAACCGCGTTTAATCCCGTGGTAAGTGCACAGAGTGATATTACTGGTCCGATGTGCATCTACCCAGGAATATTTACTTTCGGATAAATGTCTCGATCGACGATGAAGAGCAATCTCACCAGACTAACTTTGATAGACTTACGAACGGTACCGAGTATTCATTTATACGTATCATAACTGCATACATACAATAGTGTCCCATACAAGTCCGAGACAAGAATTATTGTTTTACTTTACGTGCATGTAAGGTATGCAGACGAGTAGCAAAAAGGTCCCATGAGGAACGAAACGAAACAAAGGGAACATGATACTCGAAAGAAATTAGGAGGGGTGTCAGACTCAAGTGTCCAACCAACACCAACAGATCAGTATCACTTCATCCCCAACCGCACCCCCTTAGCAGACTTGAACCACCCCTCCCTCTCATTGTCCCTGGCCTTGTCATCCTTCCAGCTCCCACCCATCTCAGGCGGAGACATACTCCCATACTTCGAACCCCCACGCATCAACCCCATCTCATCCGTCACACCATCCACCACCCCACGCTCTCGCTCCCTTACCCTCGGCGATCCCGACTTACCAAGCGACTTCCAATAACCATCATCTACTACTGACAAATGTCCCATAAACGCTACCGGCATCGGCGCCGCCATAACCAATCCTGCCGCCTTCGACTTCTTCCTTGCATCAGTATCAGGCATAGGCGTAGCTGTCCCAGGCTCCATCATCTTCTGCAACGCAAGCAAACACAAAAACGCGTCGTTGCCTGCATTATGCAGTGCACATGGGGGTTCGATCCCTAGGGAGTGTAAAAGCCCGCCGAGGGAGAGCGTAGAGCCTTGGGCGCGGTGTTTGCCTGTTTTGGGGTCGTGCATTACTCCTCTCTCGCCGGTGTTGAAGAGCGCGCGTTCAAAGGAAGCAGTATCAACTATGAGGACGTTGTGTGGGATTTCTAGGGGTGCGTTAGTTAGAGCGCATGAGTGGGGTAGCGACGTACTGATTTTGGTCTCTTCAAGACGCTGGATGTCAGAGCTGACGCCGTGTCCTACAAGGACGAGGCTATTAGCGGTGGTTTCTGCGTCCGGGCTCGCTAGACTGCTGTAGATGACGTCAGACACCGGAGCTGTAGACACGGGAATGTTCTACCTAATCACAGACTGTACGATTTGAGGTAACTTTGTTCTTGGTATGATTTGGCTGTCGCCCCACTATGAGGTACTTTATAAGGAGGGAATGAAGCGCCAAAGAAAGACGTACAGCATACTACTCCATATGTCAGTTTATCATAGGAGGGTGATCGGAATAGGCGTACCTGCCAGGGATACGTAGGACAATGCTTGTTGACGATCTTGTCCACGTAGTCACCGATGATATAATGACCCTTCCTGTGTATATGCACATCAGCCAGGCCGTTACGTCTGCCAATCCACAACACACCGATAATTTGACTCGGGCATCGGAGGCCACGCGCCGACGCTGCAAATCAGATCCATCAATTACCCGTACGCCACAGAGAGGAACAAAACACATACGCCTCAAGATGCCCACACCGAACAGCCGCATAACCCCATTCTAGAAACGTTGCCGGATTCCGTTCGCTCCACTCAAAATCGATGGCTAAAAAGGTCTTGTCGCGCTTGGCCCACAATTCTCGGATGGCCTTCGGCTCGCCAGCCCGTATCCGAGTTTTAAACGCTGCAAGCGCTACTGCTGGTAGTGTCGTGTATAGTTTCTTGTAGGTCGCCCAGTCTGCAACGTTCCGTAGATGTCGCTGAGACGTCTCGAAGTGCGTAACTTTGAGCATGTTGTCGGGCGTTGGAAGTGTTTCGCCGAAACTGAGGGTTCCTTCATTTGTGGGTCAGTAGATCAGAGGTGAATAGGACGCACCGAGTCTTGATCATCTTGATGAACGCGCCGACGGTCGTTAGTCGGGTGACAATGTGCGCGCGGCCAGTCGATGAGTCTGTAACAGCAATTACAGGCCATGAAAATCCCAGAAACTGCTCAAACGTCTCGAAGAATTGTCCCCATGTCCGGTCGTACCTGTGCAGCTCGATAAACGCGTTCTATGCACGTATTAAAGGAGCAGACACACCACGGGATACTGTGCAACTGGAAGTAACCTATGTAAGCAGAGTACACCTATTGGATTATGAGCAACCTGTTAGACGAAAGCGCTGGGATGACGCACAGACTGAAGATCGTATTCCCAACCTTCTGGATTAACGAGGCGAAAATCTGCCATAGAATTTGAAATCAGACGACGGCTCGGTCAGTGCACAAACAGGTCAGTAGCGCTATGAGTAACGATCTCCAAGGCAGCGACGCGGAACAAAACTCGGTTTAATACTGAGTGTCTAGACGCCAGGAAGTCGTGTTTACGGCATAATTTTACATACTCCCATTTGGCATGAACAGCGTTTTTGGGGGCATGGAGGGGTGTAACGGCACATGCCGGAATAGTCTGTGTTTATATCATAGTTTCTATTACTCAAATATCACGTAGATGAACTTAAAAATTATGGAGAAGAGGATACGTCGTTTCATTCATGTACAAGAAGAAGCAAGGGGAACCTGCAGAAGTACTGAAAAAAAAGAAGTTAGCAACGGGAAATAAGAAAGAACAAAGACGGGGATCAGAGACTTGAATGGGATCCCGCAAGGGACCAAACGTCCAGAGTGCAAGCACGTCGCGTCGAAAAAATTTTCTATCCTAATGAACATATCAAAAACGTGAAAACTCACCATGAGTGTCGATGCATTGATGTTCACATGAAAAGGGCCCAAGGAGCTCCTGCAAAACGAGTCAGTATTGTAGCACAACACAGGATGAAAAAATCAGATTAATAGATCGCGTTCTTCTCAGAACCTGCTAGCAGGCATCGAAGTGAGCTGAGTTTACGAAGATGTTTCATCGTAGAAAGACCAGCATAGGACATTGACGAGCACTTACCTTGTGGTTGTGACATATGCAGAAAAGAAAGCTTCGGAAACACCCGAAGTATCACTATCACGCTTGAACCTACCCTAAACTCAGCCACTCATTGAAACTATACAGGTCTTATTGAATTTGCCCACGGTCTGACACTCTGAGCGCATTCGGAGGACGCAACCGCAAGCAAGATACACAACCTCGCCATCCGAAGATGCAGATCTTCGTCAAGACCCTCACAGGGAAGACTATCACCCTCGAGGTGGAGTCTTCTGACACCATCGACAACGTCAAGGCAAAAATTCAGGATAAGGAGGGGTACGCGTTATAATATATCTGGTACTACAGAAATTGATAGTGTGATCAGTATTCCCCCCGACCAACAGCGTCTCATCTTCGCTGGAAAGCAGCTCGAAGATGGTCGCACACTTAGCGACTATAACATCCAGAAGGAATCTACCCTCCACCTTGTCCTTCGGTGCGTCGCGTGTGTCTTCTAACATTGAACACCATGCTGACCTATCCATAGTCTCCGTGGCGGAATCATCGAGCCCTCACTAAAGGTACTCGCAGCTAAATACAATTGCGACAAGCAAATCTGCCGAAAATGCTACGCACGTCTGCCCCCTCGCGCAACTAACTGCCGTAAGCGCGGATGTGGACACTCGTCACAACTCCGCCCGTGCGTCTTTCATTCCTTTACATTACCTCACGTGAAACTAATTTGACATCACCGCAAACAGCAAGAAGAAGTTGAAGTAGTCGACTTGCTTTGGGCATGCTTTGGGGACGATTATGGGACATCCATGTGTATTTCTTTTTCGCTCGCATGTGCAATATGCAACACATGATCATTCCATGTCGTTTTGTGGAGCTTTCTGTGTGATTTCTCCGCATTTTGTGCGCAGCGGTGATAATCATTACCCCAGTTCTTTGTCATAAGAACGACCCCGTATCGTGACAGGTCCCCATTTTCCATCAGATATTTGTCAGTAGGCGAACTTCCGTCTGCCCAAGGTGTCAAAGTGTTCCCTAACGACGTTTCGGAGGTGCACAATGAACCTATTACCACAAACAGCAACTTCCGTGGCGCCCATTAAGGGCAGTTACACCAGATTGAGTTCAAGAAGTGTCCTTAAGCGTCGTTAAAACGCTTTGGTATGACTGCTATGTATATGCGAAAGAGCGTGTCAAATGACTTGGACCAACCCAACATCACCTCACGCCCTAACAAACTCGGTAAACCATGCATTCGTATTGTCCCAATGACTGTCTGTTGTCCATAAAAAAACCGACAAAATATGTCCAAGTGCAACTGCAACTACAAAATAAGGTAGTGTTCCTAACGACCAAAAACTGAAGCCAGGGTATGTAGAACATGTCAAATCCCAAAGCCAAAAACGAAATTAAATGTAAATTTCAGGCATGCTGAGAGGAATTTTTGGTTTAGGGAGGCCAGATTAGAACATGATAGCTGCGCCAGCTGCTGCAGAGAGTAGGACAACGGCAGCGGGGCCCATGCCGATCTTGATAAGCGATGTAGCACCACTGCTGTTGATGGGCGAAGGTGAAGCAGATGCGGATGAGCTGGTCTGTGCTGTGGTAGCAGGAGCGGTGGTTGTAGGAGCCACCGTCGGTGCTGTGGAAAGGCCCGTACCCGTGCTCCTAGAAGAGGTTTCAGATTGTCGTCTGTGATAGGTAAGCATTTACTCACGAGCTCGTCGACGTGGTGGATGTCGACGGCAGTGTGGCACTCGACTGTGCGGAAACAGCAAAGTCACCACTTTGTGCGTAGACAGTGTTGATGTTGCTGTTGCTAGTAGCTTCGAGGGTGTAACCGTCACTACGCATCGCGAGTTCAGCCACTCTTATTGTTTTATTCAGCAGAAATAGATCAGGGTGCTTACCCAACGGGGACCTGGGGCAGCGTAAGAGTTATGATACCCGCCGAGCTTTGCACGTTGTTTCCGATGGCGAATGTGTTGTGGAAGATGGTGTTCACCATGTAAAGACTGAACGAACTGGGATCGGAAGTTGTTGCCTCCCAAGTGACATTGACCAAGCCGCCAACCGAAACACCCGTCGGTGTGTTGAGTGTCAGTGCAGACACGAGAGGGATAGCGAAGGTGGCAAGAGCACTAAGGGGGTAAGTTAACAACACATCGGAAACCTGCTCATCCGATAGTGAAAAAAATACTTACGCGATTCTAGCGAACATGTTGAAGTCGTGAACGGAGTAGATATAAACTAGAAGGAGATGTAGAGGATGTCGAGGACGACGGCGAGGAACGGGAAGCAGAGAAGTGAGAGAGTTGAAGAAAAGTCCAAGCAAGCACAACAGCTTTTATGCCAGAACTAAACCGTAAGGCGTCTTCCCACGCGGCTTACCAGTCTGGTTCAAAAGCATCCGATGCCGACGATTCACAAACACGCTGGATTCTCATCATTGCCTCATCATTCCCGCGTTTTTCATTCGGTAGGTATGCCCAACTATGGATTCTAGTCAGTAATAGTAGACATTATCCATTACAAGTCGTCAACCCCCCAGCAATAATGCTCACGGGGAAAAAAATCCCTTGGTGAAATTATGAGTTTAACCGGATGGCGGCGTACAATTTCCCGATTTCCAGTCAGGCTGCGATCGTAACAGCCTTTCGGCTGTGTTCAAGAATAGATCACGGCCATGTATTCCCTTTCCATCCGCTAATAGATCTACGTGTGAAACGTGGTGAACACCAACGTCAAAAAATGTCAACGAATGTGCGGCATCATCTTGTCGAGGGACAACAAGGCAGGCACAACTCACCTCGTCAAACGGTCGCGTATCGCTAAAGCAACTCCCCCAGACCTCATTCACCGCACGCTCTGCCGCTGCCTCGTCTGGGCACATGGGATTCGCGCGGACGGAAAGTATAGCACGCCGTCTCACGCAAGCCTATTCCAAGTTAGTAAACATTGGGACTGGTCAAGAGATGGATATAGGACTGCACAGCATAAGGCACAATCATCGATATACCTGATGTTGTTTTGAAAATGACACGAATCCCCTTCCCAGCTCACGCATATATCGGCAGTCACCACTTAAACTGTTAGCACGGATCTTCGATAAACGGGCGCCGCGGCATATGTCAATAAAACGTAATATGGCACACTGATCACTCACTTCGCTGCATGCATGATGTCTCAAGTTTTTCCAGTCAACATTGAACTTGCAGTGATCATACATATGTACCAGCTCGTGTGTGAGGGTATCTTCCATGTGCTTCTTGTCTCCGAAATGGCCCTGACAAAGGATAATCGCTCCAGCAGGATGGAAGCCTCCGGAACGCGTGAGATCGCATGGGGCACACACGATGTTCGAGGACGGTACCAGGCACCCGGACAACTTCAGATGTTTTAGCATGAAAACAACTGAAGGGCCTATGAAAGCAACGCGTGCGCGGCGTTGGAATAAGTACGGATCAGACCACGCAGAAACAACGAGACGGACTGTAATTCAGGAGTTCAGTCTTCCATTGCTCGCAGCGGCGATGCTGCGCTTCAACCCTGTCACGTTCTCGTTCGTCTGCGGTAAGCCCCATACCTGATACTTGGGCAGCTTTGTGCAGCCATCTTTGAAATGATCGCGACTCTGATGGATTAACAGGTGGTTCAGAGGAGGCCGGATCCATGAGTGCAAATGTGCTAGTGCAAAGCGCAAGTTTATAATACTATTCATGATGAGTTCCCACGGACATGCATGCACTCGCGGCACAACACAAATTGGGATAGAACGGCAATGTTACAGTAAATCAAACACCAGAAAGCGACAACCACGAACTCGTAGGTACTAGGTCCAATACATTATCCTCAGGAACGCCCACTAGAAAGACAGTAAAGTAGTAATGTAATTAATGAGAAGTGCACTTGAACAACTCTCGCACGTCTGGCAGATTATGGAGCTCAGTCAGGTATCTCGTCGCCAGCGCTTGAAACAACAGCTCGTGATGCTCGTCGTGGTATGGGGTGTGCACATGGGCCATCTCGTGTGCCATGACATAATACCTGCGGGAGATTAGTAAATGCTGAAGGACAGAATTTTGTGTACTTGCCAGTCAATGTAAGCTTTTCCAGCAGGGGCATCTTTGTCTAAGTAGTAGGCATAAGCCTCGGTAACGGAAGAACCAATCATGAAGATCACGTACGGTTCTGTATATAGTGTTCCAGACCGAAAAATATCTGATCATTGCGGTTGAAACCCATCAGATTCGAGTCTTCGCCATGATAGAATACGTGACATCGTGTCTGATTGATTGAAAAGACTGTTGCGAGGTTACTAATGATATTCCCAAAGGCTTCGCGTTCCCTTGAGGGAACACCCAAGACTGTCCCCTCTAAAACAACGTCAGTCTAGTAGTTCGAAATGAGAAGCATTCAACTCACTTCGCTTCCAGACTTTGACTTGCCCGACGTGTTGGCCCTCTTCATTGATTTAATTATGAGCTGCCAGACTCCAAGTTGGACAACGTACCACATTCTTCGAGATCCGTCTTTGCAACCTTCTTCTCATCGCAGTATGCGACATTTTTCTGCTTCTTCCCTCCACCAACCTGTTCCCTATTGCTGATGTGCGAGTCGTTATCGCCGCCCTCTTCCTTCATGATATTCTTCACCTTCTCAATGGAGTTTTCTGCATACCAGTTATCAGTGTCTACCTTCGCCATGAAAATGGACTTAGCGCACCTATCTCACTGAGCTTGATCTGACCCAACCTGGGGTCTTTGCGAAACCGATGCAAAAACTTCGTGAATTTGCTGACGGACTCCGGCTTGTCACAGGTTGATTCGCTTTCCGAGGATGCATCTTGGGGGGAAGCTTGAACAGGTCCGGGTGGCGCCCCATTGCAAGGATTTTCTCCTGCTTTCATTGAGCATCTCCCCTGGCATGAAAGATAATGAGATTGATCGTAAACTTACCATGTTCAGCCTTTTCAAGGTTCTCGCGATACTCCGAGAGAATTCTATCGACTAAACATGCAATCAGCGCAGCTTCCTAGATGACAGCGACAGCCTCACCATCGTAACCACGGCGCTTGAGGACGTTAACGTCTGTGTCCAATATAGTCATAAGAGACAGGACATCATTCTTTTTATAGGTAGAGAACAGCAGGCGACACAGAGCTGCTGCTACACTACAATGAATGAGCACGCATCTCGATCGACACATAACACCACATACTCATAACTGTCAGCCTTTGGCTCCTTGATCCACAGCACATGCAGGCCATCCTTGGATTGCGTCTCAGCAGAGAGTTCGGTAGGGTGCGCTTTCTGTCCCTGAAGTCCATTAGTCGCATTGGGGAAGTCTAATCTCTTCGTGACGTCAAGCTTTCGGCAAGCTCGCACGAAAAATTGATTGTCGTCATGCCACCGTAACAGGCGCATTCCATCTCTAAAGCGTGGTTCGTCGAACTCATGGAGGAAAATAGGTATCTTGTCAATGATAGAATTTAAAAGGTCGCGGGCACTGCGTGCGTCCAGCAACTCCTTGCCTGGTTCCACAGTGTATTTGATGCAAGAACTCAGCGACTTGACTTTCATTTCAGAGTAAAACTCTGCTTGCGATATGTCATATTGTACCAGAAAGAACGCAAGCACTTACTTTCTAACAACTCCTCCTGGGGAGCGATGAAAATGCAGTCGCCAAAGGTGCGACGACTTTCCATGTCGTCTGCGACCAATACTCCTTCGGCCTTGCAAAGTTCAAACTCGTCTGCTTCGTGACTGTACCCATCCCGGCCAATACCGCCTTTCCCTTGTCGATATCCTAAGAAAATCGAGGCAGTGCGCATTTCTTCGTGGATCTTTCGAGGAAGAGACTTGTGACCAACCGCAATCAGACGCAGCTCAGTCAAGTATCTACAGCAAGTAAGTATCATGAGTCGAGGTTCCGGCACCGATACGTACCTCTCATGGTCGTCCCCAGCTAGTTTAAGGAACGTTTTTGGACATTTCAGGAGAACTCTGAGAACATCAATGCATTCAGGGCGTTCCTTAACACCACAGGCTTTTAAGAAGGCATTGGCACTAGGCCCGAAGTCGACAAACTTGAACAGCCGCTGGTAGAAATGGTCCTCGGAGTATGATTCTGACTTCAGGAAGCACTCACGAGGAGCCACTGGCTCATAGGATTTACTGGATTGTGGCTGCTCGGAAGACACCTCGACGGGAACAATTTTCAATTCTGCGATCCTTTCGAATTCTCCTGCCGAGAAAACTGCACATCTTGTCAGTACACACAGAAAACGCCCGGGCTATGAGACTGCTTGCCTCCTTTTTCAGCAAGAAACTTAAACCAGCTCTTTGCAATTTGCGGATCTTTCGGCGGAGTCGATTGAAGAACCTGGAATAGCTTTTCAGCGGTAGGGCGATCTCGAATTTTCAGCTTTGCAATATTCTTCTTGCTGAACTGGTCGGACAGGTGACCGAAGCCCAACACCTTCCAGTTTGGATCCGAGAACACCTTGTCAATCGTGGCATCAGCTATACATCTCTAGTGTTCGTGCACGAACGGACCTCGCCATGGGGGATTTGACAAATTTTCCCGTCTCTGACGCCAGGGATGAAGGCGAACGTAGAGAACTTTGACGGGTCGAACTGCCTTTCAAGGTGTGGTTCATACAGTGGTCCGCAAAGAAACGCGAATGCAGCACGCCTAGCAGCATGGTCATCCTCAGAAGATGCGATAGGGATGAGTTCTTCTATTGAAGGGTATTCGTGTAACCCATGTCTAATGAGGAATAGTGCTGTAATGTTTGGTCAATGGGGGATGCAACGTCAGGCCAGTTCACAGCACACCTTCCTGGGTGTTTGAATCCCAGTAGTCGCAATTGATTACGTGCAGTTTGAGTGCCCGGTTGGTTTCTGTGGATGCGAAGAGCTCCTTGATATGACGTCTTTCATTATTATTGCATGGAAAGATCTCCATCCCCATGACGCGAGTCACATGTTCCTGAGCAGATGTAATAAGATACCTCGCCAGGTCCATGGCATTCCATTTATCATTGCTCATCGCCCTGCGAGGTATATTAGCAAATACGGTAAGGTCATATTCCTAGTGACTAACTTGGATATGAATGTTTCAATGTCACACCGTTTCTGCACCCCAAGATATTGCAATGCCTGGTCTGTGCCGTAATCCAAGAGGTCCTGTCTAACGATAGGAAGGTCGCGAAAGACGTCGGCTTCAGAGAAGTACGCTTCCTTGGGTCGCTTCATGTAAGGTACGTTCGAGATGGTCGTAGGTATGCAATTCATATCCTCTAAAATCTCCCGAACTTCGGAACGACTATTTTCATCTAGTGAAGGCCAAAGGTTACCGAGGACGCCGAGGACGTGTTGCGCAAAACTGGGCGTATGGCTGATATCATGCGCTCGATCTGGCGGACTGTTCTTGAGGTGTCGAAGCCAGTGTATGATCGACATTTCTTTCCATCCAAAAACCTCCGGAATCCAGAATGTCATTTGGATAAGTGCTGGGGGTATGGTGTCGTCTGGCAAAGGGTCATCCGGACGGCGAATATTCAGCATTCGTCCATCGATAAATTTGCTGATGGAGCTGAGTCTGACTTCCTTCCCCCCGGAATGTGTTTTGCCTACTTTGAGCAGTTCGTCCCGACACCTTTTCTGCTGTTCATCCAAAGGACTCCGGCTTCCAAGTGAAGTGCTCCACCAACGCAAGCAAGCGGTCATCTCCGACTCACTCAGCCACCGCGAATCCAGTTCTTTCACGACATCTCTGAACGTGTACGGCCCAATCTGGAGATGCTTGGGAAGCGTCATCGATGTTAATATGGGACGTAGTTCCGTTGGGAATACTGGGGTGCGCATGAAGTGAGCGAATTGATGATTGTACAAACGGATGTCCTTCGTGTACCGAATCCCTTGATCAGATATGAACGGGAATTTATCTGACTCCGAACAAGCGTAGAATGCATCCTTGATAATCTGGGATACCTTCGGATCGGGGGTGGAAGGATGGAAGACGAAGGACTTCATCGCATACAGGGCTAGTTCTAGTTGTTCCGCATTTTGTTTCGACGGCGTCGACCACGCGTCCTTTACTTTGTTCATCTCGGAATCATAAGCAATCCTCGCCAAAAAGCCTCCAACGTAAAGGAGCTCTTCATTCCATTCTGCACGGCATAGCATCAATGGACAGATTGCAGTCTAGTGACAATCCATCACTTACTGGAGACGTGACCATTGCTGCAAGGTAAATCATCAGATATATCCTCACATAGGGTCGCGCGATGCTCACGCAAGATCAATAGAGCCTCTTTCCACAGTTGAAATAAAACGGCCAGACATGTGGCAAGCCATGCCTGTCGTTTGAGCCGTACTTTGCCCCTGTCATGCACATGAGATAACATGAAATAACCCAACACTATGAAGTACAGACGATGAAGATTCGAGGAGGGTGTGGTCTGTCAGAGGAACGTTAGAATAAAAACCACTTCGAAAGAACGCCTTAACATACGCTTCCAACTGGGGACAAAATCCTTGGGGACCACGGAAGACGCTTCCAAACCCTGCTTCTTCTTGCGACTGCTTATCGTGCTCGTCCTTACTGAACTGTGGATAATGGATATAGGACCACGTCGAAATTTATAAGGCATTCGCTTACGAAAACCATTTCAAATGGGAAATCTTTGGGAAGCTTTTTCTTCGTTGCGGATTCCAAACCCTTCTCCAGATTCGGTTTCGCTGAAACAGTAACTTTTGCAGAGTAAATGGAACATTTCGCTGAGAATTGGACGCTAGATTCGGAACTGGAGGTTTCAGAAGCAGCTGCTGCTATTTTTGGAGCTGCGGTTATTCCATTCGATTTCGGTGTTTTCTCCATTGAGAAGAAATTCTTGAATTTTGCTGGATTTCCACCTTCTTCCGGTTCCGCACGTGCAGCGAGAGTTTTTGGACCTCCGATGAGCGTATCTCCAAAGAATATAACATTGACCTCCTGGGCTGCCAAGAATATTAGAACCTTTGTAGACTGATAAAGGCGCAAGAAATACTGACACATCAGTTCAACAGAATCAATGGTCATGGTTCCATCCCGGCTTTTTCTGTTCATATGCTGCGAAATGGCTATTGACTGACTGGCCTTTTTCCGAGTTTTTGTCAAATGAGACAACTTAGTGTCGTCCAGAAAGATCTCAACATGTTCAACGCGGGTCAGGAATGTCACGGAGGTTACTAGAAATCGCGTGAGTTCAAAGATCCGTGGGATAGTCGACTCCTGCTTCAACTCCATCTCAATCACAGTCCACTTGTCGCAGTCACATTCTTCTTTCTTCACAAAGAGCTATATGCACATCAGAATCAATGAAATGAGACGGGATTCTAAGCAACAACGTGCCTGGTCTTTGTCATAATAGATGGATCTCATCTCTCCTACAACATCCAATGAGCGACACATAGGCTTCATTGGAGGATCGTGTACCTTTCGATCTGACAATGGGCTTGTCTGTGACGCTGAACACACTAAAGAAACCTGTAACGGGAAATTGCCCTTAGGTCTCAGGATCAACGAAGAATGCATGGATCGTACCGACTCCAAATGCACCAATCTTGCGTTCATCCGGGTTGCCTTCGGCTAGGTAAAAGGTTCAGCATCCAGCAAGCTGTTAAGAATCGTTACATACCAATTTTCGTTAGACGCTTCCAGTCAGCGGGTTCAAACTGGACACCGTCATTCTTGACAACCCATTTGAAGACCTTCAAGTTGTTGGACGAAAACGTCAGTGCTCCGTAGCCAGTAATTTGCCCGATAGCGCACCTTAGCTGAATTGAGACCTGGTGTCGTCCCATTACTTGCACGTCCACGTGGACTCTCAAATACAATATTGAAGTTTTTGGCCCCAGCATCGTCTGCATTTTGCAACAGTTCTCGGAACACTTCATGGCAATCAGTCGTTCTTTCTGACCTGACATAGTTCCAAACGTACCTGTGAACTCCTCTGGGTAACGGGCGAGGACTTTGTCGACAAGGTCCCGCTGGTTGACTTCCACTGCCGTGACCTTCAAATCGAAAGGTGAGCCCCGAAAGAGTACAATTCTTGGGCGCTAATAGAACTAGCTCACCTCGGGCTCACACATTACAGGACAGACTCGAGATGTCCGTCAAAATGTGATAGTAGTCAGTATGTGAGGGTATGAGACTCTAAAGCGACAGGATAAATGTAACGTTGGGTGGACCGTAACAGCAGCTGGCCTCACGCTCAACACGCGTGGCTATGCCACACAAAGGGACCCACAACTTAATATGATCTACGAGCGCTTATTCTTGTATTATTCTTGTATTATATTAAATTGCTGTGCGTTACGGCCCATGACAGGCAATGTCGCAGGATATGAGATGCATGGTAATGTGTTAGCCGGCGAGCGCAACTATTTTGAAGCTCACCGAATCCTGGATTGTTAAGAATAAGTACAGGCTTGCTCTTGGAAGTTCTTCAACCACTCAGTGATTATGCATCATCTGCCAGCCATCACAAAATTTGCAGAACTGAGATATTACCTGATTTAGACTGTTGTGTGCCACAACAATTGACACGTCACTGTCAGACCATCTCGGCAACAGCCGGACGTGATAGAAAACATCTCGCAATGACATATCACCTATCTGCGTGCTGTCAAAATAGGATTACTATGTAGTACATTGTATCTACATGATATATACAAGGTATTGCCCAGATTGACCGGCAAAATTAAGTGAGTGCAAACAAAAGCTAAGTTAAAGTGCGCCATAGCCCTCCTCTGCGAGCACGTCGTCGTCAAGTTCCTCACCCTCATCGGCCAAAACTCTATCGTCGTCGTCATCCTGACCTATATCAGCCTCATCGTCAGTGCCGTCTTCCTCATCAACGCCGTCTTCCTCGTCAGCCCCATCTTCCTCGTCAGCATCCTCTTCCTCGTCAGCACCCTCTTCGTCCTGCTCCTCCAAGTCTTCCAAATCCGACTCATCCCCTTGCATCTCAGAGTCTTCCTGTGGACTTGATTCAGTGTTGCATCCCCCACCTTGGAGGAATTCGTCCCAGTCCCGCATGGCCTTGTGACCAATCCCGCCCCCACGAAACCTCATGAATATGTCGTGATCAACGAACCTGTAGGTACTACAATGAGAAATATAATAAGAAAAAAAATAAGCACATACATGTTTACATAGTAATAGCGCCAGTCCGTATCAAGTTCTTCCTCTTTTCGGACAAAGGACGGTCCAAGCAGTGTGTCAGTGCGACTGTAGGCAAATGCAGGGATAATGTGTACCCCGTGGATGACGGACTCGGGGTCCAGGAATCCAAATGCTTCCTCAAGACTGTCTTGGTCAAAGAATTCCAAGCGCTGTAGGCGTTTAGCAGTAAAGCCGGCGGGTGATCCATCACGTCGGAACCAACGAACAAATAAGACATCCATGCGTCTAGGTCGTGAATAGTGTGACTCCTCGTTCTCGCGATACTCTACATTGACGTGAAATATCCTGATAACGCGGGCATACCAGTAAGGATGCGTGCGCTCATCCTCTTGGGCAAGTACCATAACATCAGCACGAGTTCGCGGATTGATAGTGTCTTGTTCGCGTCGTAGATCATATGTCGTGTAGTTGATATGCAATGTGCTATGCTGGAATAGCTTGTTCTCACCAATGAGGACAGAGTCGCGGTCTTCATCGGAAAAGTTGTATTCATCACCATTATATTCAAGCTCACAGAGGCGGGCAAGCAAGTGGTCTTTCAGGCGAGGGATGAAGTTCTGAAAAAAATGCAATGAAACTTGAGTGAAACGTATACACGGAAAGACATACCTTAACCGCTGGATCATCGGCCAAATCTACTAACCAAGCCGTGAGATCGAAGCTTTCACGAGAATACTTGGCGATGTAGTAATGATCTATGGGGGAAGTGCGGAGATGCTTTGGTCTGGGATTGGCCTTCTGCGCGACAATGGTTTCATGTGCGGCAATGACTTTCTTCACCAAGCGTTCAATTGCATCCTGAGAGGTCATACTGCGTGTCGTTTGATCCTTTTTCTTGGGTGTTCGTGGATACCGGCGCTTTTACAGGCAGTGTTCAAGCTCTCCCTGGGGGCACATTAGAAGACGATAGTAAATGAACTAAACTAGTACATACCAACTGCGAGTTAAAGCTATCAGTTGTACCTCTTTCTCGGATGGTGTTAGGGTAGTCGGCGAGCGCATGGTATTTGTAGGTGTTCAAATTCAATCTCTTTACCTTTGGACCAGAGACAGTATGCGATGCTCCTGGTTGTTTTGAGGCGAGTGCAGCCTGTCGACGTCCACGGGCAGCATGCTCGTGCGGAAGTTCCGTTGTGTGATAATGTTTGCACACAGTGCGCTGAAATTTGCGAACGGACTGACCCAGAGCAACAGTTGCTGAATCGAAAAATGCGAGGGTGTCGTCAGTATGCAGGCAGAGTTTGGCATATGCGTGCCACGCTGCAAGGTCGAAGAGAAGGTCCAATATAATCTTGTTATGGATAGCCTTTTCCTTGTCCTTTGATTCCTCGTCGATGAGGATTCCTTCAAAGACAGGAAGAGCACACTAGTTTACAATAGAATTAAATGAATGAATAAACGAGGCGAGTGTAAGTTCACCTGCAGGAGATCTTCAAAGTCTCGGGCTGCGAGACGTTTCATTGCTGATGCGTTGTTGTGGAACTGACGGATGGTTCCCCGTCCAAAGGTAGGTACTCTTCGATATCTGTAAAAAGCCGCATGAGCATAAGTATGACCGCAATTCCTAAGTACATACCTCCAGTTCAGCTCCTGAACTGCAGCACCACCTGCCGCAAAAAGGACACGCATAAGATGAATAAATATAGCCTTCCAAACCCCAAGTTCGAACTCATGCAGTAGGTCGACTATGAATAAGACAAAGAAATTGAAGAAGTATTCTGCGAGGCGCTCAGAGAAGGCATTCTACTAACAAATCAACCTTAAAAACCAATATCTTGTGAGGAATGACTTACCCGAGTAGGGACCAGCGACTCTTCATTCAAGATATTCTGGACGCGCTGACTATTGATACTAGCTCCCTGCTTGAATATCATTGCTCGTGCTTGTTCGACACGACGGCGTCGTCGTTCGTTGTCAGTCCGCTGAGTCCTCTCACGACGTTTCATATCGAGTTTGGTGCCCATCATAGGGATATCGGATTTCTTGATGAGGCATCGTGGACATGGGCATTCACCAAGGAATTTTATACAGGCAAGTAAGATCCTGATAGTAGAACTCAATTAGATACTGCAATCTGATGAAGGTCAATCACGAAACCTACTTTTCAGGGTAATCCGCGGAGTAACTGAAGAATCTGGGAAATACGTGCCATGTGATCCCATCTCCGCAGCGAATGACAATACCATATTTGTAGGCATGCATGAACTTCTCGTCGAGGAGAAGTGCCCAGATGGCCTGCATAAGCTCGTGCTTACAATGCGTATAGACGTCAGTTGAGGATGCATCGGCGAAAATATTGAAATAGGTGTCTTGAAAGTCACTGGGGATCTGTTAAGATAAGTATCCGATGACATGTTATAAGACAGGACTTACAGATGGGATGTACGCCACATGGTGACATGCAGATGCCGTCGGTTTCCCTCTCGTGTATTTAGACTGATTGCCGAATAACAAGTAAAATGGCCAAAGTGAAGCGTCACCGAAGTTCGTAAGATGTGTCGCGTCCGACCACATCATGAGGGAGGCAACAACGCGTTCAAGGTCGTCATCAGGTTCCCTAGGAAGAGAGTTGACCTCCTCATAAGCTTCTGAGAAAGCAGGGGACGAGTATGCCTCAGAATAGACATTGACGGTGCGTTCCTCTGACACCTTCCACCTCTGTTGGAAGGGTGTCATGTGAAAGGTGGAGGCGACACTATCCTGGAAGACCGACGTAATGACATCAGTGAGTGAGCGGTGGTAGACACCAGGTATCTCAAGCACAGGTGCTTCATCCTCTGATGCCCACTTCATTTTCTCCTTTGGCAGGCGGATTTGGACTGTAGACTCACGCCAGCCATTTTCAGCGCGGAAGGGGTTAGAGGAATCCTTGAGATAGACACTGATAAGCCGCTTCTCACGTACGTCGTCATAAATCCGCGCGTCCTCTCTCTTGTACTCATCGTCGTCGAGGAAATTCCTTGTGAGGCGTTTCATCTCTGCATTCGACTTGGAATTAACCCCAGAGTACTGCCAGCACATGAGGAGCCCCGCTGTCGGGCTACTGAAAGCAGAGAAAAGGTTGTCGGGCCCAATCTCTGGAGAAGGAAGTCCAGTCGCAATCTGAGAACTCCCGACACTAGGATCACGATCCAGGGTAGGAGCATCGACGGCTGCATCAAGACCTGCATCACCCTTTGGTATCATGGTAGGACGTGCAGAGTAGATACGGAAAAGTCCCATCGCATCAGGGGCTGTTTGGTATGGGACGAGGGGGGGCTGGTGAGGGATGTCTTTGGAGGCAGGACTATCTGGTGCCTGTGGTTGCTCAGGCTGGACCTCGACGATAGGTCGTCTGCGCTCCTGACGATTCGTCGGGGGCATGTGAGCGAGGTGAGTTGACGAGCCTGGGATATAGTCAATATACCGTGCAGGCATCCGTATTCGCCGCCCAGAACGGGCAGAGACAACAGCAGGTGCGTCTGGGGTAGGCACTGGAGGTTCTGGTTCTGGAATATATCCCGAGGGTCCAGCGACATCACCGTACTATACAATTATTGTATCAGTATAATACAAATCAAGTACATTTAAAAAAAATTACCTCAGTATTGACATGGTCGTCACCCAGGTCCATCTGCACATCAGCTTCGGGAGAGGTGTTCCTTTGCCTGCGTTCCGGAGACCTGGTCTCATCTCGAGCTCTCGTCTTCCTACGCTTCTTACGCCCCTTCTCGAGGCGACACTGACTCTTGTAGACGTCAGCATCTAGAAGTTTGTCGGCTTCGCACCGGGCCTCATGACCACTCAAGCGCTTTTGGGACGGGAAAACCTTCCTGCATCCTAGACAGACGAGGTCATCCATATAGATAGGTACATAGAGAACGTGGAGGGGGATATACATACCTGGGCATTTCTGGAGGCATTTATAGTCGCCATAGATTCACTTGAATGCGACAGTTCTAGTCCCTGTGCAAGATAAGAGTCATGAGGTGATTCACCACAGGTAAGTATTGGAAGCGGCTTCGATGCTAAAGGTGGAGATAGACCTTCGGTCTCTGAATCACAAGTCACACTGCAACATCGTTCATTTAGAAATTGACATTCAATATTGTAGAGAATACAGTGAAATATAATGAGTACCGGGAGGCAAAGGTCCGGACGCACATGCATATGATATCAAAAGAAACAGTGATTACATTAACAAAAATCCACGCAACATAGGTAGACGAAATGACTCACATATCTCGCGGGTGTAAGCGGGTGAGAATGGCCTAAAAGAGATGCAGAGTTGACCGGTTCAGATTTAGGTTGATTAATGGACGGCAAGGCGTAAGATGTATAAGTAGTAGAGGAAGAGTGTTGTGGTACTGGAGGTGAGAATGCAGATTGCATAGCTTGGCGAGTGTATGCAGGCTGAGCTTGGTATTGATATGATGTAGTAGTTGTCGGAGGAGCGGCCGCGGCAGGTTGAGGGGCTTGTGATAGAGATCTCAGCTGGGTCAGGATTTGACGGAGCTCATCTTGAGAAATATGTACCAAAAGTCGGCGGGCGTATAGTCAATATCTCTGGTGGTTTATTAGGGTTAGTGAGGGCGGACAGCAACTTGGACATTGGAAGAACGTACCAAAAGTCGGCGGGCGTATAGTCAATGTCTCTGGTAGTTTGTTGGTTCGAAATCTTGGTTCCAAACATCACGTGACTTTTCGAAGTCAGCCGGCAAATACCGGTGATGCAAAAAGACGCGACTACGCGTTTCTCATATTCATTTCTTATCAATACCACTAATCTTTTTCATAATCATATACTACTATGTCAACCGAATCCATCCTCGTTAATGGGACCGACCAGGTCATTATTCATGACAATGTCATTGTCATGAATATCGAGAATCTCCTAACCGGTTGGCCGACTTACGAGATTAAGTTTACACCCGAGAACCCGGGCCCATTGGTGAGCCATCTCGATCTTTTCATATTACTTACTGACTTTGATTTAGAAACTAATCATCCGGCTCAAGGATCCCGTCAAGATGGTCCATATTGAGGAATCTACCGATAGCGAGGCGGAGTTATTGATACCAGGCAGTCGCAAAAGGAAAAGGTGTGTCTTTTGGTTCCGATCTTCTCACAAATATATTGCTAACTCAATGTACAGGACCGATCGCGAGAGCAAGAAAATCAAAATGTGAGTTGGTCTTGCGCATCACATTCACTAACATTAAACTTTCTAGGTTCTCGGCCGATACCGTCAAGATCACAGAAGATCTCAGACGCCTCAAGATCACGTCCCAGAGTTCCGGGTGAGTTTTTCTTATATTTACTGGCTCATCACGCTGACAAATTTTGATTTACAGAAATAACTCCGTCAAAGCGAAGCCAGTGCGCTTGTTGGGAGCCCGCCCAAATCCTCAACCGCGCAAACTCAAATTCAACAGCAGTACTACTTGGCCACCCCACCGCCCTCACCATTTCAGGGACGTGCAAGATAAGGATTCCGTTGACGGTCTTATCCTGCAAGCCGTGCCTGCTCCGGTTAAAGCTGACTTAACTTAGGTTATTTTTTTTGCTGTGCGTTTTTGCTATTGCATTTGTTATTTTGCAGTCTGTATACGATAAGTACGTACTTTGTAATTGTACAATTAAATGTATTTTTTTGTTGCGCCTCAATATGATGATAACATGTCAACAGAACCAAATAAAACACGTACGATAACGCGTGAATGCCCTATGCAACTTTGTAACTCTAACCACTATGGCGCGTCGCAAGCGATCCCCCAGTTTTTCTCAATCTGAAAATTCTGATTCCTCAAGTGATTTGGACGATTCACGACGCTCTCCAAGTCCAACCCACAAGAATGCGAAAAAACGCGGTCGATCACGCAAATCTGTTCAAAGTAGAGATGCAACACCAAAGTAAGTTATATTTTGTATTCCATTGACGCTTACATTACTTCTCATCTTACAGAAAGGTGAATATATCCAAGGACACGGATGAAGATTTAGACGACGAGTATTTTGCTGCTGCGCGTGCTATGACGCGCTGCTATGACTTATTTTGCAAGGTCGAGAAGCTCATCAAGATCGGGTGCCTTTTGCAGCAAGACGAGGCTGCCGATAAGGGAGATCTCGAGGAAGATGAGGCCGACAAGGTGTCTCGCAAAAAGAGACTTGAGGGCCTGTAAGTTTTGTTCATTGCTAGGTTGTATATCGTTGATTTATTGTTTTAGCTCAACTTATGTACGTGATCGTTATAAACGGAATTATCATCAACTTCTTCAACTCGCTCCCGGCTTACGAGCGCTCATCAACAACAAGAACAAGTCAAAGCAACTTGCTAGGATCGCACGAAAGGTTAGCATATACTGCATATATGCGCACTTATGATTTACTGACGCATCATGGAGATGAATGGCATTATTAGTGCAACACGGTCTGACGATTCAACTCGTCTCAAGTCACAAATCGGCCACTATGCGGCTCCCTTACCGGCAAAGGAACCTCTAAGCCCACCTGTCAATAATGGCACCTCGTCTAGGTCACACTTGGGTGTTAATCACCCTGTGTTGGCTTCGTTTCTTTGTCCTATAACAGCGATCAAAGATTCTCTGGGAGGGAACTCCACCGGGGGAAAGCTACGACGGCGATTCCATGACTGATGGACTTTTCAAAGGGTATTTTCTCGTCCGCGTAAGTTTTCAACTGTTTACTTAACGTGTCAATATCATACACTCATTGTATATATCAGATCATGCGTCATATATTCACAGGACCGTCTACTGCCTTAGGTGAAGACTCACGTGCAACGCGTTCCTGCAACGCTTCATTGCACGACATGACCACGGTCCAACCAGAACACATTGCATATGCTTGTGTTCAGGTAAGTGTTTTCGTATACTTGACGATTTTATCTTACAATTGTTACTATTGAGGCTCGCTTCGGGATTAGCAGCAGGAATAAGTGGGCCGAAGTCGACGGCAAATTCAGCTATCGAGAGTTCTACCAGAACATTATCGACTTTCTCCGAGAATGCGAAGATAAGGATTGGGTAGACGGTCTCTTAAAATGGTGGAATAGGTACGTGATTTTTACTTTCGTGACTATGATGCTGAGCATTTCTGGAAGGAAACTATTCAAAACTGAACATGGACGGGAAGGTGCAGTTGACGGAGTCTCCGCTAATGATTCTAGCAGGGGCTCCACTGCACCAATGGACAGCCTCGCCAAGATGCGGGCACAGATGTCCGCTCGTGCTAGTGCCGCCAAGAGCTTGGGGGGAGATCGTGTTTGTAATCCTCCCAGTTCTCCCACCCCTCGTACTGGTTCTCGTGATCGTTCTTATTCTCCTCTTGGCCATTCTCATCATCCTCGTGTTCGTTCCCCTTCACCTCAGATCCATTCGCCTGTGCCTCGTGGACGGTCTCCTACTCCTGCGCATGACAGGCACTCTCCTGCTTCCCATGGACGTTCTTTTTCTCCTTGCAAGCATGTCCGTCCTCGTCCGATTCCGCCTAAACGGGCTGCTCCGATGGTACCTGACACCACTCGTTCCCCCACCCCACCCCGTCGTCCTCGTTCTCCCACCCCACCTCGTCGCCCTCGTTCTCCCACCCCACCCCGTCGTACATCCCCACGGAAGAACGGCACTCCACCCCATCATGCTCGTTCTCCCACCCCAACCCGTCATACATCCCTGCGCAAGAAAGGTCCTACTGTTCCCTCTTCACCTGGATTAAGTGAGTTAACGCAGGAGGATGAAGATGAAGAACTCGAAGTCAGTACCAGTAAGAAAGGGAAGTCGGCTGGGAAGAAAGCCAAGGTCGCAGCCAAGGCTGTGGGGAAAAGGAAGCGTGCCGTGGAATCAGCAGGCCATACTGTAAGAATGATACATTAAATACCTACAATTGTAGATGAAATGTGATACAATAATTACTGAAGTCCATAGATACCTATCATTGTAGGGCTGATATATCAATGGAGGATCCTGTCAGGACACTCCCATAATAATCTCACACCCCTAATTTTCGCATTTTTGACCACCTACTGTGGGAATTTCCCCACAACACTTAAAAATAGATTGCTTCTCCACATTTTCGCATTTTTAGCCACCCCACTACACCTAAAACATCACCCATTTTGGGAATCTCCACAATATCAATTATTCCCACACCCTCCCCACCTCACTGCAGCTTCACCACCACACCACAATAGGTCCCCTCTTGTATCTAAGTAGTAGTTTGGTATATATATGTACAATATAATGTAATAGACCGCTTTTTTTGCTTATTTGTGTGCCTGCTCCTCCTCTAGAGGCCATTTAACATATGTTAGAGTAAAGAACACTTTCGCACTTTTGCCCCTTTGGTGGGAAAGTGTTCTATTATATTCAAAACATGTTTATGAGCATATATGAGTATATTCCCATCTTTATTTGACCCCCTGAAGCGCCCTACATCAATAGATATAGCACATATGCAAGAAAACACAGAATATGTTCCTATTTAATTATTTCTAGGTGGACAGACTTGGAAAAATGATTCCCAGTATCTATTCAACAATATGAACAATGTATCAGGAGCCCAGGACCATGGGATAATTCCCTGTTGCATGGTGTGCCCCCCCTCTCCTGGTGGTTTACCCCCTGTGAAAATTTTTCCTGCAGGACCGGACCTTAATTGAGGTGAGGGGTCTATTTCTATGTATATTTGGAGTAGATCTATCATATAGCTGGCCCAGAACACACATAGGATCCTGCTACAAGAACAAAAACATAGAAAATCTCACTTTTGACACTTTTGATGTTTTTTAGTATCTTACTCTTGCATAAATAACCATCCCTGCTCACATATTATCAGTAGTACATTCACACATATGTTCTATGCCAAGGATCAGCCCTACATAGGGCGCAAATTTGATATCTGATGTACAGGAGGTATTTCTACTGATAAGGAGCCCATACTTTCAAAACATCGAAATTTAATAATCAGACACTTGGAGTAGATTTAAAGTACATTCACTATCATATACCTAAATTTACAAAACAATCCAACAAGAATTGAGTGCTGAGGAAGTGAATACCTCCTGTACATCAGATATCAAAATTGCGCCCTATGTAGGGCTGATCAGGGAAGAGGATGAGGAGATGATGTCAGGGTCACGAGTGCTGAGGTAGACCCAAAGCAGGAGTATGTTGTAATAGTAGAGGTACCAATCGAAGTATAGGTGATCGAAGAGAACGCATCCCCACTGTGTGTAATTGGCGATGTCGTGCTTATGACGTTTTTTGCAACTCCAGCGAAGCTTAGAATCACACAATAAGGTCAACACATTCGGTCATAGCTCTAATGACTTACGGTGAGTGAAGAGTAGTGTTCACAGGACTTCCGCACGGAGATTGTGGGATATGGGAAGATTGTGCACCTGGCACTGTTGTTGGAGAGCCTCCGGGGAACGTGGTTGGTAACGTGGGAGTTGGTGAATCAGAGGAACTAGTCTGCGAGGATTGCGGAGTAACGTTTTGGGGATTGTCTGAAGTTGACTGTTGGCTGGATGTCTGTTGCCCCGGAGTGGAAAGATTCGTGACCGACATTGTAGATGGAGAAGAGGTTCTCGTGGTCAATGTTTCCGGTATGGATGGTAGAGAAGTTGGTATAGATGAAAGTAGCGAAGTGAGTATGGAGTAGGAGGTGGTATCGAATGGAGGGATGTACATGGTTGGTGGATTAGCTGGACTGACCCTGTTTTCATAGTTACATGGTCGCAAATATTGAGGCCGATAAGGGACACAAAGCCGCGGCCTGAGCCGCCGGCTCAGGCTTTTCAACACCTCAAGCCGGGCCCTGGGCCGTGGTCAGGCCCTGACTTGGGCCCGGCTTGGCTCGGCCTAATCAGGCTCGGCTTTGGCCGGCCCACGGCCTGAAGCCGGGCCGTGCACATCACTATCTGGACCCGATACTGCTGATATGGTAGTCACCGAAAACATAACCATATATTGCCAGGTCTTGGTCCTGCAATTTCTGTGATGTTAGTCAAAGAAAACACTCAAACTTTGGATGCGCTTCGTTGTCTACACCTAAAAAGCGCATCAAATATATATGCACGGTCATCCTCCAAGTGCGCCAGCACGTCATCAGCATTCTCACCATCCTTCAACGCGAGCAATGCTTTGGCCTTTGTAACTTGCCAGCGCCGGAATGACAAAACATTGTATATAGTTCATCCCATCTTCATACGACCCGGGGGCCTTCAGCTTCAACTTCAAGCTTTCGACATCAAAAAGCCCCTGTCAATTTCCATTGCAACCGAACGCACTCATCGTAGTCGGGAGAACTCAACATTGTTTCAGCAAGTGGGAGTTGAGTGGGAAGAGTCAGAGTTTAGGGGCAGAAAATATTGCTCCCCGACTCCTCATACGAGCCTAAGATAGCAGTATCTTGAAAATTCATATGGCATTGGTCACAAACCAGCACAAATAATGCAGATGAATGATTGTAACCTTTACTCTCCACGACAAGCTACAATAGGTATCTATAACCTTTAGCAAGATTCAGCTCGCGCTCTTCCTCACCGGCAGCTTCATTCAATCGCTCAAGATGCCGCCTGAACACCCAGCACAATGAGATGCATGAGATGGCTAGCACGATGCAAATGAGGTATGAGTTTGTATATGTCGGACCCCAGCTGGATGGCCAGATGTATCTGGTGTGATATGAAATGTTATTAATGGTGACATACGGGAGATACTAGAAACGGACTGACGGTGATAAGGTGTTCCCTGATGTTCCAATGCAATTCATGAACCCGATCGCAACTGCTCGCTTAGAGCTAGAACGAGCGAATGTATTACTGATCCACGTTAGCAGGATGACGTTCGAGACCTGTGCTTGGGCCATGAAAAAACTGGTTTAAATAATAAGAAACGCAGAGATGAATGATGCACGAAATACAACTGACAGTGAGATGTAGCGAACGGTAAAATTCATCGTGGACATAGCCAGAACATATCCAGTAATCAACATCAATAACGCAAAGGTCATATGCCCAAAGCGTTCACGCGTCGCGTCAGAGTGACTTGAAAAACATAAGTCTTCACTGAAGGGTAAGTTGAAATTTCAATAGGGCCTACCGTGCGACAGTGACTGCGGTGATTGTGCTCATGATCCATGGCGGTGTGCACAGCAGAAGACTGACAGTAGGCGAGTACCCCATTGTGGCCGCCAAGGTCGGGAAGAACATATTAAAGGACAGAGATGCATTGCAGCAACACAATGCCGTGCCAATTAACCACGCTCTCCAATCTGTCATTAGTGACAGGACAACAGCAAAGCCGCCGGATGATGTAGGATCAGCGGTACCATGGCCGTCTGAATCCTCCTCCATCCGCTTTTGAGCAAGATTATGCTCTGCAGGGGTGAGCCAACTCGCAGGGCTCGAAGGAAAGTCAGGAAGTATGAACATCCCACCGATGCCGACTAAAATTGTTAAATAGCCCTCTATGAAAAACAGCCACCTGAACTTGAAAGTAGTCAAAATCCATGCCAAGCATCTTCCAAGAAAGATGCCTGTTCCGCACCTCCAGGCCGCATAACCGAGAACCCCCTCCATGGTTGCCAGAATTCCAGAGGCTAGCAACGAACCGAAAGCATTGCTGATTCCAATTCCTGCGGTGAAGAATGCGGTCCTGTACCCAAGCTCTTCTCGCCTATACCTGCGGCTCATTCAGCAAGCCTGTCTGTCACATGAAGTGAAATAGGGAAAATACCATCTTGAGAGCAGATAAACAGCACCAGGATAGAATGTAGCCTCTAAGAATCCCACCAGAAAGCGTGAAGAAAGTGCTTGGTAGTAGCTGCAAAGATATATATCAGCGTTACAATCGTACACTGTTGTACAATATACCAACCTCGTGGATATCCCTTTATTAATATGGTGGGTTGTTTTAAGTTCGCCATCACAAACACATGTAAAACGACAAAACGCACCAACGAGAGTGGTCAGGAGACCCCATAGCGACATGCAGCTGGATAGATACAATGATGGTTTTGTTATGCGAGTGAGAATGAAGTTTCTGCCACCATGGTTCAACCTTCAGAGAGAAGTAGTAAAATATAAAGTTACTCACGATGGTGTTTGCATGAACACATAGCCGATGTATAGACTGCTGATCAACGTATTGAACTGTGTACCCTTCATACCGAGATCCTTCTCGAGACCACGAAGCCTTGCAGCGCTACAGGGAAAAAAAGATATTAGCTAGAGACATAGATATTCCTTGCGGAACGTCTTACGCAGCATTATTTCGATCCATCTGAGAGTTATAGTAGTTATTACAGAGGTGGAGAACGGACGAGACAAGTTACTGATGCCTTACGCACCTGATTTAATATGTAGATAAGAACAAGATACGCTGTTCTGAAATCTAGCTTTCGTAGAAGATTTCGCTCTACGACCTTCCTAGAAATGTACTCCGGGTCGTCATTGTCGTCAAGGGATGTGCCGTAGGCAGACTGTGTAGATTCGTCGACCTCTAAATGCAGCAGCGACCTACTTTCACTGGGAGAGGACATGTATGTTGAAGAGCTCACGGGATCGTGTAGCAATGGCACAGGAACAAGCTCTAGTGATATCTCTGACTTGCCTCCAACTCCGAAAGTTTCATTTTTAGCTAGCATTGCCCATGATAAGCCTGAGTAAGCCGGTTCTGTACACACGGCGCGCGGTGAGAATGACGTGTCCGAGTCGTAGTTTCTCATTAACATTGGCCGTTGTTGACGATGGACTTGGTAAAGGTGGGATGTGCGATCGAAAGTAACATTGAAAAACGAGTCGTATCATCCGGTCGTTCCTGATTCAAAACAAACGTACGTTAAGTAGTGGCCGTAATAATAAATATCGTGGCCTCTATAACTTGGCTAACAATAGCTGCTTTAGCCGGCTATAACCGACAGTACTTAATAATGACTCGGAGTACTGAGTAGCAAAGGATGGGATTTTTGGGGTGCACATACTGCGGGCGAATATTGTCAGGATTGTAGCGAGTCAGACTGCATTCACAGATCCCGATATCTTGCATCCGATGCTTCCATTAGAATTCTTCGTTGTGCAATAGCTTGCGGGTGGTAAGTGAGCTCAATATCCTATGTCATAAACACTAGGCCAGAAACCGAAGAGGCAGGAGAAAAGCGAAGACGAATATCAGCGTTATCTAACGTCTACCTCTTCCCTATTGCTCACACGGGGATGTATGTCAGCGACACCAACTTCACTCCGTTGTTGGTCCTGCAGATGCAGCGCGATTTTTTCTGCAAGGCCATCCTTCTCATTAAAGCTCTCGGGTTCTCCATCCCCATCCTCTTCATCGTCCGCCTCTTCTATGATGGCGCCTTGTTCTCGGAACACGAGGTAGGAGCTCTCAACCACCTGCGAACCACGATTAGGACTGAGTAAGGCGGAGTGGCGACTCTGACCTTGGAGTTCTGTGCAGCACAGATTGCCTTGATAATCTGACCCTCATGCTTAGCGTGGAGTGTACGTCGGAATGAATGAGTCAGGAAAGGAGAAAGGGAACTGAGTGGCCAATCTGGAGGTACGAGGGGAATGACCTGTAAATGTTTTGTATAAGACATCGTAACGACAAGGTAGTGCACATCGAGTTCGTGACTGTAAGAAGGAATGCACTCACGTCAACAGCATCTAGACTCGCAGCCTGTGAGCTCAGTAGTCTTGTGGTTTGCTGGGGCTCCCTGCGAAACAATCATATGTGCCAGGACAAGGGCTCGTGGGGTTTTAAACGTACCCGTCTTCCATGTAAACTTCTAAAAGCATTCTCACCAACTCTCCCTTTCCCTCAGAACTCTTTTCCCTCTCCAAAATCCCAGGACCACCCTTAGCTGCGAACAGTGCGCCCCATTCACCCATTCCGCAAGCTTCGACAGCTTTTGAAGGAACGACAATGCCTCCCGTCCGAGCGTATGTCTCTGCAGAGACGGGATCTCGTAGCGTGAGGGCCAGTGCGCGGAGGGCCATCCTGTGCATTCCCATCTAGAGAGCAACTCAGATAATAGGAAATATTGTGTATCAGAAATACTGACCTTTCCGTCAAGCAATGCCACTTCCAAGCCAAGGACTTTGTCGAAGCCGCTAGCAACAATCTGTGACTTGATCATTTCAGCATTATAACCCGATAAAGCCTGCAGAGCAAACAAGGCTTTGAGCCGTGCGCGTTTCGATGGAGAGTCGGGTGCTGTCGATGCGAAATAGGTAAGGAAGGACGATTGTGGACGTTGAAGCTGCGTAGATGGAAGGGAGAGCACATGTTTTTGTGAAATTTGCGAGGTGTAAGAAGCGACTATTATTTATGCACTGGGTTGAATATTTGAGCGACTAGCGTGAATTTAACGCACATTTGGCACGCCAGAGTTTTAGAGTGCTCTCGTCTTGCAGGCACTCGAGCAGCTCGTCGACACATGCTTGCACGAGCTGTGCATGGAGTTCCGCGTCCTTATCAAAAAGATCCACAGTAAGCTTCCGTGATAAATGCGGGGGCATAATAAAACGCGCAACATACATCTCGCCTTCTCACAATGACTAGCCACTCCAAGAACTTCCTTGCTGCACTGGAATGTAACTGTTGCAACTCGGAAAGAATGGCGAGATCCTCCTCTCGGTCTTTTTCTTTTGCAGACCTCTTGGTCGACATAAGAAGCTACACCGTAACGTGATGAGTTGCGCACATCTACTATCGTCGTATGCTTACCATAAGCCCTCGCTCTGAATCTCGTGCTGTTAGCCATACTCCCCATTTTCGAAGCATTGCCCTGTCTTTTCCCTGTTTTGATTCCAGCAAGGCAAACATATTACTCAGGGGGTCCGACACGGAAGAATCACTATATTGTCCCTCAACCAACCTAAGGTGAACATCAGCATTGTCGGTCTCTGTTAAATAATGAAAGGCAGGGTTAAAGCAGTACCTACCCCTTCCAAATCTCCATCACTCGTCCTTCGTCGCCTCTGGCCCTGAGTAATGCACATAGAGCACCTACTTCTCCGGCTTCGAGGAGTACAGGTTCCACAGCTGAAAGGCTAGCAGAATTCGTGCTTTCAAGGTGAGAAATGAGAGAAGTGGTGTCACCCGATCGTGCGAATAATATAGCGAGGGCTGTATCCGTCACCTGGCAATTCCTTTAGAATCATATAATTCAAACATAAAATCGTATAATAACCTCCTGCTGCTTGTGCTTTCCTTGTCCCTTGAAGCCTTGGAGGACAGACTTGATCATTACTATGGCTTCTTCCCGAAGAATCTTGTAAACCTCCTGGGTAGCAGGCGCCTCACGAGTGGAGGGCGAGAGATGAGGGGAGTAATTCCTGACTAGGTTTGCGGCAACTATCAGTTCCGCCCAGACGGGGGAGAGGGGTGGGTGAGTCGGGTGCCGGGGTGTCGGAAAGAAGTAGCAGCGCACGGTCGGGAAGAGAAGGATGGGAAGGGGAATTTGATAGATTTGAACACTCACTAAGATCATCAACGTTTGCCTCGATGGGCATTCGCTTTGCAATACCGTCGTACATGTCCGCCTCTTCACCATCAGTGAACAATGGCCGCGATAACTCAGGAAAGTAAGATACAAGGATACGGGGATCCAGTCCACCTGCAAGAAAGTGTGGGGCTGCATCCACGAAACGTGTTTGAGAGAACAGAGTGAATGCGATAGCTTGGTGCATGTATTCCAGTGTTTCCACCTTTTGGACCGGTCAATATTCGTCTGACAAGCAGATAGAGTAACAGCACCTCGTCAGAATCTAATGCCTGAGCAGATGCGAAGTTATTTGCGAGGTCGACAGCATCCTTGATGTGGTTGTTTTCAAGCAGTGCTTCAACTTGAGCAATGACAGTCGATTGAACCAGCGAATGAACAGTGTCCTGTCCGTAAACCAAAATGGAAGAACGGGGGAAAGAACTATGGCGCATCCTGACAGACTTGCCAGCGCGTACAAATACTGACGAGCTTTCAGTTCCTCAGTTTCAGAAGGATGCAAAAAAGTTAATAGTCGGGTGCGGTCGATATCCAAGATGAAGCCGTCCTGGCAAGCTTATGGTTAGAATGACTTTGACATATAAATATAAGTGCTGTAGCCGTAATTGATTAGTAAGCACTTTACCTGCGGTGACGAGGGCAAACTTGCTAGCTTACTAGATATCCATAACGCCAAGTACTTCCCGACGCTGCCATGCTTGACGAAGACACAATAAACTGGGACGCGCTACGAGCTCAGAGCCTTCTCCCTGGTGGATTTGGAAAAGAAAGAACACGTGTTTGGTGCGCGGAACTGTTTACTTGTTTCGCTGAACTGCTTAACTTATCATATCCTCACAGGCCAGCCCTGCTCGGAGTCTGCGTTCCGTCAGAACCTCCTCCGTATGCAGAGGTCTCTCCAGAACCTTCTACAAACGATCCGCCCCATCCTGACGAGCGTCAAGTACGTTTGGACACCGACCGGAGCTTTGTGATGTATCCCGTAGGCAATGTATCTCATGGCTACTTTTCTACGAGTGTTCGAACATGTCACAGGCAGACGATAATGAAGATAGTCGCCGAACTGTATTGCAAACTTCTCTCAACAGTTTGATCGTTTCCCTCCTCAGGAAGCGTCGGAAGTTGCACTATTTCCAAGGATACCATGACATTGTCACTGTTGTCTTTCTAACTCTTCCACCAGAACTTCAGCTCCCTTGTATAGAAAAGCTTTCCCTTCATCGATTGAGGGACTCTATGGGACCCACGTTAGAGCCTGTATTGGGACTTCTCCGGATCGCGCGTAATCTTCTGCGTATCATCGACCCTAAATATGCAATGTTGCTTGAGAGGTATCTTAAAGCATTCCACGCCTTGCCACGCCTTGTTTGTTAATGCGTTGTACATTGCTTCGTAGCATTGCGCCCCTACCGTTCCATGCCCTATCAAATCTTCTCACCCTCTTCTCACACGAGGTACCCACCCTACCCCTTATTCAGCATGTCTGGGATTTTCTGCTCTGCCGGGAACCTTTGGCAGTGGTATGGCTAGCCGTCGCTGTAAGTGCTTTTTTTTCACGGCCATTGCTGCGATACCATTCTAGGGCAAATATCGTTGTTTAAGTAATCCCATCATTGACTTATATCGTGCAGGTCATTCTCGTTCGAAAACCTGACGTTCTTCGATTAGCGGCAGAAGAAGAGGATGGCATGATACATTCAGTTTTGAATGCTCTGCCTTCACTCAGTGATGATTCCGAGACAGCGAACGACGTTCCCTTCGATCAACATACTCGATCAGCATCACCAGATGAGGAAGACACAGTCCCCTTCAACACAGAGGAGATGAAGCGGCTTTCAGATACACCCGACGAAAGCACAAGCCACGAGCTTTTCACAGAACAACATCAAATGATCGAAGAGAAACCAGTTCTCTGTTTGGCAGAGAATGGAGTGTCCAAGAATATCACCGATGGTGAAGTTGTACTTGGAGAGACCAATGTGACTGCTGATCCTCAGGAAATTGCGGCCATGATTTCTCCAGAAACACTCGTCGATAATACTGCCGAAATTAATACTGACATCCGGCCCTCACAGCCACAAGTGGTCCCACCCAACCCACCGTTTCTTTCTAGACCGACGTCCCCGACGTCGCTACGTACATCGCGTTCTAGTTCCTGCACTGCATCCCGTTCGTCCTCATCACCACCTCAAAAATCCTGCCGGCCTCCAGTTTCACTTACGTCCCTTCTAACACACGCCGCACAGCTCCTTGAGACTTATCCTCCCACCCTCCCCGAGCTTCGCGTTAATGACATACTTGGGCCTAAGAGCGTTGTGCACACGTGGAGACCTCCTCAAAATAGTTTCTCTACACAATACGACAATGAACGTGATGATGATGTAGAGAGCTGGGTTGGGAGCCCTGATGTTGTTGTCCCATTTATAGAAGATGAAGATATAGAGAGCGAAAATGAGCGAAAGACGAAGTCACGCAAAGGCCCCGTCCCAAGGCACCGGAATCTCGTTCTCCTTCATCGCCTGCGCCTTCGGTTCGGACTACTCACTTCCATGGAGAAACGGATCCTTCTGTTAGGTGCGATAGCGGCAGTTGGTCTTGCCGTTGCCCTTCGCCAGAACAGGGGCATTTCTGAGATGAGGAATGGGTGGATAGCCTGGGTATGGGCATTCAGCGGTGGAATTCGGTCTAGAACTGTGGAATGAACCAGACTATCAGTAAGTACTGGCGTTATCTTGACCCACTTCAAGACTAATCAGTCTTCCTAAGAATATCTGTGCATCGTATATCATATATAATCACTGAATAACTTGACATTTTTATGGAACACTTATTGAGTCTTCAAATCAGAAACGTCTATCACAGGCTGATCGGTTCATGTGCGAGTTTTTATTTTGTATAGATTTACAATTATGAACAACGTTCACCACCGGTGAGGTTTAGGCTACAACGGTTCCGGATCCATTTCAATTGTAGCTTTGTTATTGTGATCACGAAGTCCCCCTCCCACAAAAACTTGATTAATCGCGACCATGGTACACCGAAGCCGTTCCTTCACACGCCTTTGCAATCAAAGATAATCGCTAACAATTTATGCGACAACAAAGATCGGTATCTTATCGGCGGGCAGTCGGGTTGATATCTAGGCCAGCCAGAACGTTGACAATAAGCTATGCCGGCTACCCAGTATAGATAAATCAACCTCGAGTTCAAGAACGAGTATGCAGTTCGTGTTCGATCTGCTGCACTTGCTCTATAAGGTCCGCTGATCCGCGGTACGATATGATCCAATATTAAGAATCGGAAATATCGGGATGATTGCATTATGAATTGCCCGATGCCACGACAGCTGTGTGTCGGCTTTCTGTTGATAGTCCTAAATCCAACAAAAGACACAAAGAGCACAAGGTATGATCGATCCTGTGTAGTTGAAACCCCAGTGAATAAATGATCAGGAAGTGTGTTTATGGAGAACTCGTAAGGCATGATCGTGCAAATGATTGCCGCTACGTGGTTCGTCTTGTAATTAGCATTCATCGATGCATCATTTATATACAGAAATATGATACCAACGTTTATTTTGTCCTCCGAGAACAGGATATGCGAGGTACCTTGAAGTGAATGAACAGGTCAAGCCGACTTCATCTATTTCGTACCTCCGCTAGCGCATTCTATTTGCGTTCTAGATGGGCTGACATGTCCTTGACAGAGCACGAGACAATGTCCTATGATTGATTCCGATGAGAACGCACAAAATAGTTGCACTCCTCACCGGTTACAAAGGAGGGGGATATTACGCGGTCACAATATCAAGGATTCATGTGTTTTCTGATGTCACGTTCAGTAACAAACACGCCAATTGAACTGATGAGCGAGAACCCGACAGAAAACAGCCTTGACCGAAAGTGACCGACAGCGAAATACATCACCCAAAACACTCGCTCTAGCATGAGATAGGTATCATGCGCGTTACGGTGAATGATTGGCAAGTGCATCACACGTTTTTTTTCGATGAGAGAGCTTGCATAGCCTGGCGCCAATCGACGAATACATATCTGGACGTTCAGCTTGTTTAAATGGCGAGCAAAATCATCAACACGTGCTGGGTGAAGACATGGCTTTAAAAGCTCGCATAGCTGCTGAATCGAGAGTAAGAGATGCGCTGATGACAAAAGGAGTATGTAGCGGTTGCCACCTCAGGATTATACAAGTTCTGAAACTCAACAGTAAGCAAAGTGCCCCGTGATCTTGTGCAAGCAGGCGAAACCGGTGCCGTCAAGAGACTCGAGAAGTGAAATGAGACATGATTGCATTGATTGTCTTTTGGTATCAGCACGCAGAACACAAGTTTGATGACAGACTTGAGTGACTTTTGACTCGGTATAATTGAATATGCGACGAACCGACATCGATCCGAAAGGGTTCCCACGCATCCGGGCTTGGCCTCCTCTTAAGTACATCCGTGGGAAGTCGGGGATCTGCAATGGCCAAATAAAAATATTCACTGCACCGGTACTATCATGTGCATATGAGGTATTTTCTCGCTTGCTTGTTCACCACGTGCATGGCAATATTATAACACTCGTTCGCGGAGGGTCAGTGGGGCTAAGTTTACAACCTTGATGAACCAAAGAGGACGATCGGAGCTATTATCATGTTCAGATAGAGGTGAGTCATCGCGTTACTTCTTCTGAGACTGGCCGGTTGAGTCCGCTCCGAGTCTCTCATGCAAGCACGTTTAGGACAAGGAGCCGCATACACGGTATGCCACTACTCATTCTGGTGGCAGTAGCTTCACTACGATGCACATCGCATTGCAGCAGGCTTAATGATTTATCGATCCGACTCATCAACAACCGCAAGATAGTAGTAGTTGGAAAGCTGATCGGAATAAATTAAAGTCGTAAGTGCAATTGATCCATACTTGAAGCTTGGATTCCCGTATTCCACGGGACACTGCTAACTAGAACAAAGAGCACGTACTCGTCCTTAAGCGATTCTTAAGCACAGGTCCATCGATAAACCAATGATCCAACACGGATAATGTTTCGGCGATCGCCAGTTGACATGAATTACGGAATCACTTGGCTTTATCATATGACAGTCACTGTATTCATCTTTCTAGTACTTCGCAATTAAACAAGGTACGCAAACACTTTTTCTGATACCCGTGAACAGGCTGATGGCGTGTCTAAGTAACAACTAGGTTCTTCTTGTGCTCTATCCCTGTGCGTTGTGGCACTGGCGGGGAGACGTACAGACATCGAGTCAACGTGGAGTATAACGCACTCTCGATCGATTCTGGTATTTGCTTGCAGAGTGGCGTCCAATATCCTCGAAGATGAATAATAATGGATAACGTTAAACAGTCCGTACTCGTGGAGACGACAATGAATAAATAGTCTGCAAAGAACGCAAACTTCATTCGAATCTCACACAACACTTCACCCGAAGCACGCCCAACACCTTCAATATGTCCTTCAACTCAAACTTCACTGAGTCGCCTCAGAGCAAGGCAGATCAGCAGCGCCTATACAGAGAGAAGGAGGGAGAGGGATTCGCGGATCTTCAGCTAGCAATTCGTGAAGTGACGGCGGGGAGGGTTGACCCGGCGAAACGCCATGAAACACTGACGGCAGGCATGTCAATCCATTCTGTTGATATTCAATTACCTAACCCACACTCCAGCTGCACAGAAAATTAGAGAGCTCAGTCGTCAGAATGAAGAGTTACGCAGACAACTCAACGGAGTACCTCATTCGTCGTGGGGAGCGCAAGGTGCATTACCTGGCTACTGGACTCACTCAGATGCTAAACAGCGCACAGGTGGTCAGACACACGGGGCATGGCCGTATTTCAACACTAATTAGTTTTCCTAAGAATATCTGTGCATCGTATATCACATGTAATCACTGAACAACTTGACATTTTTATCGAACGCTTAGTATTGAATATTGAATATTGAATACTGAGTTTGTACTGAGTACTGAGTACTTAGTCTTCAAATCAGAAGGGCTATGTGCGAGTCTTTATCTAAGCACGGATAGCCGCCGGCTCGGTGTCAATCGTGTCCACCGCCATCATGCTGTTCTGCTCATTTGCAATTTATTTGCCTCCAAGTTGCTCTTCCATTTTGTTTCACGACACTATCAGCCATACATGGATACCATCCACACCTTCCAGCACGCCGTACAACACTGACTGGCAAGCTCACATCCTGTTACCACTTCTCATTGCTCCTTTTTTGTTCTTTCGTCCCAGTGCTATGATATGGCGACCACCTGTACTTTTCATGAATCGGTCGCTGTCCAAAACGAATCCAGGTATCATGACAATACGACAATACAAACTACTGGAAATCAAACGGCTACATCGTTTTACCCGATGGTGACTCAATGGGAGCATTTGGAGCGATTTAACGCATGCTCGCGCCATGAATCCCATGATTATTGGTTCTGCAGTGACCGATGATGGCACTCCTACTCACACTTCACCTCTATGCAAACGATATTCACTGTCCTCCTGTTACCCACTGTTGTCTCACCTTGCCCATGCTATTTTCACAGGAACCAATAGAAGTTCTCAGTGACGGCAATCGTGCGTTGCTTATTCTCATCGTGGCTGTGAAACAGACATTGACGAAGCTCTCCGCACATACTGGCTAATGGGCTCGCGCTTGCATCGAACATGCTTTCTTCTCTCCACAAATCATATTTTGTGACGAATTCAACGATAAAATTATAAACACTAGCTGGCGACTACCGCGAGTACGAATAACAGTTCTACATTGTCGATTCGTCGAAGTCCAACTGCTCAAGAACCACTGTATTCCACGAATCGCGCTGTATTCTCATCCTTACTGCTCCTGTTGGACAGTGAAACGCAAACAGATTCCTTTGCGGCCACTCTCAAAGGTTGCCAAGGTTTCACTCTCTCGCACGGTTCTCGGTTTCAGAACAGATCCTTTTGTATAGACTTACAATTATGAACAATGTTCACCACCGGTGACCGGTGAGGTTTAGGCTACAACGGTTCCGGATTCATTTCAATTGTAGCTTTGTGATTGTGATCACGAAGTCCCCCTCCCACAAAAACTGGATCAGTCGCGACCATGGTACACCGAAGCCGTTCCTTCACACGCCTTTGCAATCAAAGATAATCGCTAACAATTTATGCGACAACAAAGATCGGTATCTTATCGGCGGGCAGTCGGGTTGATATCTAGGCCAGCCAGAACGTTGACAATAAGCTATGCCGGCTACCCAGTATAGATAAATCAACCTCGAGTTCAAGAACGAGCATGCATTTCATGCTCGATCTCCTACACTGCTTGCTCTATAAGGTCCACTGATCCGTGATACGATATGATCGGGTCAGTGTTTGTAACTAAGGTTTTCAATATTAAGAATCGGAAATATTTTTGCAACTTCCGGGACGATTGCATTATGAATCATGACAGCTGTGCGTCGGCTTTCTGTTGATATGCGAACCCTAAATCCAACTAAAGATACAAAGAGCACAACGGTACGATCAATCCTACGTAGTTGAAACCCCAGTGAATAAATGATCAGGAAGTGTGTTTATAAACAACTATGGAGAACGTCATGCAAGTGATTGCCGCCACGCGGCTCGTAATCAGCATTCATCGATGCATCATTTATGTACAGAAATACGATACCAACGTTTATGTTGTCCTCCGAGAATGGGATATGCAAGGTGGAGAGCAGTTGGATTGTGATTAAGACGCTTGCATGTAGGGGCGTAAGCCGGGCAACTTGAGACTGTGTCGAGTATCTCTCTTGAAGGTGTACCTTGTATAATCCGAACTTCGACCTTGAAATAGTGCAAGATTGGAAATTAGTCCCTTCTGACCAGACATGTTGTGTATGAGTGAAGCATTCATTGGCTGCCAGCGGTGCTCGACCTGAAATACTAGGAGAGGCCTTGCAGACTCGTATCAAAAAGACGAGCTTACTGAGGAGAAAGAATCCAAGGATGAAGAGGCATTTTCGATCACCCCTGCGCTGTTACATCCGGCAGTGAGCTCAACTAGCGCTAGAAGACAACGCATAAAATGGTTGTAATAAGTATACTAGCACTCTCACCGGCTACAGTATCAAATTCTCCGACATCACGTTCAGTAACAAACATGCCAATTTAACTCGTGAGCGAGAACCTGACAGAAAACAGCCTTGACCGAGAGTGACCGACAGCTCAAGAACAGAAAATACGCGAGATAAACATCACCCAAAACACTCGCTCCAGCGTGAGATAGGTATAGTGCGCGTTGCGGGGAATGATTGGCGCAAGTGCATCACTCGTTTTTTTAATGAGAGAGCTTCTTGTATAGCCTAGCGCCAATCGACGAATACATATCGGGACGTCAGTGTGTTTCAGCTTCAAGATTTAAACGGCGAGCAAGATCATCAACACGTGCTGGGTGAGGACATGGCTTTAGAAGCTCGCATAGCTGCTGAATCGAGAGTAAGAGATGCGCTGATGACAGGAGGAATATGTAGAACACCGTGCTCAACAGCTGCCACCTCAGGATCATACAAGTTCTGAAACGCAAAGCACTCGGTGATCTTGTGCAAGCAGGTGAGACAGGTGCCGTCCAGGGACTCGAGAAGTGGAATGAAACATGATTGCATTGACACTAGGTTCCTTCTTTCGCGCATCTAGTATCAACACGCAGAACGCAAGTTTCATGACAGACTTTGCTCAGTATAACAAACTAACATCTGCAGTAGGGTTCCCACGCATCAGGGCCATTCGTGGGAAGTCGGGAATGTCGTGAAGCTGCATTGGCCAATTTCCAAATAGCATTCAATTCAATTCACACAGCGCCAGTGAAATTACATTCGACAGTACTTGCTCTGGAATGGTCTAGCCAGGTCCAGGTCTGCTTTTGATTGAAATCTTGCAAGACGTAAAACGTTGAAACCTCCGATGTGTTCACTGCACCGGTACCGGTACCACGCACATCTCACGATGACGAGGTAGTTCTTCAAGATATCTTATCAAGTGCATTTTTATCTTTTTCTCGCTTGCTTGTTCCCCACGTTCACGGTCACTGGTTCGCGAAAAGAACAGAAGGGAATAGTGGGGCTAAGTTTACAACCTTGATGAACCAAAGAGGACGATCGGAGCTATTATCCAGATAGGTGAGTCATCGCGTTACTTCTGAGATCAGTATTTACTGACCGGTTGAGTCTGCTCCGAGTTTCTCGTGCAAGCACGTTTAGGACAAGGAACCTCGCTATGTTGTAACAATGTATGGAATGCTGCCCTGATCACATACACGGTATGCCGCTGTTCGTTGCAGAAATACTGGTTCACAATAGCTTCACTACGATGCACATCACACTGCAGCAGGATGATTTTTCGATCCGACTCATCAACAATCGCAAGATAGTGTATGATAGTAGTAGTTGGAAAGCTGATCGGAATAAATTAAAGCCGTAAGTGCAATTGATCCATACTTGAAGCTTGGATTCCCGTATTCCACGGGACACTGCTAACTAGAACAAAGAGCACGTACTCGTCCTTAAGCGATTCTTAAGCACAGGTCATCGATAAACCAATGATCCAACACGGATAATGTTTCGGCGATCGCCAGTTGACATGAATTACGGAATCACTTGGCTTTATCATATGACAGTCACTGTATTCATCTTTCTAGTACTTCGCAATTAAACAAGGTACGCAAACACTTTTTCTGATACCCGTGAACAGGCTGATGGCGTGTCTAAGTAACAACTAGGTTCTTCTTGTGATCCCTGTGCGTTGTGGCACTGGCGGGGAGACGTACAGACATCGATTCAACGTGGAGTATAACACTTTCTCGATCGATTCGGATACTTGCTTGCAGAGTGACGTGCAATATCCTCGAAGATGAACAATGATGGACAACGTTAAACAGCCCGCACTCGTGGAGACGACAATGAATAAATAGTCTGCAAAGAACCCGCTCAAATCACACCCAAACTTCATTCGAATCACACAACACTTCACTCGGAGCACGCCCAACACCTTCAATATGTCCTTCAACTCAAACTTCATTGAGTCGCCTCAGAGCAAGGCAGATCAGCAGCGCCTATACAGAGAGAAGGAGGGAGAGGGATTCGCGGATCTTCAGCTAGCAATTCGTGAAGTGACGGCGGGGAGGGTTGACCCGGCGAAACGCCATGAAACACTGAAGGCAGGCATGTCAATCCACTCTGTTAATATTCGATTACCTAACCCACACTCCAGCTGCACAGAAAATTAGAGAGCTCAGTCGTCAGAATGAAGAGTTACGCAGACAACTCAACGGAGTACCTCATTCGTCGTGGGGAGCGCAAGGTGCATTACCTGGCTACTGGACTCACTCAGATGCTAAACAGCACACAGGTGGTCAGACACACGGGGCATGGTCGGGGGGAACTACCGCTATCCCCTATGTTCCTGAGTCTAGTTTCGGTGCTCCGGGGAATAACTTCAGCTCCGCGCAGTATCCCGATCAATATTATTCTGGCAATGCTGCACTGCCGGATACGAACTACTTGCGAGGGTACCCCGGACAAGGCAGGGGCATTTAAATGACATCAATGCCACGTGGCGGGAGCAGGATAGGATAACATATGCCTCACTATTTATTACATTACATAGTCCCAGTAGTTCTTCTTGTGCTTTTTGGAAATGTTTGGATCACTCCTTTGTGAACTGACAAGAATGTTATTAAGGATCCGCTTGGGTGATAGAACAGTTGATTCTACACATTTCTAAGACGGCCCGCCTTTGCCTCCGTCTTTCAGGTGATTTGCCACTAATGTAGAGACCAAGCGTAACATTTAAGATTCTACTGCTACCATATGAGTCCATAACGGTTGGCTTGGTAACCTGTCGATCAGTGTCATGGCAATGATACTACGGAGGCACTGAAATAAGGCTGTGGAAGTGGCACCAGGTTGGTGATATATTTGGACGAACATAAAAAAAATGCAGAAGCTGAACGTTCGAACTCCAATCGAGGTAACGTGGGTTCTGGTCTCCCCGATGCAGTATTCACTACCGAAAAATATCGAAGGAACAACGAGGATGTATCAGTGGTATGTTTGTCTTCCAATCAGGGCTTGTTGTCGAACATCGATGAACTCAGACAAGATGGCAGGAAACCAAGAGTCATTCCCGACGACACCCGAAAACTGGAATCCAAGACAACATGGACTATCTAAGAGCAGTCTTATGTATATGATATCCATAACTGTGACATCAGAGACAGACGGCAGAAGATAAAACGTATGTTATTGACATTGCACCCGCTCCACTTGGACGTCGGATGTGTCGGACGTGTTGAACAAATACCACTCACCGCTCTATTGTATCGCGGTAAGGTTCGTAAGGGCTGCTCAATGAAAGGAGACTTGCCGCCAAGGACCAAGGTTCGGCTTTACTGGTCAAGTACTTGTAATAGACTCGGAGAATTTGCGGACAATATACATTATGCCGAGAAGAGTCACTATGCGTATAGCCTCGACGCCTCATGCGTGCACAAAATCGCATACCTCAAGGTACTGACGTGCAGCCCAGCCAATGAAATTAGGTTGAGTTTGCATCCCTGAAGGCACTGACCAGCCCAGCCAATGAAATTATGTTCGTATTGTGTACCTGATTACCTTTCGGACCCGACATCTTCGGATGAAATTTGCTTCCATGAGGGCGCTACTTGTTTGTTTCGCATGAGTGTCGAAGAGAGACTATGATATGCACGTTAGAAGCATCGAGGCGAAGAGAAGCGTTCGGATGTCAAACTGAGCAATAAACCAACCGAGTGCACGCACCACCGTCGGCAGCACCCAACATACCACCCCTGCACGTTACCCCTGACTTGAGCACGGTCCTGTGCGCTACGAGCGACCTTAAAAGTTGACACGAGGATCGATTGGGAACAATGAAGACAAGGCAACCATGTGGCATTCAGGCCAAATTCATGAGGTCGACGAGCCTGAAGTCCGGCCGATGTCATCGTTGAGAGAGCATAGCTACGAGCATTTACAGGATCTGGCGTGTCAGTTGTGACTTGTGCTTGCTCTACATCCGAAGACGAGGGAAGAAATCTCAGTGCTGTGTTTGTCACCTTCATGAAGAAAGGTAGCAACGGAAATGTATTTAAGATGATTCAACTATGACTCACTGTGATTCATTCCTCTGTCGAGCAAGCACACTGTATATCCTCGTTCCCTCCAAATTCGGGGGCTTTTGACATGATGCACGACGATACCAAAGACCATGCATACAGGCAGAACAAATCCACGCAGCAAAAGCAATACAGAGACAGGGAGACCGACGGCTTTGCAGAGCTTCGCGAGGCCATTCGCGAATCGACAGATGATCAGGAAGCCCCAAAAACAAAATACGAGACGTTATCAAAAGGTGAGCATACCGGTAAAAATTTGAGCCACAGAAGGATTCAATGTATGGTTAGCTGCACAACATATCCGGCAGCTTAACCTGATGAATCTGAAGCTGCAGCAGCAACTTTACATGTTTAAATCATCTCGGACAAACGGCGAGGGCCATATGGTGACACAAAGTAGGTGTCAGCTTCTGCAAGTCTGGCTGCAATTGTCTGATGAACAGACCCTACAGTGCGGGTACCTGACATGTCCTTGCACTGGAATGGTGATGTCAAGTCGGCTTTCACGCACCGGACGACACAAATCGTATCGCAAAACACACTGCACGATTTTTACATCGGTATGAGCCCTGGTGTGTGCGATGCTGCCATGCTGGAGGGCATGCGGGACCAGACGAGTACCGTCCCACGATACAGTAACAGCTTGAATCAGATCGACCAGTATACGTCCTTTGGATACCCCTCGAACTAGCCTGCGTCTCGCATCTCCTATGATAGAAAATTATAATAGAAACTGAAGTAAATGTAGAATACTAGAACTTGCCGAGCTTTCTATAGTGATGGCACGCTTATAATGGATGGTTGTAACTGGTTGGTGTGCTGTGTACTTCAATGGCGATATCTAGGCTCGTGACCAGCCTGGCTTATAACACCATGGTCCATGGATAAAGTGGAGTGACGTGGTCACGAGTCTATGGCGAAATCAATCAGGCGAAGCACGGAGTTTAAATTCTAACAGATACTAGTATCATACCGGTCGTGCCGGCGGTAACCGGTAACCAATCGCTTATGTGTCTACCGTCGTGCAGACTGTATGCTATGTCGATGTCGACTCCAACCATATGCAAGTTTTATCATTAATTTTGTCCCACCTTTGTCGTGTGGTGCTCTAGAAGCTATCGACAATCTACCGGTGGACTTTACGAGCACCCATTTTGGAGCATGAACGTGCGGGATGCATTCAGTGGTATCATTTTGTCACCCTATTCAATGTTCAACGTTCAGTACTCAGTGCTGCTCGACTCCGATGCGCGATATCGATGATAAAATCGGTCGGACGCCCTCGCACGGAAATTGAAAGCAATCGAGCATGTACTGCTCAAATGGTACACATGTTGTTCAATCTGCACAAGTGAGATTTTCATCGATCTAGGTCTACTGAATATAGCTACTCCAAACTTACAAATCCGTCAATCTCGATGCGAAGGCGTCCGACCGATTTTTACTAGGCATAATGTTTGAGAAACTCCGCGCTTCGCCTCCGAAATCTCTCCAAGATTATCCGGCCAGTCTTACCGTTACTACGTTAAGCACTTTAGTAAAAACTGGTTACGAGTCTAGGATACTAATCATATGATATGCACTTCGGCTCAGAAAGAACAGCTGTATCCGGTGTTACCTCGGTAGCACTTTGAAGATGATCACACGGCGGTATGAATGACCCTTGAGCCACAGGCCTGTGTCAGGATGTCTCCTTGGTGGGTTCATCTGAATCTCTCTCCAGAGGATCCTCTTGCGGAAAGTGAGTTCATCCTCCTCTCCTGATGCTCCATACCCATCAATATGTCAGAAAAAGATTTCGGCCTTACGATACCATGTAATACATTTTAAGAGCCAACTTAGTGCATGTCGTTATAAATGGATGATAATCTTTTAATGGGCCTTACGTTGAACGCAGCATGCCGCGGAACTCAATCTGTGGTTTGTCGACGCCTTGTAAGATTTTTTTCGAAGTTTGAAGGTGCTAACTAAACTTGTAATCCGGCGGCATTGTGAGATTGGAGGTTTTGTCCGGCACACCAGATGACTTGGTCCCATGTCCGCGAGGATGATGACGGACAACATCTTCAGATCCTTCCGCACCTGATGTCAACATCTCCATATGTTGGTGCGATATCCCGATGCAAACCAGGCAGAAGATTGCAGGACGCGAAGATGTGGAATAGAGACAAATCGAGATTACTGGAGAAATTTACGATTAGTTCATGTAAATTCTGTAAATGCATGATCCGGCAAGTTGGAAAACCCCGGGCCTCGATGCAGGCGGGTTCGAGCGCGTCTAGAAGTCGGAATCTATGTTTAAACTATGAAAGGCCCCGAAAGACTCGGGCCCTGCATATTCTCCACAAAAAGTCTCGGGAAGCACTTGCCACTCGCTTGCGAGTAGCGTCGGTGTCATCGAACAAGGGCTTACGAAACGCAACCTGCCCGGAATTAAATGCCAGAGTCTGAGAATGTACATGTGATTCACGCCGTAAATCGACCCCCAACAGATAAAAAATCTGGCTATCACGGGTAGTAAGAAGTTGATGTACACTAGGCAATTCTATTATTGCATACGTATATTTGTTCACCATGGTTGTAATATTGACGATCCGGACTCCAATGAGGATTCGCCTGGCTGATGATCTGATCATATGCCGGGGTTGTGCTCGTGTTCTCCAATGACACGTCATCGCACAGTTCATACCCTGTGTTGGTGATATATGAATGTGATTCGGTCGGCGGTATGCCTACGAGCTGACAGGGCTGCTCGATGAAATGATCGTAAAGTACAGGAGAATATGGGCCTTGCGTACAAGGATCTGCTGGGCGCCAATGAGGTGCGGATTGCCTGTGGATAGAATATACTTACTACTGATTGTTGTTGGAAACCCTCCTGCACAACTTGGTGGCGTTTCGGAACCGGTTTGACGGGACTTTACATGAATTTGTTGTTGCAACTTTGCGTTCAACACAGAAAGCTCCCTAATCAGCCGTGCAGCTGAAGACACTTAGCAAATTTTATTTTTTCATTTAATATATATACACACCTTTTCGTAGAACATCTTGTCTTGTCTTGGGGTCTAACTCTCCTCTACTAGCATGATAGATCTCCGCCCGTACCAAGGAGAACCCATCGAGCTCCTTGCTCCTGTACTGTCTTTGCAAGACCGACTTATTTTGCTTTGGCATTGCTTCCACGAGGTGTTCAAGTTGCGATGGAGTTGGAGCAGCTGATGCGAAACAGGACAGTACGGTAGGCATAAGGTGACCTCGAGGCTTGCCTCCTTATATGCCGATCACAATTGTGCCATCTGATAGGCGCCAGCGGCGGCCAATAGGTACAACTTACGTCCAGCTCCTGGCTTAACGGGATAGTTGAACCCTAAAAATCCAATGATGTGCAGGGACGAAATGAATTAACGCTCGCCTGCATGAAGTTCGGGCTTGGTGGTAAGCCTTCTTTCGTTATTCGGAAGCTCTTATGGATGAGTGCGTGCGAATAAATGCACGTGATTACCTTCTGTTAATCTCGCCTGACGTCATGCGCGTTTCGGATATAAAAAGAATCTCAAACCTGTGCATGACGCACTGCCAAAAGCGCTCTAGTTGTGCACCTTGCACCTCATGATGAGGTACAGGCGTCGAATTGATAGCGTACTTTGTACTTCTGAACTGCGTTATACTTGGAATGACGCTGATAAGCTGATCTTTGTGCAGAATAATAGGAAACCATGGCATCGCAATCTCCGTACATCCCGCGCTCTATCATGCCAAGGTCTGGGAGTATTGCTACAGCAAGAACTTGAATGGCAGAACTCACATGGGCAGCGCTACTAGCACGCGTCTATTGAACTTGGAGACATGTGCATCTGGGATTGCCCAGCGAATATCATTGCAAAGCCCGGGCATGCTTCTAGCTAGTCGAGTTCTTGATTGGACACCAGAATCAAGCCACTTTGGTACACGCTCCTATGATGTGCACCGATTTGGGGTCGTCACCGTATCATTGCAAAGCCCGGAGATGCTTCTAGCCAGTCGAGTTATTGATTAGACTCCTATAGAATCAAGCGACTTTGCTCCTTTACGATATACAGCGTACACGATCCTCGGAGCAGCACTTGACCTACAGTGCCTAGTACCCACGATCTTGACGGCCGCTGGGCAGCCGAAATTGATCAGCAGGCATCGTAACTATGCGGCCGGCCAAACTCGGACCATATAGTCACTTCGGAATGGAAGTTTGCGCAGGTGAGAGGTCTGCCAATCAATGTTTCGGTTCAAGCCACTAGTGTTTTTTGTCCTAGCTTGCTGTAAGGTTATTTGCCCTTTCTTAGATACAGGAAGCCGAACTTCGAGAGAAACTTTTTCTCAAAATAGGAATTGACACACGACGATTATTTTAATCGTCTGACGGTCGAAAGCTGTTCAATTGATTTCTTCCGAGTTGAGTGCCTCCTATATTGAAACATCGATTAATTTAACGCTTATACGGAATCATCGGAATGTACTGCAGGATGAAAAGGCCGTTACTGTCGGCAAAGGCCGATTATCTGACACTCGTGATAAGGTCTTAAGATCTTAAGTCAAGCTTAGCTTCAAGCTTCAAGTCCAAGCTTCAAGCTCCAAGTCTACCATCGTTCTAGCACGAGTATTTTCCTTATATCGCATAGTACACAGAGCACTAAGTACTATAAACAACCAAAGTGATTTTTTGCAGGGTTGGAGATAACGAAATTCTAAAGATAGTTGTTGAACTCTCTTGCATGCTGAGCGCTAGCGCTGTTCTCCATTGAAGGACTAGGCTACTACTCATGTACCCATGCAGCAAGCAAGGACCTTTCATTGCTCTTTTTCTTGTAAATATGAGGTATAAAGTATTATAGTTAGTATGCACTCCCTCTGATGCCATTGGTAACACATAGAGATTCAGTATGTTCTATTTGATGTATTCTAGCTACTGATCGTATAGCAAGCCCACTTCACAGGAAGGAGCTGGGTGAGATATGGGCCGGCTAATTGGGGAGGTACGTCGTGAAACTACCAGATCACAATTTTTTTTTCACGTTTATTGTCATTTTAGGCTGACCCAATGCCGACAGTACATGTGGTTTAAATTATTAATACTGTATCGAAACTCATTGGCTGGCAATTCCCGAGGGGATGTAAAAACTGGTCTGGTAGCTAATTGGGTGCGGGGTGCTTGCGCGAGGGCACGAGGCAAGGTACTGATGCAGGATGTGCAGGTGTAGTATGCGGAGGTATGAACATGGGTTTCTAGACATGCACAGAAGACACGATACATGACTTATATTTGCCTGCAACTTGCAAGGTCTCAGCCAATTGAAATCGTGCATCGTCGTATTGAAGTATTAGTGTACTCAGGAGGATCGACTTTGTTGCTATCAGAGCCGACAAGAGTTCCGTATTCTTTTCATCACGTTCTTACGTTACACTGTTCGGTACCTAGTTTTTGCCACAGCTCGGCAACATGGTGGTGGAGTGGTAAGAGGGCACTGCACAAAGAATGGCATGAAAATTTTTCGTACATGCATGAAGGGCTATATATGTATATGTATAGTTTGTAAAACAACTCAAGTGGGCATTTAATATTTAGTACTTAGTAGGTATCCTCCATGCTCCCTTGGCAGTTGCAGTCTGACGGTGCGTTTATATAAGCACCACGTAACTTGGAACCATCATTAATGCTGACGTCGCGCGCTGATCCATCGCTGATCCATTTGTTTGGCTTTTCCTGTCAAGAAGAAATGATCCAATCATTATTGAAGAAGCATTCAAGTATTCATTTGTAAATGACGGTTTCATATGTTCAATCGGTCGCAGCGAGCTCAACTGAGACGAAATTAAAACCCGTCTCGAGGTTACCACTAGCTAGTACCAGACGGATCTGTTGCTAGACATCGCGACACCATCTAAAGATGTCGGACAACCTGGGTTCCACGCGCCATCCGAGTGTTGGTGTCTTTCATCCACATGGTCATTGCCCCATTTCCAGTCAGCCAATGGGTGTTGGACTGCGAATAACAGGTCAATGGTCCTGTGCTATATCTTGTAAAGTGAAGAAAGCTTACCCAGATGACAGTCGATCGAGGCCGTGGCACCATAGCCTGGTTCCGGATGTGGCGATTCATGGAGTTCCTCCAACATGGTGTTGCGATAATGAAGGAATTTAATCACTTCTGTAGCTGCGGTGAAAATTAAGTTTCAACGACGCCATGATTAGGGGCTAGGTAGCGAAATCGGGTTACCTTGAATAATCGTCCCAAGTCGAGTCACATAGGTATCTGCGCCTGGAGAGATGTCATGAAGTAATTTTTGGAGTTGCGCAAGTGCATGCGTTTCCTTTGCCCTGTACTGCCGTTGCAACATGGCCTTGTCCTGGGCTGAACTCGCACGCTCCAAGCTTGCGGAGTGCGATTGAGAATGATGTAATGAATGCATGACCACAGACTCGGACATTTCAATGATCCGCAGATGCGTTCACTAAAGGATTAAATACTTGTCGTCCAGCGACGGACGAGTACAAGGAGCGCACAGGGTCCCATTGGCATGCCTTTGAAAGAGCAGTATGACACAATGATACTTGCACCTCAGAACGCTAAGACAACGTTGAATTGCTACTTGCGTGCTCACCGTGGCAATCTTGCAATAAAAATGTAGATCATAGACTATCGTGGACATCGCTTGCACTGGCACATGATGCCACATCCACTGGCACGTTTGTTCAAACCTAGATGTGCAACTTCGGTTCACCGGGGACAGCATTTTACCGTGAAGCGCCCACAGCTATAAGTAGTCACTCGGAGACAGCTGCTTAGATTTGGGGCAGTACTGGAAAGGAGTAGTCCTCGGAAGAAACCGACATGTCCAATAAATTCAGCATTAGTCACGTGATCGGGCAACGTGTCTATTACATAGTAGTTGAAGACTACCGAAATCATCATAAACTTTGTGATTCAGCAATTTACCTACTTACTACGGAGGCTTGTAGGAGTCAGCAGTCATGCGTTCTGGCGCACTTGTTGTTCTTGGATGCGCGCTGCTTGCTTTCAGCGCGTCTCCCCCAGTCGGTGTGTCCTTGCGTTCCTCTTTCAGTGCTGCAGATCCATTGCTCGAAGCCCTGTAAGTTCGAACTATGTACTTGACCCTCTCGTGCAACTGATACCATCACTTACCAGAGAAACACTGGCCCTTACCTCTCCAGAGCACCTGTTCTCACTCCTTAATCATTTCCCCCTCCCACTTAAACCCGCGACGCCGGAAGAATCACATAACGTCGTCTTAGATCTCGCAACAAATTACCTTCTGGCTCCTGAGATAGCTGCCGTGAATGTTAGGCTAGCTTTACATGCTGCAAGTCCCAAACTCGCTGCACAGCACACACACGAAAGTGGAAGGGAGGGATGCGAGGATTGGGTAGATTGGTATGGAAGTATTGTATGCAACGCAGAAGAACTCAGGCGCCTCGTCGAAATTTCAGTCGCAGCCTCGGATTCCGAGTCTCGACCAAAAATGAAGCGCCTCCAAACAGATCATATTCCACCTCTCCAGCCATCACTTGACGCCCCCAGATGGACAGCAATACACTACGCTGATCCTATGGCACCCGAATTCAAGCCACTACATCGCGCCCTACTTTCTTTGAGTCATGACGTGGAGTACGTGCTACGCTGGGCACGGCCTGTCATTGCAACAGATGGACCGTATTTGTCTGGGTTCGGCGTTGCATTGGACTTGAAGAAGATGGATTACCTCGCTGTGGATGACCGGAAGGGGGCTTCTTCCACATCTCATGATGATTCCTCTGGAAACGAGAGTCAGGAAGGGAATGAAAATGACGTGCTAAGCTGTATTTTCGAGGCCATGTCGTACATTGATACCGCAACGGAGGAGGATGCTACCACAAATAATCCCTTGAGTAGAGAGGAGATTCAAGGTAGCTTGAATTTTATTATTATTTTATCATTTGGTGTTCATCTCGCATGGCACAGATCTTGGCCTTAAAGCAACGTCTTTCCTTGCTCTCCTTTCCAACCCCGATTCCTTCCCTCCAGTTATCTCTTCATGCTTATTGGGAAATTCGCTCACCCCGCTGCATATTTTGCACACGCTGTCTGCGAATTTTCCGCGCTATGCTGCTCCACTTGCACGCAAAGTTCGCGTGCCGGACACAGTACGAGACGAAGTACAAGATAACTGGGGGAAAGCGATGATGGGCGTGAACACGGTATGGATCAATGGGAGGGTGCTAGAGGGTGAAGCTGGGATATTCGGGTGCGTTTTCTGTCTCTACTATTATTCCCTTCATTTGTACTTTCCTTCTGCCTGTCGTGCTGTACTCTGAGGTCCGTTCAGTTCTGATCCAAGTCCAGGCTTTTACGCAACTTTGCGCGCGAACGCGCTCTTATTCGCTCACTCGTCGAACTTGGCTTGTCGCGGTCGCAGGCCATAGAGTTTGTCGTGCACCCAGTGCATTCGGGTCCTTTCGATCCATCTCCGTCGAAATTGAAAGTCAAGAAAAGCACCACGCTTGGTTCAGCGAAGCGCTTTGCCCAAGAAGTTTTGCACGCAGATACAGAGAACAATGCGGATGCAGAAGCCTTGAATGAAGGACATAGAGGATATGATATTTCTCCAAAGTGGAATGATCTCTTGGACGGCCTCGTCGACTCTTCAGATAGATCAGAGGGGGGCGGCGTTATATTATGGCGGAATGATATCGAGGAAGACACGAAATACGTTGACTGGGGGACGGACTTGACACAGGTGGGTGTATATACGCTCAATCGTGGATGATTCGATCGAGACATGCTAACTTGTCTTGTTTGTGTTACATGCATAGCTTCTCCGCACGCATCCCACTCAACTTTTCAGTCCTTACTTGCGTTTGCGGATCAACGTCATCAATGTCGTCCTCGCCCTTAACTTTTCGCAACCGCGGTGCCTTTCTCTCATTGCAAACCAAGTAGATAGCATCGTCGCTCGCGGGTTTCCTGTCAGGTGGGGATTTGTTCCAGTTTCTGGTGACGGTGACGGTGCGTGAAGGGACTATTTTTATCCACAATGATGCTCATCGTCATACGCGGATAGGCCTCAAGATGGCAAGAATTATATACTATGTTGCACAGAAATTCAGTCGTCCAGAAGTGGCCTCCTTTTTCCGCTCTGTATGTCCTTCACTTTGCCCTTATTTTATGTTGCTTGATTATGCTTTTCCATAGTTATCCACTGCACACACGCAGCAGCACTTCCCTACTCTGTCTTGGAGTATTGTCCATGCAACATTCAACACTCTTGGGGCAGCAGATAACTTTGCAGACATAGCTGGCGGGAAGGTTCCCAGCGTTGAAGAAGCTCTTGAATGCGCAAGGCGGTGGACGAAGAGACTTGGTATTAGCGGCAAGGATGGGGAAGGGTTTGTTAATGGAAAGTGGTATGAAGTGGGGGATAATTTTTTACGAGACCTGCAGAATGAGGCGGTCGGGCAGCTGCAGTTACTACAGGAACTGGTAAGCGTTCTGATTCATATTCCCTCCTGACCTCGCTGTCTAGTTGATCGCCTCATTTACTTACCCCCTTCCCTTAGGTTTACCTCCAAGAACTGACCGGTGCTTCCGTGCCGCTCATCTCAACATTCTTTTATGACCTCCCTACAACACTCTCGAGCCGGAATCCGTACATTTTCAGCAAGGCGCCCTCTTCAGTGCATGCTCCTTCGTCGAGTACTGGGAATCTCAGAATTCTCGATCTTGGCGATATGGGTAAGCGCACAGGGTGGAGCCCGCTCACATGCGCATGGGTGACATCGGGTGAATCTTGTTACATATACTATTTAGGCGATGCTAAATCTGTATCTCGCTGTCAGATGCCGAAAGGACACCTGTAAGCATGGTTGTCATCGCCAATCTGGATTCAGTGGAGGGGCAAGCACTGGTTCAGGAGGCTGTGACGTTCGTTTCTGTGAGTAACCTGTGTCTGCGCGCTTTCGTGCTAATACGCGCATAGAGAAAGGAATCGCAATCACGCATTACATTCCTACATAATCCCTCTACCGGCTCACCTGGGGGTAATGTATCGTCCTTCTTTGCACATGTTGAGTCAACAAGCGACCTTGGAGAGCTCTCTCCGGATGTGTTAAAACGAGCGCTCGACGATTTGAAAACACAAGACGCTACACAGGTATTTGTCACCGAAGGGATCAAACTCCGATCGGATCCGGAAGCACACACAGCGTTTCTAACTACTAGCCGCCTTTTCGCGCGTGAGGCGGGTCTTCGGCCTGGAGAACAAGCTATCATTGTTAATGGCCGGGTACGTTTATCCTTGTTTTCAGTCCCACGTGGATAATAAAACTTCATGCATAGCTCATCGGTCCTTTCTCTCACGAATCGGAGTTCGTGTCCGAAGATTTTGCGACGCTGGAGACATATGAAATGAAAAAGCGAGTTAGACGTGTCGCGCAAGCTATCGAGGAAGTTTTAGCTGACGTCACAGAACTTGATGCGTGGGTGGTCTTGATCTGCGCTGCTTTTGGGCTTTAATATTGGATTTTGCGTATACAGGCTCGCATATGCAAACCTAGTCTCGGTGGCATCCTCGATTATTTATGCAGATCAACAGCCAGATCCAAGTGAAGTTGGATTGTTCGACAGCGCACCTCGAGCCAGGACTAGTAATTATAAACTCCTATCGGGTGATTACACGTATGTGTTTCATCGTCTGCATGCAGTCTTGCGACTTGTTGAACGAACTATCCTTTTCCAGGAAATTTGAATTTGGTGATCGAGAGAATGCACTGACGCACCTCGTCCTGCTCCTTGATCCCCTGAGTGAAGGAGCGCAGAAGTGGATCGCAATCTTAGAGGTAAGCCGTCGTGGGGACTGTAGAATTGTCGAGTTGATGTGGGTGACCGTAGAAACACGAGGAGCTCTTCCCAGAGGTATACTTTGAACTGTACCTCAATCCAGCTCAACATTCCGAAGTATGCAAAATCACTTTGTACAACCTGGTCGAACTAATCGATTTCACAGATCCCACTTAAACGATTTTACCGATATAGTGTCGAGCCTCGCGTGCAATATGACAACAAAGGGTGAGTGCGTCTCTTTTCCTACTTGTGATATCACTGAGAGCAGTTCAGCAATGAGATTCCGGCGCAAGTAACGTTCAATGGCCTATCTGTAGACCCGATATATACTCTTAGCATGGACGTTCCCCCCTCGTGGCTCGTTCGCCCACGAGAAGCCCTTTACGACCTCGACAACATTCAGCCGAGCACACTTCCACCTGACGGCCTTCATGCTCTTTTCTCGCTCGACTACCTCGTCGTTGAAGGGCATGCACGGGAGACGAAGTCTAATAGCCCTCCTCGAGGCGTACAGCTCCAACTGACCACTTCATCTCCTGCTGCCAATCATACTCCATCCGTAGTTGATGACACTCAGGTTGTCGCGAATCTTGGCTACTTGCAGTTCAAAGCTCGCCCAGGAACATTCAAACTTACTATTCGCGAGGGAGGAGGCCGTGAGGTATATGATATAGTCAGCGTGGGGAGTGAGGGCTGGAATAGTCCTTCTGTAGAAGATTCTGGAGAGGAATTGACTGTGACGAGCTTTGAGGGACTAACCCTGTACCCAAGGCTGTCTCGGAAACCGGGTATGGAGAAGGCGGATGTGCTAGCAGGGTTACAGCAACACTCGGGCCAATCCCAAACCGTTGTACACGATATCTTGTCCAAGTGGGTGGTTCTCTCATTCCTTACTGCTATTGTTGGTCCTGAATTCACTTCAGGGTTTTATCTCTCTTCACATCAAAAAGTGAAAGCACGACC